GACTTGACTGAACGCTGCTTAGTGTTGAAGATTCCTTGATGGTGAGAGGCAGATTGTTCCGAAAAGAAGCTGGAGGAAACAACACCTGTGGCTGAACGTATTTAATCTGATTGCTGGCGTGATTCTGGCTGATCTGAGGCATCCAATTGGTACATATTCTCTCGCCAAACTTCTGTGTATGATGGAACTGACCCTGTAAGACATCGATAGGTGATGATCAGGATCTTACAGTCGATCCTTCTGAGGAGGGTTAACCGGTTAACATACTGTAGACGAGGCGACAATGCGACACAGCATGACTTTGGAAAAAGTCGCTTTGTCGCCCTTTGGTGAAAAAAAAACTCTCTGAATTTCACTGTCCACTCAGACACCAACATGTGAGTAGAATTTACTAACCAGTTAGTAACTGTTTGCTAGTTAGACTAGTAGATAAGTAAATTTACTAATCAGTTCGTAGAGACTACTATGCATCTCTCAAAGAAGTAAGTCGTTCATTATACTAAAGTAATAGTTACTAAATTTCTCATAACTAAAATTGTATATTTACTAAGCTTGTAGTGAATTTTACTAGACTTTAATAAAAGCTCGTTCCTGCGTTCCCTGTTGACCGCTGATGAATACAATTTGTGAAAAACAAGTGAATAACAAATGACATATACAACACAGGTGAAAGATAACATAAAATGCTTTGCCGTGGCGTTTTAAGTTTTGTTACACAATACTACAACAAGTAATTGACGGGTTAATAGAATATACAAATCTTGTTTTACACTGGCAAACTTAATAAACCTCCCTTTTTCATTGAGTACATGCTATAAGCTCCATAATTTTCTTTGTCATCAAAAAGACCATTACCAACGTTAAAAAACCAATAACCTGCCTGTTGTCTCAAAATGGGGAGGTGACTCTGATCAAGGCGGAAGTAAGCAATATCTTGGCGCCGAACCTGAAACTGCAGTGTGCAATGTCCGGCAGTATAGTATAGTCTTCATGATGTCTTCCCTTCATTATCTGTACTCCAGGTCTTCATGATGTCTTCCCTTCATTGTCTGTACTCCAGGTCTTCATGATGTCTTCCCTTCATTGTCTGTACTCCAGGTCTTCATGATGTCTTCCCTTCATCGTCTGTACTCCAGGTCTTCACGATGTCTTCCCTTCATTATCTGTACTCTAGGTCTTCATGATATCTTCCCTTCATTGTCTGTACTCCAGGTCTTCATGATGTCTTCCCTTCATTGTCTGTACTCCAGGTCTTCATGATGTCTTCCCTTCATTGTCTGTACTCCAGGTCTTCGTGATATCTTCCCTTCATTGTCTGTACTCCAGGTCTTAATGATGTCTTCCCTCCATTGTCTGTACTCCAGGTCTTCATGATGTCTTCCCTTCATTGTCTGTACTCCAGGTCTTCGTGATGTCTTCCCTTCATTGTCTGTACTCCAGGTCTTCATGATGTCTTCCCTTCATTGTCTGTACTCCAGGTCTTCATGTTGTCTTCCCTTCATTATCTGTACTCTAGGTCTTCATGATATCTTCCCTTCATTGTCTGTACTCTAGGTCTTCATGATATCTTCCCTTCAATATCTGTACTCCAGGTCTTCATGATGTCTTCCCTTCATTGTCTATACTCCAGGTCGTCAAGACACCTTACCTCCATTGTCTGTACCCAGGTGTTCATGATATCTTCCCTTCATTATCTGTACTCCAGGTCTTCATGATGTCTTCCCTTCATTGTCTGTACTCCAGGTCTTCATGGTGTCTTCCCTTCATTGTCTGTACTCCAGGTCTTCATGATGTCTTCCCTTCATTGTCTGTACTCCAGGTCTTCATGATACCTTCCCCCCATTGTCTGTACTCCAGGTCTTCATGACACCTTCCCTTCATTGTCTGTACTCCAGGTCTTCATGACACCTTCCCTTCATTGTCTGTACTCCAGGTCTTCATGATGTCTTCCCTTTTATTATCTGTACTCCAGGTCTTCATGACACCTCCCCTTCATTGTCTGTACTCCAGGTCTTTAAGAAACCTTCCCTCCATTGTCTGTACTCAAGGTCTTCATGACACCTTCCCTTCATTGGCTGTACTCCAGGTGTTCATGACACCTTCCCTTTATTGTCTGTACTCCAGGTGTTCATGATGTCTTCCCTTCATTGTCTGTACTCCAGGTCTTCATGATGTCTTCCCTTCATTGTCTGTACTCCAGGTCTTCATGACACCTTCCCTTCATTGTCTGTACTCCAGGTCTTCATGATGTCTTCCCTTTTATTATCTGTACTCCAGGTCTTCATGACACCTCCCCTTTATTGTCTGTACTCCAGGTCTTTAAGAAACCTTCCCTCCATTGTCTGTACTCAAGGTCTTCAAGACACCTTCCCTTCATTGGCTGTACTCCAGGTGTTCATGACACCTTCCCTTTATTGTCTGTACTCCAGGTGTTCATGACACCTTCCCTTCATTGTCTGTACTCCAGGTGTTCATGACACCTTCCCTTCATTGTCTGTACACCAGGTCTTCATGATGTCTTCCCTTCATTGTCTGTACTCCAGGTGTTCATGACACCTTCCCTTCATTGTCTGTACTCCAGGTCTTCATGACACCTTCCCTTCATTGTCTGTACTCCAGGTCTTCATGATACTTCAGGTCTTTAAAGTCACTTGCCCGAGAAGCTTTACTGTGGGGCAGGACCGAAGCCCTAGAAACTGTCAGGAGCCAAGCTGCCGAAACGCGGTCACACCTCCAAGGCCTCTCCGAGACCGTCGTTGCTTAACAGTGCCTGATTCAGGACCCGTGCGCTGTGCATAGGACCACATGCCACCAGGTCTTCATCATACCTTCCCATCATTATCTGTATAGGGTTTATTATCACAATGAAACATGTTCTGCACCTGCATTAATGAGAAGAGTGAGTGAGTTCGGTTTAACGCCGCTTTTAACAGTATTCCAGTTATATCGCGGTGTGTCAACTTAATGTGGGAGGAAAGCCCCAAGTGATGCAGGTCTCAGACGTTTACCACTTCGGTGAAACCCACGGGCATTGTGCTGACAAACCTAGAAACATAATCGGGGTGAACCGGGATTCGAACCCACAATCATAGGTTTCTGGCGTGCCCAAGGGGCACAACTCTGCACAGCGAATCGCGGCGTCTTAGCCGACTGGGCCCGTGTCCCCATTTAATGCGAAGACTATTGATGTTATGTTTGAGAATATATGTAACATAGTTAAAGGCGATTATCGATAATTTGGTTCTTCGTGTCGGCAATCTACTCTAAACACCATGTTCAACCTATGCCACATCACTGCACTGGACAGAAGCACGCCGTCAGGTATAGCAGCACCACACGTCCACCACAACGATCTTCTGAGAACATAATCCAGTCTGGGGGAACATGATCCACGGCACACAATAACAGGGACGCAACTAAATTTTTAGGCTGATTTTAACTACAGTAAACTACGGTTATAACGAACACGGTTATAACGAACTTACGGATATAACGAACTTACTTTTGGGCCCGACTAGTTGCTGTAGTTATGCTGTATATATGCTTATAACGAACAACGGTTATAACGAACTAAAATTAGTAGTCCCTTTGAGTTCGTTATAACCGTACTTTACTTTGTATAAGCAAAACCAATTTTCGGAAGGACGGCTCGAGGGGGTTGGGGTCGTGCTCCCCGAGAACTTGAAGAAAAAAAAGATGCTCTTAAACGCTATTTCCTGCATTTTGAAACCGTTTATGTTAGATTGTATTTGTAACAAATATTGGTAATTTATTTATCATAATTTGTGTTATTAGTGTTATATATATACGTGTTTCGCCGACACATTTTGGACTTTCATTAAAGCAACATCTATGATTTCAAAAGAAATTTGAACATTAAAATGAATCGATAATATTACTTGATGTGTTATGACATGTTCACTCGTAGTAAATGATGATGATTATTATTCATATTTTAACACGAGCCGACCCATCATCACAATGAAACTACTTGGGAGAGCGCGGTTTGCTTGCGTCACACACCATCTACCACTGACATCCTAATAAGCGTGAAGATTCCGATTTTCAAGTTAGACAGTAAATAGAATTTAAATTAATAATTTACTGCATAGATGGTTAATTCAGGTTTACTTATTTCAAAAGTTGAGCTTTTCTTAGATAATAAGATAATTCCTAAAAAAAATTGTTTTTATTAAGTTGACCAACAGCTATAATATGATAGTAATGTGTTTTTATTTATTTTTTATTGAAATGGTAATATTTTACATATGGATGTCCTATGCAGTTAGTGATACGTGGCTTTGCAGGGTTTGAGGGATTATTTCCAAACGGGATGTCTTCGTTGGTATCTTCCTGTACATATTAGCGCCAAAAGAGATTACATTGCCACAAGCAGAAGACGCCATTTTTTGAAAATAGAATAGTCTTCGAGTAAGTTATGGATATATATTTCTCTAAAACAATTTGGCTAAAATAATCTACTACACCTCGAAAAACACCTCGTTGTTTCAGATATAACACAGCCATGTGAAATATATTTGAGCTCTTACGGTTATGAAATATTCTCCGAGAAAGTAATGGATTATAATTGGGTAAAACAATTTGGGTTAAATATTATCATCACTAATACAATTTCCATAAAAATGACGTGTCTCGGTGTCGACTCGAGTAATCCATGGAGATAATAGATGACATTTCCACTAACTTCTTTGATAGGCATTTAGAAGTCGGAGTACTAAGTAAGGATAAGAATTTACGGATGAACAACATCTTTATTACAATTAGGGGCGACGTTTCGGTGTATAAGGTTCTAACACCGTTATCAAGCAAGTGAATTTTGTTAACAGTGATCAATACCATTGTGAAGAGAAATATTTTGGAGTATTTAAATAGATACCGCCGGTAGTACACCCACTGAAACATTCGAAGCATCAGCCGCCATTTGTCAGTCAGCAACAACCACGCCCACTTGCCTCTGAACCCGGAAGTGAAAACTGTGCGGCGTGCCGGGTCACGAATGGCTGACAACACATGCCCATCGACTGCAACTACACAACTGTTGTGTTTACATCTTCCCCGATAACATCATACAGACACACGTGGTGAATGCATTTTATATATCTGAGTCAACACATTTTGTGGCTTTTGAAAATTTAGAAGTTTTAGGTTTTCGTGTCTGGACCATGTGAAAATTTCATTCTAAAATCTAGCCTTCGGTCCAGTTTCCACAGTCGGTTATCAAACTTACTTCCCCTTAAGACTCGTCGGCCGATCGTTACGGCTAATATTAATATGGCCATGTAGGGTAGGTAGAACCAGATATGTTTCACTGTTAATTTACATGTTGTAAAAATTATGAAATAAAACGGACTAGTTTCGTTGTGAACACCGCCACCTGGCTGCTGGAGGCGGCTCTAGCCGACTGATATACTCGTAGTTCCTCTAATAAGCGCCGGGGTTAAATTAGCGCGCGTCTCTAATAGGCGTCGGTTACAAAGGAGCGTTGTCTCTACAATTACTTTTGTTTCACCTCGTTAATGAGAAGGTGAAATATCCTGATTTGTGTCTCGATCGAAATGTTTCTTATCCGAGGTGAACAGGTTATTTGTGTGAACAGGTTAGTTGTGTGTGAACAGGTTAGTTGTGTGTGAACTGGTTAGTTGTGTGTGAACTATGAGTAGCTGTGCTATCTGGATGTTAGGTCCTAACTCCACCCTTGTGTTTTCCCTCTTTACTTGTAAGATTATGTCAATAGTGCGTCTTCGGCAGTACAAATTAATAGTCTGGTGCAGAAACTTTCAGTCTACCATACCAAACATTTTCAGTAGATTTTGATTTTATTATATGGACTGTTTGCTGAGCTTCCTAGACTGAAGACAAGTTTACTAGACTGGGACTTCGGACTATTAGTTAAACTTGCAGGCTGGTGAACAGTAAATTGGTCTGTTAGTTTTGTGGATTTCAGTGTCTTTATTCGTTTCAATGCAGTGTTTTAATGACAAATGCTGGACAATTAACTGAGCATCTGCATGTATCTAAACATCCCGTCAGAGATAATAAACAATCCGTAAGTCGGCTCTGTCGTCATCGATACTTCAGCTTCTAACTGCCAGCGTATTATCAATCTTCTTTCAGGTAAACTTGATGAGAGAACATGGGGTTTTCTCTGACGTGGATTATTGCGATCGCCTTCCTGGCCTACATTGGTCACTCCCTGTGGGTGCTGTACACCCTCTTCCACCCCACCCCCTGCGTGGAGACGGTCAGGGGGGCCTGTATCCACCCCTACATGAAGCGCAACCCCACACTGGAGGTAAGCACAGGACAGAGACCATAGACCATATCGGTACAGAACAGAGCAAGTGGAAATCAACTTTGCAAAGTAATTGTGGAAACTGGTTACTAGTTCAAGACCCTTGAAGAGCTTGGTTAGAATAGGTCTTCAGCAAGCCATGCTTGTCTCCCATCGTGAAGATTCGGGTTAGAATAGGTCTTCAGCAAGCCATGCTTGTCTCCCATCATGGAAATTCGGGTTAGAATAGGTCTTCAGCAACCCAGGCTTGTCGCAAGAGGTGACATACAGGATTGGGTGGTCGCTGACTTGGTTGATGCATGTCATCATATAGCAATTGCAAGGATCGATGCTCATGATGTCAATCACTGGATTGTCTGGTCCAACTCAATTACTTACAGACCGCCATCATATGGCTGAAATATTGCTGTTAAACAAGAAACAAACTACTTCAAGCTTGATCTCTGAAAAAACAAGCAATGGTTGAGTATTGATCGATCATGAATGAGGCCTCCTTGATTTTCAAGCGTATTAAATTGCCATTCTATAAATACCTTGGACCCATGCACAACCAAGTCTTTATTTTGTATCCGTGTTGAATGGCGTGATACTAACAATAAACATCCAATCAAATGACACTGTTTTGTCATGACTGAAACTAGCACAGATACCACCATGCTTGACTTGTCTTTTGTGTTGTCGCAAATACAACTGGAACTTCTCTTAACAAAAATAATTCCACCCCTGTCTTTCTTCCCAGCAATATATCTTTTCCAACTGATGTTTCATTTGTAACAGTTTTCTGATTTGATTAAAAATATAGAGAGCTCGGTCAGACAAGTTGTAGTTGGTAGTTGATTTCAAGCTCAGGACAGGAAATAATTCTGTGTCAAGTTAGTGACAAGAGAGATGGACGACACTTCAGAAACAAGGGTATTGTTGTGAATGGCACCGTATTCGACGCAATAAGCGCCCTGCTCTATTAAGCGCCCACGGCAATATTTTCTAATATATTGGCAAGTGAACAGTCCCAATTAGCACCCCTTCCGATTGATCAATGTACACAGGACTTATTTATTCGTGTATAATACGTATCTTATAGGCATTCATAATTGTGGGAAATTAAATTCTGGAAAAAATATATCTGTCGTATATACACATTTCAGGCTGTCAGCATAAACCACGAAATTTACGATCTTTCAACTCGGTTGTTTTTCACCAAAATAATATTCTAATAAGAGCCCCCTAATTCTAACTTTGAGAGCGCCCTGGGCGCTTATTATGTCGAATACGGTAAATAGCATGTTGTAATATTGGATATATGGCATCATGTAATATAGAGTATAATCGAGGATGGAATGAGATAGAAAACGCTGACATTTAGAGAATAGTTTTCAGGATCCGTCATCATAAATGAAAAAAACAAATACTCGTTCAGACTGCAATATAAACAGCCTTTGAAGTCATCTGATTTTATAAGATTTACACAAGATGGAAACAAGTTTGTTATCCCATGAAAGTTATTAAGATGAACCAATCATGGTGGTCTATAGAAAAAGAGTCTTTACTCAATAGCAAAAACATTGGAAAGCGAAAGTGTGCTGGAATGTTTGATGGATTCCAAGTAAGTTGACCAGTACATGAAGTCTGATTGTTTTGTTTCAGCTGAAGGTGTTCACCTCAATGAAGGAACATCGGGTCAGAGAGAGTGACCTTGACCTAGTCTGGAGGTGTGATAACTTCTCCATGGAAGAGAAAGTAGAGACGTAGGTGTAGAACAAGTTCTCCATGGCAACTTTCGTAGAATTGTATCTGAAACAATACCAAACCAGGTAACAAGTGCTTGCGTGGTCATTCTCTTTGTCCTCCAGTACAATGGCTAACACAATGTAGTCGCCGAGTTTGTTGGCGACTTGTGTCCGTGGTTGAATGGCGCCTGTCTGGTGTGGGAGACATATGGCCTCCAGGAACTGTGATGTTTTCACATTAAACTTGCAAGAATTCAAGGAGATTTTTAGTTCCACAAGTGTGGTGCTATTCAACATTGTCTCGGGGCGGCAAAATTACATCATTTTGTCCTAAAACACTATTAAAAGATGATTCCGCTAACAAATCATGTTCACAATATGATTAGGATGTTGCTGCTATTTGGGATCAGTACGAGGGCCATGGGACACAATGACTCCATATTTTTGTAAATATCATATCTGTACTTGTTTTCAGGACTGTAAATGTATCGATTCCATCCAAGACACGCAAGAACGGCACCCTGTTCCTGCATGCGTTCGTCTACCCTGTGGGACACAATTCACTGTTCGGGAGCTACGCGACGCACCACACGACAAAGATAACAGCATATGCCCTTCCCCAGGCTCAGTTCATCAACCTGCTGGGAGACAGGAAGCAGGAGGTATGCTGGGAAATTCCGGTTTCCACACAACATCAAGGGCACATGCACTCTATAATGTTTTATATCAGGCTTGTCAAGATAGGGTCTTCTTTTCGAAAATCTCATTAAAATCAAGTGATTTACTCCGATACGATACAACAGACTGATCCCAAACTAAATGTACACAATATGTTTACGACAGACATCCTCCTGAGGCAAGGGAGTTTACTGACTGTCTTGTTTCTACCCTTGCCGAACTAGGTTGGAATTTCCAGGCTCAATCGAAGCGCCACCTGTGGCTATTACGACTTATGTCCGTTCTATGTCCCTTCTACTGACCAATCAGATTCCACCTCTCATATCACTTGCAATTGCTTCAAACAAAATGGCGGCACCCAGTCAAGATGATCTCATCGATAATCAAGATCTGTATTGTAATAAAACAGTCATCAATTCACATGCACACGTTGATTAAAAACCTGAAAAGATTTGAAAAATATCTGTCGACGCTCAATGGCGGTACACATGCTTTGCAAAACCTTCAGTCGACTAAAATCTGTACGTTGAAATCCAGATTGTTTATGAACCAGATGTTCAAGCCAAAATATAACTCTGGAATTCCAGCCTAGTTCGGCAAGGGTGGAAACTGGACTTTAATGGTCAGATAACTCCCTTGACTCAGGAAGTTGACAACAGAAGGATGTGAGATGTTGGCACTACGATAGATCTTGTATTTGTGACAGAGTGGCGATGATGTCGGCAAGACGGTGCCGGACAAGACATTGACTCACTGGAAACAGAAGGTCACCATCAACGTCATGGCCGACCTCATCCCCTTTGATCGGCGCGCCATTCCAGGGGAGGTGTACAAATACCTTAAGTCAGTGGCAGTTTCATTTCTCTGTGTGTAGACATCCAACAACAAGCAAAAATATATGTAGAAAAGCCTGGAACAGAAATAAGTTTTCAGATGAATTATGTTATCTTATTTAATTCCCTATGCATTGCCAAGATTATTAATATAATGGAATGTGTGAAATAATTATTCTGTTATCAAAACAAATAAATCTCTAGAATCTAAAGATCGACAACACCTCATGAGTATTCTATCAGATCATCAGATACACACAGAGCCGGGAGAAATTGTCAGACTATTTTCTGCTGTCTCAAATGTCTGAAAATACTTGGCATTCAAACAAGAATTGGGAGAAATTTTGATCAATTTCTTTTGGCCCTTTGGAGTATTTTACTTTGACAGACTAAGAGTAGGTACAGCATCCAATACAGCTCCAATAAGATGAACATTGATGCTGTGTGCTTACCCCTGTTTACACATGTACTTTCAGAACATCACCAGAAGGAGATTACCTCCCCATCGTGTTCATCGATGAACTTGGCTTCAGGACGAAGGACCTGCTTGTAAGTCTCTGTTTCTTTTGATCATTATTTGTGTGTCTTGTCTCTCACGTGACTTGTGTAACCATGACAACTGATGGGCCATCCTGTTCTCCTTGTTTGTGTTCAGTATATTGTGCCAAGTCTGGGCACACAAGTACAAACTAGGAATTAAATAGCAGTATTTTCGCATGAGTAAATTGGATGGAGTGTTTATGACACATAAATGGTTATCTGTGAAAATCTGGGTTAGAATAGGTCTTCAGCAACCCATGCTTGCAGTAAAAGGTGACTATCCTTGTCATAAGAGGTGACTAATGGGATCGGGTGGTCAGGCTCGCTGACTTGATTGATCGTATCTCAATTGCGTGGATCAATGCTCATGATACTGGATTGACTGGTCCAGACTCGATTATTCACAGACTGCTGTTATATAGCTGGAATATTGCAGAGTGTGGCGCTAAACATTAAACAAGCAAGCATTACAACAAAAAAACATACATGGTTGTTGTAAAATAAGTTGGTGTAATATTTTTTTTCAAGCCAATCAACGAGACGTCTACTGAGATGCCGCTCACAATCACCTATTCTTCGATCTCGGTGGGAAAACTGCGAATGTGGACAAATGTCCTTGAGTCTTTCAAGATGCTTAACAACCTGGGTGGGTGTCTACTTTTACCTGTGTGGTGTGTTTACTGCATCTGGTGTGGTGTGTTTACTGCATCTGGTGTGGTGTGTTTACTGTATCTGATATGATGTGTTTACTGTATCTGGTGTGATGTGTTTACTGCATCTGGTGTGGTGTGTTTACTGTTTCTGATGTGGTGTGTTTACTGTATCTGATGTGGTGTGTTTACTGTATCTGGTGTGGTGTGTTTACTGTATCTGGTGTGGTGTGTTTACTGTAACTGGTGTGTTTACTGTATCTGATGTGGTGTGTTTACTGTATCTGGTGTGGTGTGTTTACTGTATCTGGTGTGGTGTGTTTACTGTATCTGGTGTGGTGTGTTTACTGCATCTGGTGTGTTTACTGTATCTGATGTGGTGTGTTTACTGTATCTGATGTGGTGTGTTTACTGTATCTGGTGTGGTGTGTTTACTGTATCTGGTGTGATGTGTTTACTGTATCTGGTGTGGTGTGTTTACTGTATCTGATGTGGTGTGTTAACTGTATCTGATGTGGTGTGTTTACTGTATCTGGTGTGGTGTGTTTACTGTATCTGGTGTGGTGTGTTTACTGTAACTGGTGTGTTTACTGTATCTGATGTGTGTTTACTATATCTGGTGTGGTGTGTTTACTGTATCTGGTGTGGTCTGTTAACTGTATCTGGTGTGGTGTATTTACTGTATCTGGTGTGGTGTGTTTACTGTATCTGGTGTGATGTGTTTACTGTATCTGGTGTGATGTGTTTACTGTATCTGGTGTGGTGTGTTTACTGCATCTGGTGTGGTGTGTTTACTGCATCTGGTGTGGTGTGTTTACTGCATCTGGTGTGGTGTGTATACTGTATCTGGTGTGATGTATTTACTGTATCTGGTGTGATGTATTTACTGTATCTGATATGATGTGTTTACTGTATCTGGTGTGATGTGTTTACTGCATCTGGTGTGATGTATTTACTGTATCTGATATGATGTGTTTACTGTATCTGGTGTGATGTGTTTACTGCATCTGGTGTGGTGTGTATACTGTATCTGGTGTGGTGTGTTTACTGTATCTGGTGTGATGTATTTACTGTATCTGATGTGATGTGTTTACTGTATCTGGTGTGATGTGTTTACTGCATCTGGTGTGGTGTGTTTACTGTATCTGGTGTGGTGTGTTAACTGTATCTGGTGTGATGTGTTTACTGCATCTGGTGTGGTGTGTTTACTGTTTCTGGTGTGGTGTGTTAACTGTATCTGGTGTGGTGTGTTTACTGTATCTGGTGTGGTGTGTTTACTGTATCTGGTGTGATGTGTTTACTGCATCTGGTGTGGTGTGTTTACTGTATCTGGTGTGATGTGTTTACTGTATCTGGTGTGATGTGTTTTCTGCATCTGGTGTGGTGTGTTTACTGTTTCTGGTGTGGTGTGTTAACTGTATCTGGTGTGGTGTGTTTACTGTATCTGGTGTGATGTGTTTACTGTATCTGGTGTGATGTGTTTACTGTATCTGGTGTGGTGTGTTTACTGTATCTGGTGTGTGTTTACTGTATCAGGTGTGATGTGTTTACTGTATCTGGTGTGGTGTATTTACTGTATCTGGTGTGGTGTGTTTACTGTATCTGGTGTGATGTGTTTACTGTATCTGGTGTGGTGTGTTTACTGTATCTGGTGTGGTGTGTTTACTGTATCTGGTATGATGTGTTTACTGCATCTGGTGTGGTGTGTTTACTGGATCTGGTGTGGTGTGTTTACTGTATCAGGTGTGGTGTGTTTACTGCATCTGGTGTGGTAGTTTACTGTATCAGGTGTGATGTGTTTACTGTTTCTGGTGCGATGTGTTTACTGTATCAGGTGTGGTGTGTTTACTGTATCTGGTGTGGTGTGTTTACTGTATCTGGTGTGGTGTGTTTGCTGTATCTGGTGTGTGTTTACTGTATCTGGTGTGATGTGTTTACTTTATCTGGTGTGGTATGTTTACTGTATATGGTGTGGTGTGTTTACTGTATCTGGTGTGTTGTGTTTACTGTATATGGTGTGGTGTGTTTACTGTATCTGGTGTGGTGTGTTTACTGTATCTGGTGTGTGTTTACTGTATCTGGTGTGTTTACTGTATCTGGTGTGGTGTGTTTACTGTATATGGTGTGGTGTGTTTACTGTATCTGGTGTGTTGTGTTTACTGTATCTGGTGTGGTGTGTTTACTGTATCTGGTGTGGTGTGTTTACTGTATCTGGTGTGGTGTGTTTACTGTATCTGGTGTGTTGTGTTTACTGTATCTGGTGTGATGTGTTTACTGTATCTGGTGTGATGTGTTTACTGTATCTGGTGTGATGTGTTTACTGTATCTGGTGTGGTGTGTTTACTGTATCTGGTGTGTGTTTACTGTATCTGGTGTGATGTATTTACTGTATCTGGTGTGTTTACTGCATCTGGTGTGGTTTGTTTTTGAAACTTGGTGAGTTGATCCATCATGACCTCTCTCACCTTTGCAGGCTTCACAGACAAGGACACAGATGAGATCAAGGGGATATTTGCTGACACCAACTTGAACTTCCTGCTGCTCACATTCACCATCGCCGCCTTCCATGTACGTAGTCCTCAGTGTACAGTGCCGCCTTCCATGTACGTAGACCTCGGTGTACAGTGCCGCCTTCCATGTACGTAGACCTCAGTGTACAGTGCCGCCTTCCATGTACGTAGTCCTCAGTGTACAGTGCCGCCTTCCATGTACGTAGACCTCGGTGTACAGTGCCGCCTTCCATGTACGTAGACCTCAGTGTACAGTGCCGCCTTCCATGTACGTAGACCTCAGTGTACAGTGCCGCCTTCCATGTACGTAGACCTCTGTGTACAGTGCCGCCTTCCACGTACGTAGTCCTCAGTGTACAGTGCCGCCTTCCACGTACGTAGTCCTCAGTGTACAGTGCCGCCTTCCATGTACGTAGACCTCAGTGTACAGTGCCGCCTTCCATGTACGTAGACCTCAGTGTACAGTGCCGCCTTCCATGTACGTAGACCTCTGTGTACAGTGCCGCCTTCCATGTACGTAGACCTCTGTGTACAGTGCCGTTCCATGTACGTGGACCTCAGTGTACAGTGCCGCCTTCCACGTACGTAGACCTCTGTGTACAGTGCCGCCTTCCATGTACGTAGACCTCAGTGTACAGTGCCGCCTTCCATGTACGTAGACCTCAGTGTACAGTGCCGCCTTCCACGTACGTAGTCCTCAGTGTACAGTGCCGCCTTCCATGTACGTAGACCTCTGTGTACAGTGCCGCCTTCCATGTACGTAGACCTCAGTGTACAGTGCCGCCTTCCATGTACGTAGACCTCAGTGTACAGTGCCGCCTTCCACGTACGTAGTCCTCAGTGTACAGTGCCGCCTTCCACGTACGTAGTCCTCAGTGTACAGTGCCGCCTTCCATGTACGTAGTCCTCGGTGTACAGTGCCGCCTTCCATGTACGTAGACCTCTGTGTACAGTGCCGCCTTCCATGTACGTAGACCTCAGTGTACAGTGCCGCCTTCCATGTACGTAGACCTCGGTGTACAGTGCCGCCTTCCATGTACGTAGACCTCAGTGTACAGTGCCGCCTTCCATGTACGTAGACCTCAGTGTACAGTGCCGCCTTCCATGTACGTAGACCTCGGTGTACAGTGCCGCCTTCCATATATCTGTATATGTCAGACTATTCTTTGAGCATTTTAAAATACTTATCTTTGCTACGAATGAAGACAATGGTGGAGGAATGGTGGCTGCAGTGAGTCACTTGGGCCCAGATGACGTAGTCCCGGACATTACTATTATTCAAAGTTTAATAACACATATCATGGAGTCAATGCTCATGCTTTCAGTCACTGGTTATCCTGGTCCTGACTTTCTATCTTGAATATGACTGACTGCGGTGTAATCCCACTGTCACTCACTCACTCACTCACTCACTCACTCACTCACTCACTCACTCCTACTCTCACTCACTCACTCACTCACTCACTTTCTGTTTCAGCTGCTGTTCGACTTCCTGGCGTTCAAGAATGACATCAGCTACTGGAAGAAGCGGGACACCATGGTGGGGCTGTCCACACGAGTCGGTCAGTTTCTGTCCTTGCAGGGAGCAACATCCCCTGTTATGGGTCACATGACACTCTGACAGGGAGGGGCACGGGGTGGGCTGTGCCAGAAACATTGACATTCCAGTTCCCCCTGATTTTGTTTCTAGGTTTGTCAGCACCATACCATGCTTGTGGGTTTCATCAAAATGGTAAACGTCTGCGACCTGCATCATTTTGGGATTTCCTCCCACACCAAGCTGACATGCTGTGATATGACAATATATGTTCAAAGTGGTGTTAAACCCAACTCACTCACTATGTCAATTGATGCTGTAGTCTGTGCTGTAATAGCCCAGCGGGTGGAGTAGCAGCTCGGTCATAGCGAAGATCTGGGTTCAATCCATGACCTGTAGGATGCTCAGTCTGTGTGTCCCCTGCTGGGATGTGGTGGAATAGTTGGGTAGAAAACATACTTACTACCTGACTGAGCACACATGCAGAGTGTTGGGTGTGTTGGTCTTGTGGTGAAAGTGTTGCTGGTGGTGCTAAGCCCTCTGGTTCCCAACGTGGTGTGTGTGAGCACACATGCAGAGTGTTGGGTGTGTTTGTTGTGGTGAAAGTGTTGCTGGTGGTGCTATGCCCTCTGGTTCCCAACGTGGTGTGTGTGAGCACACATGCAGAGTGTTGGGTGTGTTTGTTGTGGTGAAAGTGTTGCTGGTGGTGCTATGCCCTCTGGTTCCCAACGTGGTGTGTGTGAGCACACATGCAGAGTGTTGGGTGTGTTTGTTGTGGTGAAAGTGTTGCTGGTGGTGCTATGCCCTCTGGTTCCCAACGTGGTGTATGTGAGCACACATGCAGAGTGTTGGGTGTGTTTGTCTTGTGGTGAAAGTGTTGCTAGTGGTGCTAAGCCCCCTGGTTCCAAACACGGTGTGTACAGTGTACAGTGCTGTCAGTGTATGTAGACCTCCTGTTTCATGTCTTCACGTATCAGGGGCGGTCGGGTAGCCTAGTGGTTAAAGCGTTGGCTCGTCACGCCGAAGACCCGGGTTCGATTCCCGACATGGGTACAATGTGTGAAGCCCATTTCTGGTGACCCCTGTCGTGATATTGCTGGAATATTGCTAAAAGTGGCGTAAAACCATACTCACTCACTCACTCTTCACATATCAAGAGATTAAAACAATGTCTACAGGCACACATGAGGGAATTGTGTTACCAAGTCTCCTTGTCTCCTGGTCTCCTGGTCTCCTAGTCTCCTGGTCTCCTAGTCTCCTGGTCTCCTGGTCTCTAGTCTCCTGGTCTCCTAGTCTCCTGGTCTCCTAGTCTCCTGGTCTCCTGGTTTACATGTCTCCTGGTCTCCTAGTCTCCTAGTCTCCTGGTCTCCTAGTCTCCTGGTCTCCTGGTCTCCTAGTCTCCTGGTCTCCTAGTCTCCTAGTCTCCTGGTCTCCTAGTCTCCTAGTCTCCTGGTCTCCTGGTTTACATGTCTCCTAGTCTCCTGGTTTACATGTCTCCTAGTCTCCTGGTCTCCTGGTCTCCTGGTCTCCTAGTCTCCTGGTCTCCTGGTCTCCTAGTCTCCTGGTCTCCTGGTTTACATGTCACCTGGTCTCCTGGTCTCCTGGTCTGCTAGTCTCCTGGTCTCCTGGTCTCCTGGTTTACATGTCTCCTGGTCTCCTGGTTTACATGTCTCCTAGTCTCCTGGTCTTCTGGTCTCCTAGTCTCCTAGTCTCCTGGTCTCCTGGTCTCTAGTCTCCTGGTCTCCTAGTCTCCTAGTCTCCTGGTTTACATGTCTCCTAGTCTCCTGGTCTCCTGGTTTACATGTCTCCTAGTCTCCTGGTCTCCTGGTTTACATGTCTCCTAGTCTCCTGGTCTCCTGGTCTCCTAGTCACCTTGTCTCCTGGTCTCCTGGTCTCCTGGTCTCCTAGTCTCCTGGTCTCCTGGTTTACATGTCTCCTGGTCTCCTGGTCTCCTAGTCTCCTGGTCTCCTGGTCTCCTAGTCTCCTGGTCTCCTGGTTTACATGTCTCCTCGTCTCCTCGTCTCCTAGTCTCCTGGTCTCCTGGTCTCCTAGTCTCCTGGTCTCCTGGTTTACATGTCTCCTAGTCTCCTGGTTTACATGTCTCCTGGTCTCCTGGTTTACATGTCTCCTAGTCTCCTAGTCTCCTGGTCTCCTAGTCTCCTGGTCTCCTGGTCTCCTAGTCTCCTGGTCTCCTAGACTCCTGGTCTCCTGGTTTACATGTCTCCTCGTCTCCTGGTCTCTTAGTCTCCTAGTCTCCTAGTCTCCTGGTCTCCTGGTTTACATGTCTCCTGGTCTCCTGGTCTCCTGGTCTCCTGGTCTCCTGGTCTCCTCGTCTCCTGGTTTACATGTCTCCTAGTCTCCTGGTCTCCTAGTCTCCTAGTCTCCTCGTCTCCTGGTCTCCTGGTCTCCTAGTCCCTAGTCTCCTGGTCTCCTGGTCTCCTGGTTTACATGTCTCCTAGTCTCCTGGTCTCCTGGTCTCCTAGTCTCCTGGTCTCCTCGTCTCCTGGTCTCCTAGTCTCCTCGTCTCCTGGTCTCCTCGTCTCCTGGTCTCCTAGTCTCCTGGTCTCCTGGTCTCCTCGTCTCCTGGTCTCCTGGTTTACATTTCTCCTGGTCTCCTGGTCTCCTGGTCTACATGTCTCCTAGTCTCCTGGTCTCCTGGTCTCCTGGTCTCCTGGTCTCCTCGTCTCCTGGTCTCCTGGTTTACATGTCTCCTAGTCTCCTGGTCTCCTGGTTTACATGTCTCCTAGTCTCCTGGTCTCCTGGTCTCCTAGTCTCCTCGTCTCCTCGTCGCCTCGTCGCCTGGTCTCCTAGTCTCCTAGTCTCCTAGTCTCCTGGTCTCCTGGTCTCCTAGTCTCCTAGTCTCCTGGTTTCCTCGTCTCCTGGTCTCCTAGTCTCCTAGTCTCCTGGTCTCCTGGTCTCCTCGTCTCCTTGTTTACATGTCTCCTGGTCTCCTGGTCTCCTGGTCTCCTGGTTTACATTTCTCCTCGTCTCCTGGTCTCCTGGTCTCCTAGTCTCCTAGTCTCCTGGTCTCCTGGTCTCCTAGTCTCCTAGTCTCCTGGTCTCCTGGTCTCCTAGTCTCCTAGTCTCCTAGTCTCCTAGTCTCCTGGTCTCCTGGTTTACATTTCTCCTGGTTTACATTTCTCCTGGTCTCCTGGTCTCCTGGTTTACATTTCTCCTGGTTTACATTTCTCCTAGTCTCCTGGTCTCCTGGTCTCCTAGTCTCCTAGTCTCCTAGTCTCCTAGTCTCCTCGTCTCCTGGTCTCCTGGTTTACATTTCTCCTGGTTTACATTTCTCCTGGTCTCCTGGTCTCCTGGTTTACATTTCTCCTGGTTTACATTTCTCCTAGTCTCCTGGTCTCCTGGTCTCCTAGTCTCCTAGTCTCCTAGTCTCCTGGTCTCCTGGTCTCCTGGTCTCCTGGGTTACATTTCTCCTGGTTTACATTTCTCCTGGTCTCCTGGTCTCCTAGTCTCCTGGTCTCCTGGTCTCCTGGTTTACATTTCTCCTCGTCTCCTGGTCTCCTAGTCTCCGAGTCTCCTAGTCTCGTCTCCTGGTCTCCTGGTCTCCTAGTCTCCTGGTCTCCTAGTCTCCTAGTCTCCTCGTCTCCTCATCTCCTCGTCTCCTGGTCTCCTGGTCTCCTGGTCTCCTAGTCTCCTCGTCTCCTCGTCGCCTCGTCGCCTGGTCTCCTAGTCTCCTAGTCTCCTGGTCTCCTGGTCTCCTAGTCTCCTAGTCTCCTGGTTTCCTCGTCTCCTGGTCTCCTAGTCTCCTAGTCTCCTGGTCTCCTGGTCTCCTCGTCTCCTTGTTTACATGTCTCCTGGTCTCCTGGTCTCCTGGTCTCCTGGTTTACATTTCTCCTCGTCTCCTGGTCTCCTGGTCTCCTAGTCTCCTAGTCTCCTGGTCTCCTGGTCTCCTAGTCTCCTAGTCTCCTAGTCTCCTAGTCTCCTGGTCTCCTGGTTTACATTTCTCCTGGTTTACATTTCTCCTGGTCTCCTGGTCTCCTGGTTTACATTTCTCCTGGTTTACATTTCTCCTAGTCTCCTGGTCTCCTGGTCTCCTAGTCTCCTAGTCTCCTGGTCTCCTGGTCTCCTGGTCTCCTGGGTTACATTTCTCCTGGTTTACATTTCTCCTGGTCTCCTGGTCTCCTAGTCTCCTGGTCTCCTGGTCTCCTGGTCTCCTGGTTTACATTTCTCCTCGTCTCCTGGTCTCCTAGTCTCCGAGTCTCCTAGTCTCGTCTCCTGGTCTCCTGGTCTCCTAGTCTCCTGGTCTCCTAGTCTCCTAGTCTCCTCGTCTCCTCATCTCCTCGTCTCCTGGTCTCCTCGTCTCCTGGTCTCCTAGTCTCCTCGTCTCCTCGTCGCCTCGTCGCCTGGTCTCCTAGTCTCCTAGTCTCCTGGTCTCCTGGTCTCCTAGTCTCCTAGTCTCCTGGTTTCCTCGTCTCCTGGTCTCCTAGTCTCCTAGTCTCCTGGTCTCCTCGTCTCCTCGTCTCCTTGTTTACATGTCTCCTGGTCTCCTGGTCTCCTGGTCTCCTGGTTTACATTTCTCCTCGTCTCCTTGTTTACATGTCTCCTGGTCTCCTGGTCTCCTGGTCTCCTGGTTTACATTTCTCCTGGTTTACATTTCTCCTAGTCTCCTGGTCTCCTGGTCTCCTAGTCTCCTGGTCTCCTGGTCTCCTGGTCTCCTGGGTTACATTTCTCCTGGTTTACATTTCTCCTGGTCTCCTGGTCTCCTAGTCTCCTGGTCTCCTGGTCTCCTGGTCTCCTGGTTTACATTTCTCCTCGTCTCCTGGTCTCCTAGTCTCCGAGTCTCCTAGTCTCGTCTCCTGGTCTCCTGGTCTCCTGGTCTCCTGGTCTCCTCGTCTCCTGGTTTACATGTCTCCTCGTCTCCTGGTCTCCTCGTCTCCTGGTCTCCTGGTTTACATTTCTCCTGGTCTCCTGGTCTCCTGGTCTCCTGGAACGGCCTGTGATCTGGGTTCCTACAGTATCACATAGAAATACTTTCTGAAGGAGAACCTTCTCTACTGTGTTGTGTTTTGTCTGTTGTTGATGTTGTGACATTGTTCCTGTTCCAGTGGTGTGGCGCTGTGTGTCCACCATCATCATCTTCCTCTACCTGCTGGACGAAAACACCAGCCTCCTCGTCCTCATCCCGGCCGGTATTGGCTCCATCATCGAGGTATGTTTCACTCACATCCCCTACTTGCCCTGTTGATCAGTATCCTCCAGGCCAGTGTGTGTGTGTCATGGGGTCCTGGATTGATTTACATGTGGCTTAGCGTAGTGGTTAAGGTGGTCACTTGTTACGGTGAAGGTCTGGGTTTGATTCCCTACATGGGTACAATGTGAGATGGATGGTGTTGCCCTCCATGTTATAGCTGGTGTAAAGTAGGGTCAAATCAGGGTCAAATGAATCACACGCTTCTTGGAAGCTCCCATTTATTCATCTAAAGATAGGATTTGCAAAAAACTTGGAATCAACAAGAATCAGGTTGACAAAAACGGAATTAGAATCAAAGCATTTCAAACACTTTCTAACAGCTGGAATATTGCTAAAAGTGGCATGAAACCATCCTCACTCACTCACTCACTGCCTGCCACTCTTATACAGCTGGAATATTGCTGTCATGGTGACCAGAGTGTCTCCGGCACCCAAGGACCCGTGAAGATCCGGGGTAGAATAGGTCTTCAGCAACCCATGCTTGTCTCCCCATCAAGATCCGGGGTAGAATACGTCTTCAGCAACCCATGCTTGTCTCCCCGTGAATATCCGGGGTAGAATACATCTTCAGCAACCCATGCTTGTCTCCCCATGAAGATCCGGGGTAGAATAGATCTGCAGCAACCCATGCTTGTCTCCCCGTGAAGATCCGGGGTAGAATAGGTTTCAGCAACCCATGCTTGTCTCCCCGTGAAGATCCGGGGTAGAATAGATCTGCAGCAACCCATGCTTGTCTCCCCGTGAAGATCCGGGGTAGAATAGGTTTCAGCAACCCATGCTTGTCTCCCCGTGAAGATCCGGGGTAGAATAGGTTTCAGCAACCCATGCTTGTCTCCCCATGAAGATCCGGGGTAGAATAGATCTTCAGCAACCCATGCTTGTCTCCCCGTGAAGATCCGGGGTAGAATAGATCTTCGGCAACCCATGCTTGTCTCCCCGTGAAGATCCGGGATAGATAGATCTTCGGCAACCCATGCTTGTTATAAAAGGTTATAATGCTCATGATGCTTGTCGTGAGAGGCGACTAACAGGATCGGGTGGTTAGGCTCGCTGACTTGGTTGATGCATGTCATCGTATCCCAATCGTGTGGATCGATGCTCATGATGTCGATCACTGGATTGTGTGGTCTAGACTTGATCATTTACAGACCATCATCATATAGCTGGAATATTGCTGAGTGTGGTGTTAAACAACAAACAAGCAAACAAATCCTGCACCCAAGGTAGATGATGGGAACACAAACATATAAACACTGGTGCCCAGATACAGCGCTTATATAGGCTAAACAACGTACTTGTCATGGTAGGGCTCTGTGCTGTCAACGTACTTGTCATGTTAGGGCTCAGTGCTGTCAACATACTTGTCATGTTAGGGCTCTGTGCTGTCAACATACTTGTCATGTTAGGGCTCTGTGCTGTCAACATACTTGTCATGGTAGGGCTCTGTGCTGTCAACATACTTGTCATGGTAGGGCTCTGTGCTGTCAACATACTTGTCATGTTAGGGCTCTGTGCTGTCAACATACTTGTCATGTTAGGGCTCGGTGCTGTCAACATACTTGTCATGTTAGGGCTCTGTGCTGTCAACATACTTGTCATGGTAGGGCTCTGTGCTGTCAACATACTTGTCATGTTAGGGCTCTGTGCTGTCAACATACTTGTCATGTTAGGGCTCTGTGCTGTCAACATACTTGTCATGGTAGGGCTCTGTGCTGTCAACATACTTGTCATGTTAGGGCTCTGTGCTGTCAACATACTTGTCATGGTAGGGCTCTGTGCTGTCAACATACTTGTCATGGTAGGGCTCTGTGCTGTCAACATACCTGTCATGTTAAGGCTCTGTACTGTCAACATACTTGTCATGTTAGGGCTCTGTGCTGTCAACATACTTGTCATGGTAGGTCTCTGTGCTGTCAACATACTTGTCATGTTAAGGCTCTGTGCTGTCAACGTACTTGTCATGTTAGGGCTCTGTGCTGTCAACATACTTGTCATGGTAGGGCTCTGTGCTGTCAACATACTTGTCTTGGTAGGGCTCTGTGCTGTCAACATACTTGTCATGTTAGGGCTCTGTGCTGTCAACATACTTGTCATGGTAGGGCTCTGTGCTGTCAACATACTTGTCATGTTAAGGCTCTGTGCTGTCAACATACTTGTCATGTTAGGGCTCTGTGCTGTCAACATACTTGTCATGGTAGGGCTCTGTGCTGTCAACATACTTGTCATGTTAAGGCTCTGTGCTGTCAACGTACTTGTCATGTTAGGGCTCTGTGCTGTCAACATAGTTGTCATGGTAGGGCTCTGTGCTGTCAACATACTTGTCATGTTATGGCTCTGTGCTGTCAACATACTTGTCATGGTAGGGCTCTGTGCTGTCAACATACTTGTCATGTTAGGGCTCTGTGCTGTCAACATACTTGTCATGGTAGGGCTCTGTGCTGTCAACATACTTGTCATGTTGAGGCTCTGTGCTGTCAACGTACTTGTCATGTTAGGGCTCTGTGCTGTCAACATACTTGTCATGGTAGGGCTCTGTGCTGTCAACATACTTGTCATGTTAAGGCTCTGTGCTGTCAACATACTTGTCATGTTAGGGCTCTGTGCTGTCAACATACTTGTCATGGTAGGGCTCTGTGCTGTCAACATACTTGTCATGCTAAGGCTCTGTGCTGTCAACGTACTTGTCATGTTAGGGCTCTGTGCTGTCAACATAGTTGTCATGTTAGGGCTCTGTGCTGTCAACATACTTGTCATGGTAGGGCTCTGTGCTGTCAACATACTTGTCATGTTAATGCTCTGTGCTGTCAACGTACTGGTCATGTTAGGGCTCTGTGCTGTCAACATAGTTGTCATGGTAGGGCTCTGTGCTGTCAACATACTTGTCATGTTAGGGCTCTGTGCTGTCAACATACTTGTCATGGTAGGGCTCTGTGCTGTCAACATACTTGTCATGGTAGGGCTCTGTGCTGTCAACATACTTGTTATGTTAGGGCTCTGTGCTGTCAACATACTTGTCATGGTAGGGCTCTGTGCTGTCAACATACTTGTCATGTCAGGGCTCTGTGCTGTCAACATACTTGTCATGTTAGGGCTCTGTGCTGTCAACATACTTGTCATGGTAGGGCTCTGTGCTGTCAACATACTTGTCATGTTAAGGCTCTGTGCTGTCAACGTACTTGTCATGTTAGGGCTCTGTGCTGTCAACATACTTGTCATGGTAGGTCTCTGTGCTGTCAACGTACTTGTCATGTTAGGGCTCTGTGCTGTCAACATACTTGTCATGGTAGGGCTCAGTGCTGTCAACGTACTTGTCATGTTAGGGCTCTGTGCTGTCAACATACTTGTCATGGTAGGGCTCTGTGCTGTCATAGAATTGTTGGAGTCGTACTTGACGTGATCATGTGACTTGCTTGTTCCACAGATATGGAAAGTAACAAAAGCATTTAAGCTCAAGGTCACCTGGAATGGAATTAAGCCATCATTTGAGGTAAGCATCCATATGTTTTATGAAGTTTGGTTATAGTCTATACATTATTTGTGTGTGATGACAAGACTGTTAACAGTGGTTTGGACATTTGCAGAATTATATGGTGGATAAGAAAGTAAAATCTTCAAATCAAACATTTTGCAATACTGGCTATGTCCTGAAGTCACTGATAGGGTCAAACTTGAATTTGATTGGTTTTATTTAAAATTTTGCTTTCACAACTTTGGGATAAATACGAAGTTTTATGAAGATGGGTTAACATGTGCTTGTGTAGAATAACCTTTGTCCATATTGTGGTCCATGTGATTTCCCATGATTCTTAGTCATGTGACACAGGACAAGCTATCCTCTGAAATGGACTCCACTAGGAGGTTGTCAGTAGGCATTGTCGTGTGTCCCGTCATGTGATCTCTGAGTGGGAAGGAAGCTCCAGTAGTGTGATAATGTTCCTCTCTTCACAGTTTGGGAAGTCATCGGACAAAGAGAAAGAAACACAGCAATTTGATTCCCAGGTATGGTGTGTTCATTGTGTTAATTACATCATGAATAAATAACAATGTGTACATAACATCACAGAATAAATAACATTGTGTTAATTACATCATGAATAAATAACATGTTCATTCATCACTGAATAAATAGAATTGTGTTAATAACATCATGAATAAATAACATTGTGTTTATTACATCACTGAATAAATAACATTGTGTTAATAAAATCATGAATAAATAACATTGTGTTCACTACATCATTGAATAAATAACATTGTGTTCATTACACTCATGAATGAATAACATTGTGTTCATTACGCTCATGAATAAATAACATTGTGTTCATTACATCTCTGAATAAATAACATTGTGTTCATTACAACACTGAATAAATAACATTGTGTTCATTACATCACTGAATAAATAATATTGTTCCTTACATCATTGAATAAATAACATTGTGTTCATTACGCTCATGAATAAATAACATTGTGTTCATTACAACACTGAATAAATAACATTGTGTTCATTACATCACTGAATAAATAACATTGTGTTCATTACAACACTGAATAAATAACATTGTGTTCATTACATCACTGAATAAATAATATTGTTCCTTACATCATTGAATAAATAACATTGTGTTCATTACAACACTGAATAAACAACATTGTGTTCATTACACTCATGAATAAATAACATTGTGTTCATTACATCACTGAATAAATAACATTGTGTTCATAACAACACTGAATAAATAACATTGTGTTCATTACATCACTGAATAAATAATATTGTGTTCATTACACTCATGAATAAATAATATTGTTCCTTACATCATTGAATAAATAACATTGTGTTCATTACATCATAAATAGATAACAGAGGTTGGCAAATGACTACCTTGAAAAATATCTTGTGGCGACTAAATTCCGTTGCTTCACATACGTAGACACAAATATGAATAATTTGATTGACATTTGCGACACCATTTTCTCAATCGCCACTGTTTTCACGGTCGCAATGGAACGCATATACTGTACTCATCGTTTGTTTCATTAACATTCCCATAACTCAATGCAGTTTTACGAGGGATTCGGTTCAGGAAACTCTTTCAACACCGTAGACCGGTACACCGGCCAAGAATCCTCGAGTCCCCAGACACTGTAGGCCGGTAGGCCAGCCAAGCCGTAGTCACGTCAAAATAGGATATAATTTTATGAACATATTCATTTATTTATTAAATCTAACACATTTCACAATGTTTGAAATACGTATTCCATTTCAATTTATAATTTTTATCGATAGATTAAAAAATTATTCACCATTTCCCGCAATGTTGATTAGCTGCCTTAGGTCACATGCTCCAATTTGACCAATCACGAATCTTGTAGCAGATTTCGGCTAGAAAGCGTCATTAGAAACCAATGTTTATCCAATAAAATTCCATGTGAGTATTGCAACAGATAAGAAAAAAACTCCAGGTGATGTTACGACCGTGTAGATGAAAAAACAAGCTTTCTAGCGGTGTGTCATATGATAGTCTTCATTTTATTCAGAAGAACGTTCGAAAACGGAGGTATTTCTTCATCTTACTGAGTGCCTTTTGCGGGAAATAAATGATTTCATTGTTGCTAATTTAAGAAAAAAGGGAACCTGGAACAATATTCATTGCATAAGGTAATTGTAACACCATTTACAATACCGGTATTCGCTTTTAATGTCTTATCTCTTTGAATATATTCGGTTACGATCTAAACACACATTGTCGAAAACCTATAGAAATCTGTTAATGACAGGTTGTTGTCTCCTGCATGCCAACGAAACGAACAGCAGATCGTGGAAAACATGTGTGCTAATAATAACTGTACTCGCGAATTATTCCTCCTAAAGTCGACAATGAACAGAAATACATAATTATAATGTAATTACTATTTTATTTCAGTTGACAATGTTCATGGGATAAGCAAGGATATACCTATGTCATCTACTAAAATAAAGTACATCATTCGAGGCACAAATAACAAAAATCAAGTACACTAATATACAATTTCAAGCCTAGTGCTATGACTTGTACATTTTATAATAGTTATTTGATAAAAGATAATTTCAAATGTTTTTGGCTACCTAAAATTTTGGCTTGTCTCGTTGATTTTACCACTGGCTACCTGGAAAAACATTGTGTTCATTACATCATTGAATAAATAACATTGTGAACATCACGTCATTATCATAAAGTAACTGTGTTAATGACTATTATTGAATAAATAACATTGTGAACATCACGTCATTATCAAACAAGTAACTGTGTTAATGACTATTATTGAATAAATAACATTGTGAACATCACGTCATTATCAAACAAGTAACTGTGTTAATGACTATTATTGAATAAATAACATTGTGAACATCACGTCATTATCAAACAAGTAACTGTGTTAATGACTATTATTGAATAAATAACATTGTGAACATCACGTCATTATCAAACAAGTAACTGTGTTAATGACTATTATTGAATAAATAACATTGTGAACATCACGTCATTATCAAACAAGTAACTGTGTTAATGACTATTATTGAATAAATAACATTGTGAACATCACGTCATTATCAAATAAGTAACTGTGTTAATGACTATTATTGAATAAATAACATTGTGAACATCACGTCATTATCAAATAAGTAACTGTGTTAATGACTATTATTGAATAAATAACATTGTGAACATCACGTCATTATCAAACAAGTAACTGTGTTAATGACTATTATTGAATAAATAACATTGTGAACATCACGTCATTATCAAATAAGTAACTGTGTTAATGACTATTATTGAATAAATAACATTGTGAACATCACGTCATTATCATAAAGTAACTGTGTTAATGACTATTATTGAATAAATAACATTGTGAACATCACGTCATTATCATAAAGTAACTGTGTTAATGACTATTATTGAATAAATAACATTGTGAACATCACGTCATTATCAAACAAGTAACTGTGTTAATGACTATTATTGAATAAATAACATTGTGAACATCACGTCATTATCAAACAAGTAACTGTGTTAATGACTATTATTGAATAAATAACATTGTGAACATCACGTCATTATCAAACAAGTAACTGTGTTAATGACTATTATTGAATAAATAACATTGTGAACATCACGTCATTATCAAACAAGTAACTGTGTTAATGACTATTATTGAATAAATAACAGGTTTGTAGGATAGAAACACTTTTTCACTCAAACTGATGGAAATCTAAAGTTGAAGTCAAAGAGCTTGAATTTACTTTAGAAATGAATTTGTGATAATACTGTTTAAAGTTCTTCTAGACAGATCATGTGTTGTGGATAACTAAAGTACAGAATAACTTGTACAGTAATAACTGAACATTAGACTGAAGGTGCTGGTTGCTGGTTGCTGGTGTACATTGTGGAAATGATGAACTGTTGTGTGTGTTCCAGGCTATGAAGTACTTGTCCTACGTCCTGTATCCGCTGTGTATAGCAGGGGCTGGCTACTCTCTGTTCTACGTGCAACATAAAAGGTGGGTGCCATAGCAAGGTGAATACTACACATATCGGTCGACAAAATTAGTGGAAAATCTTTTCAATTAGCATCTGCTATTCTTGATCCTGATCGGTCAAGGTCTGTTTTTGTTCAAGTCTTGTTGTATATTTAAGGGACTCTGTTGTATGTTCAAGGGACCCAGTTGTATGTTCAAGGGAATTTGTTGTGTTCAAGCGAGCCTGTTGCCTTCAAGGATCTCTGTTGTATGTTCAAGGGACTAATTTGACATCTTGTTGTCCAGCAATTATCACTTCTTCAAGTGGCACTACGTTGGTATGATGAACAAGGGAGATAATTCCATGGATATACAACTTCTTGTTACTATGAATGCAACATTACCACACCTGTTGGATGAAGAAAGATTCAGTAGAGACTTGTGAAATATGGAAATGATGGTTCTGACAACGAGCTTTGTCATCAGCGACAGGCCCACTTCATGCAAGTCTCTCCAGCAGCTCTTTATTTGACAGATGGATGGATATTGACAGATGCTGATGTTTATGATGTTGTTATTTTCAGCTGGTACTCCTGGTGTATACACAGTTCTGTTAATGGTAAGTGCTAACCTTCGTCGCCACCATTCACGCCTGCTGCACCCAGTCAGCCTGTCTAATGGTAAAGGCAGCCTGAGTAATGGTAGAGGCAGCCTGTGTAATGGTAGAGGCAGCCTGTCTAAGGGTAGAGTCAGCCTGAGTAATGGTAGAGGCAGCCTGTGTAATAGTAGAGGCAGCCTGAGTAATGGTAGAGGCAGCCTGAGTAACGGTAGAGGCAGCCTGTGTAATGGTAGAGGCAGCCTGTCTAAGGGTAGAGGCAGCCTGAGTAATGGTAGAGGCAGCCTGTGTAATAGTAGAGGCAGCCTGAGTAATGGTAGAGGCAGCCTGAGTAATGGTAGAGGCAGCCTGAGTAATGGTAGAGGCAGCCTGTGTAATGGTAGAGGCAGCCTGTCTAAGGGTAGAGGCAGCCTGAGTAATGGTAGAGGCAGCCTGTGTAATAGTAGAGGCAGCCTGAGTAATGGTAGAGGCAGCCTGAGTAATGGTAGAGGCAGCCTGAGTAACGGTAGAGGCAGCCTGTGTAATGGTAGAGGCAGCCTGTCTAAGGGTAGAGGCAGCCTGAGTAATGGTAGAGGCAGCCTGTGTAATAGTAGAGGCAGCCTGAGTAATGGTAGAGGCAGCCTGAGTAATGGTAGAGGCAGCCTGTGTAATGGTAGAGGCAGCCTGTGTAATGGTAGAGGCAGCCTGTGTAATGGTAGAGGCAGCCTGAGTAATGGTAGAGGCAGCCTGTAATGGTAGAGGCAGCCTGAGTAATGATGGTAGAGGCAGCCTGAGTAATGGTAGAGGCAGCCTGAGTAATGGTAGAGGCAGCCTGTGTAATGGTAGAGGCAGCCTGAGTAATGGTAGAGGCAGCCTGAGTAATGGTAGAGTCAGCCTGAGTAATGGTAGAGGCAGCCTGTGTAATGGTAGAGGCAGCCTGTCTAATGGTAGAGGCAGCCTGAGTAATGGTAGAGGCAGCCTGAGTAATGGTAGAGGCAGCCTGTGTAATGGTAGAGGCAGCCTGAGTAATGGTAGAGGCAGCCTGAGTAACGGTAGAGGCAGCCTGTGTAATGGTAGAGGCAGCCTGTCTAAGGGTAGAGGCAGCCTGAGTAATGGTAGAGGCAGCCTGTGTAATAGTAGAGGCAGCCTGAGTAATGGTAGAGGCAGCCTGAGTAATGGTAGAGGCAGCCTGTGTAATGGTAGAGGCAGACTGTGTAATGGTAGAGGTAGCCTGTGTAATGGTAGAGGCAGCCTGAGTAATGGTAGAGGCAGCCTGTAATGGTAGAGGCAGCCTGAGTAATGATGGTAGAGGCAGCCTGAGTAATGGTAGAGGCAGCCTGAGTAATGGTAGAGGCAGCCTGTGTAATGGTAGAGGCAGCCTGAGTAATGGTAGAGGCAGCCTGAGTAATGGTAGAGTCAGCCTGAGTAATGGTAGAGGCAGCCTGTGTAATGGTAGAGGCAGCCTGTCTAATGGTAGAGGCAGCCTGAGTAATGGTAGAGGCAGCCTGAGTAATGGTAGAGGCAGCCTGTGTAATGGTAGAGGCAGCCTGTCTAATGGTAGAGGCAGCCTGAGTAATGGTAGAGGCAGCCTGTGTAATGGTAGAGGCAGCCTGTGTAATGGTAGAGGCAGCCTGAGTAATGGTAGAGTCAGCCTGAGTAATGGTAGAGGCAGCCTGAGTAATGGTAGAGGTAGCCTGTGTAATAGTAGAGGTAGCCTGTGTAATGGTAGAGGCAGCCTGTCTAAGGGTAGAGGCAGCCTGAGTAATGGTAGAGGCAGCCTGTGTAATGGTAGAGGCAGCCTGAGTAATGGTAGAGGCAGCCTGTGTAATGGTAGAGGTAGCCTGTGTAATGGTAGAGGCAGCCTGTCTTATGGTAGAGGAAGCCTGTGTAATGGTAGAGGCAGCCTGTGTAATGGTAGAGGCAGCCTGTGTAATGGTAGAGGCAGCCTGTCTAAGGGTAGAGACAGCCTGAGTAATGGTAGAGGCAGCCTGTGTAATGGTAGAGGCAGCCTGAGGCCTGACAGTGTAGACTTTGTTGTCCTCCTTCTTGTCATTTTGGTAGCAGTACATTACTCCAGACTTAATTTTGCAGAAATGTCAATATCGTTGATCACTCTGCGTCATTGGTCCCTCCACAGAGCATGTACTGCAAGTTTCTAAAAAGGAAGACGACATGACAACATCATTTCAACAGAAATAGTTTGTTCTAATATATTGTTGTATATTGATCGACAATCTCATTTCAATCGGATCTTTTACTGTGATATGATGCCTCTGTGCATGAAGATCTGAAGACGCCTGTTGGAGGTCATGTCAGGTGAACTTTCCATCCAGCCAATCAGCATGGAGACTTCTACATTCTCAGTTTGACTGAGCAACTATTCCTACCAGCATGGTTGATTTGTGTATCTTAAGTGAACTAAACCGACCTACTCTAAATGTAGAGGAAGACCACGTTATGATAGTGTTGTAGAAATGTCATACAGCGTCTCTCTCCAAGCACTGTGCCATCTTCACCAAAACAGGAATACCATGGAAGGAATATTACTGTCTTCATTTTTTTCTGTAGTACAAATCAAGATCTCTGTATTGAGGTGGTAGAGAAATAAGACCGAATAGTTTTAGAAGAGCTGACATCTGATTGGTCCAAGACCCCAGTGACAATCCACACATCCGTCAATTAGGCTGAATGGTCATGTCTGGTGAGATCATTTGAGGTAAGGTCATGTGTGGTGAGGTCATGTGTGGTCATGACCTCACCACACATGACCTCACCTCAAATGATCTCACCAGACATGACCTTACCACACCCGGCCTCCCCACACATGATCTCACCACACATGATCTCACCACACATGATCTCACCACACATGATCTCACCACACATGATCTCACCACACATGACCTCACCACACATGATCTCACCACACATGACCTCACCTCAAATGATCTCACCAGACATGACCTTACCAGACCCGGCCTCCCCACACATGATCTCACCACACATGATCTCACCACACATGATCTCACCACACATGATCTCACCACACATGACCTCACTACACACCTCACCTCACCTCACACGACCTCACCTCACACAACCTCACGTATGGAGGTATTGTGTTGGAGTAAAAGTTTTGATTGTAATGAGATTGTATTGAGCGATATCAGTCATGCCAAATAATATTATTGACTGTGATGTAATGCTCTCTCGTTCAAGAACTCAATTGTTTTTTCAGTTGATATAATTCTGTGTTTCTGTTTTACAGGGGTGTATGCATTTGGCTTCATCTTCATGTTACCACAGTTGTTTGTTAATTATAAGGTGAGTTCAATACTGGTACATTCCGGGGCCCCGGGCAGATTGACAGTAAACCCCCGGGCCACTTGTTTGTTAATTATAAGGTGAGTTCAATACTGGAACATTCCAGGGCCCCGGGCAGATTGACAGTAAACCCCCGGGCCACTTGTTTGTTAATTATAAGGTGAGTTCAATACTGGTACATTCCGGGGCCCCGGGCAGATTGACAGTAAACCCCCGGGCCACTTGTTTGTTAATTATAAGGTGAGTTCAATACTGGTACATTCCGGGGCCCCGGGCAGATCGATAGTAAACCCCCGGGCCACTTGTTTGTTAATTATAAGGTGAGTTCAATACTGGAACATTCCGGGGCCCCAGGCAGATTGACAGTAAACCCCCGGGCCACTTGTTTGTTAATTATAAGGTGAGTTCAATACTGGTACATTCCGGGGCCCCGGGCAGATTGACAGTAAACCCCCGGGCCACTTGTTTGTTAATTATAAGGTGAGTTCAATACTGGAACATTCCGGGGCCCCGGGCAGATCGATAGTAAACCCCCGGGCCACTTGTTTGCAGGACAGCAACTATTGTGGGTATGTTGTATTGTTAACTATCTTGGTGGGAGTACACCTAGTCTATCACATTGCAGTGTAAAGTGTGGATGTATTCTTATCTGTTACCATTCACTGATGTCAGCACAGTATTTATGTATATATGTGTCATCATTCACTGATGTCAGCACAGTATTTATGTATATTTGTGTCATCATTCACTGATGTCAGCACAGTATTTACATGTATTTGTGTCACCATTCATCAAGTATTTAAGTGGACATTATAAACTTTTTTTTCTGTTTTCAGCTAAAATCGGTAGCTCATCTCCCCTGGAGGGCTTTCATGTACAAAGTAAGTACCGTTGTCAAGTACCGTTGTCAAGTACCATTGTCAAGTGCTGTTTCAATCTCTTAAAATAGTGAGTGAGTGAGTATGGTTTTACGCCGCTTTTAGCAATATTCCATCAATATCACGGCGGGGGACACCAGAAATGGGCTTCCCACATTGTACCCATGTTGGGAATCAGTGTGACGAGCGAACGCTTTAACCACTACATAAACTCTGTAATGATGATATGTATTTAATGAAATAAACAATAAATTATATTTTGTATTTGCAATGACACCTCCAACCCCGTGACATAAATGAACGACAACCTGACCTCCTGACCTCACTCCCTGGAGATTTTCAACATGATAATTTGGTCTGTTTTGTAGGCATTCAACACATTTATTGATGATGTATTTGCCTTCATCATCGTCATGCCAACTGCTCACAGACTTGCCTGTTTCCGTGACGATGTGGTGTTCTTGATCTACTTATACCAAAGATGGTTTGTATATATTTGTTAGTGCTTGAGTGTTTTGTGTGTAACAAAAATATTTTGCCAGTTCTTGAAATTGACATGTTTTTGGCTATAGAAGAACGGCATCTGACAAGACAAATGTCATACACAGTCATACAAGGTCGGTTATTGTCATAATTGCTTGATCTACTTGTGTAAACAACCTGACTTCACTTGACACGGAACATGGCACTAGATCTAGCCTCCATCACGTTGTTTATTCAGAGCATCAGGTCATTGTGTCCAGCCATGTGCTGTGGACCTGACATGACAATATTCTCCAGTATGTCTATTTTCTGAGATGGACACACAGTTTTCTGCCTCCATTTCCTGACTTCCATTATTTACAGGCTGTACCCAGTGGACAAGACCCGGGTCAACGAGTTCGGCCAGTCCTTCGAGCAGGAAGACAAAGCCAAGAAGACAAACTGAGGGCATCGTGGAGAAAGCTGGCATGTTTATCCCGACTTGATCACACTGGGCCCTGTTTACTGCTACTGAAAATCTCATGAGAATATCAAAGTGTCTATTCAGATTTGAAAATTATAGAAAAATATTAGGCTTAAAAAAATAAAAGAATTGGCTCTCAGGCAATGTTTTGTGAAAATATAGTCTGGGTGATTGGTGTCATTTTTTTGGTTGTTCAAACTGGTATGTAACCAAATAAACAGTTGTGTAACCAAATAAACAGTTGTGTAACCAGATAAACAATTGTGTACAATCAGCTTTTGGAAAGGGCCCTCCCATATCAATGTATTCCTTGATAAGTAAAGTACTGCAATACAGTATTTGACTACGTTGAATTTGGAATATTTAAGGATTTTTTTATATTGTTTTAAAAATGGAAATGAAAATGAAACGTGTGGCGAACTTTGTGATGATGCGGGCGGTGCCTGAGAACCAAGACTATTTTTTTAGCCTTACTTTCCAAAGCTGTTTAATATATGCAATCAGTTTAGGGCAGAAAACGATAGTTGTTACAGAATATGTGAATGATAGCTGTATGTTCAGGACAAAAGGGTCGTGTGGCCAGTCATCTGAGGCGGCATTTTGTTGTGCAGTGTTGTGTCAGAACAGACTCTAGATTCCTGTTCCAGTCCAGATTGGAGACACGGGAGGTCATGATATGTATGTCAACACAATCAGGTTGTAAATAGTTCATCATCTTTCCAGTTTCCATGTCTTGTTTCCAGCATCAGCTGTCTGTGTTTATGTGTCTCTCATCTCCTGGAGGTTCTAAATGACTGACCCACTCAAACTACAAAGATTTTATGTCAATCAGCTACCACCCACCTCAATATTCATCATCCCGCTGTGCGAGACATTTAACATGTTTTCGTTTTTTATACAATATTTTCCTCAGTAGGACAAAAATAGGATCCCCTGCCTGTGTTTTCAGTGCTTTCAACCTCTCCATCTTCTAAGGCACCGCGATTCGGTGTGCAGAGTTGCGTCACTTGGGCAGGCCAGAAACCTATGATTTTGGGTTTGAATCCTAGTTCGCCCCGATTATGTTTCTAGGTTTGTCAGCACCATACCAGTGCTCGTGGGTTTCACCGAAGTGGTAAACGTCTAAGACCTGCATCACTTCGGGCTTTCCTCCAACACTAAACTGACACACTGCGATATAACTGTTATGAATACTGTTAAAAGCAGCGTTAAACCCAACTCACTCATTCACTCTTCCTGGAACTAAGCTTCAGAGACACGAGCACTGACGAGCACTGACGGGCACTGATGGGCACTGACGGGCACTGACGAGCACTGCACTGGGGGCACAATCTTGGTGCGCTCAGATCTGGTGCCTTAGACAATGTATCACTTGTATTGTCAATTGTTTAATTAAAAAAAAATGGGCGTGGAGATGAGGAAACACAAAACATAATTTAAATAAGAATGTCCTTTAAGAATGTTGATTGTTTCTAGTAACTGTATTTATGTGTGAATATCTTCAGGTATTGGCGTATTAGACTTGAAATCCAGCTTGACATGTTAATGTCTGCCATGGTTTGTGTGGCATTGGGATTTGTTCATGTTTCGGCCTTCTATTAATTAGTCTTAACACCAGCAAAACCGATTCAGACTATTTCAGTTTTTTTTGGTATTCTGTATGATGTTGATTGCCCTGACTATCTGGAGTCATTAGAGGAGACAACACAGGAATCCTCTACACACCATGAGGGTGTGGGGCAGTGGGGTAGCCTAGTGGTTACAGCGTTCGCTCTTCATGTTGATGGCCCGGGTTCCCGACATGGGTACAATGTGTGAAACCCATTTCTGGTGTCTCCTGCCGTGATGCTGCTGGAACATTGCTAAAAGCGGCGGAAAACCATACTCACTCACTCACTCACTGGCGTTCCTCACACACATGCAACTTAGTGTAAACAGAAGCTCCTGACACCACCACCACATACACTGTAACATTGTAGCATATGGATGAAACTTACCCTGTGTGGAGCTTGCTGTATTAGGCGACGGTTGGTCAGGCTTTCTGACTTGATTGATGCATGTCATTATATCCCAATTGCGTGGATTGATGCTCATAATGTCAATCACTGGATTGACTGGTCAAGACTCGATTATTTATAGACCACCTTCATACAGCTGGAATATTGCTGACTGTGGCGTTAAACCACAAACAATGACTAGCTGGTTGGTCAAGTGTGCTGTACTCTGTCCGTCCCAAGTGTCATGGGTGGCTTAGTCAGGCTCATTGATTGGTCTTCAGTAACAGTGGGTTGAGCACTTCAAAGTATGTAGGTCGTGTCGTGTACAACCTTATAAAAGGGAATACGCTCCAATAGTCCTGTTTTTTTGTTATGCTGTACATAGGAACACTACTCCACTACGTAGTCATGTCTCTACTGTCAGCACAGTATGAGTGTCAGCTGAAAAAACCCCAATTCCTCACACTAGATTGCAGAGACACAAGACATAATAAAGGTGATGCACCACATAGACATCCAGGTACCAGTCTTTGTGAAAAGGTTTCTCTGCAGCATGGGGCATGGTGCTTGGACTTTGATCTCTGGCTAAGATATCTGTCACATATACTAATGTTACTATTGTTTAAACTTAACTTATGTATACTTGGACCTTGTGCGAGTGAACCAAACACACTTTGAGCCAAGGCCAGACTTTTTGGGGGGATTGGTATAATTGGCCCCAAACTTCAGGTCACTAGGTCAAAGATTATAAAGAAAGAAATATATAATCTCAAATATATTTGTTTAATTTCTTGTTGTGAATTGTCATATTTTGTAGTGTTTTGAACTTTTAAAGATATATGTGAAACAGGCTGTATTATATTATTGTATTGTAAATAATTTAGGTGTGTTGATAGTGGCAGTAAATGAGTGGGGATTTTTAACACTCTACTTGTTTGATGTTGGCAAAATAAGGAAAACACTGTGTGTCATTTATTTAATTTTTTTCACATTTCAATTTTTCGGAGTCAGCAGATTAAACCAAGTTTTACAACATTTCTAGGCTAAGGTGAACGTGGGTTCGATATCCTGGTTTGCCCAAATATGTTTCTAGGTTTATCCCTGATCGTGGGTTTCACCCAAGTGGTAACATCTGAAACCTGCATCACTTCGGGCTTTCATTCCACATTAAGACACCCTGTGATATAAGTGGAATACTGTACAAAGCGGCGTTTAAACCAATCAACTCACTCTAAGACCATGACATTGTACACGTACAGCATACATACTGATGATACAACTGCATATAATTCCATAATTATTTTTGTTTTATTTGTTCATAGACAATCTTTTGTTTAGTGCTTACCGCTTATAATTCCATCATTATGTTTGTGTTTTCATGTTATGTGTTGAGAGACAATCTTTTGTTTACAGTAAAACCTTGTTAAGCTCTCTAGCTTTATTTTCTTTACTTCAAAACAATTTCTCATTTAAAGCTAAAACAACAAATGTGAAAATAATTAGCAATGAGTTTGATGAAGGACATAAGGTAGTACTTCTTGCTGTGCAGACACTCTTGCATCCAGTGTCCATCAGATTAGACTCAAATGTATATAAGGTATTTTACCAAATGTTTACATTGACCTCTGACACCATGCCTATGACACAGGAAGTCATCTGTCGACACATTGCATGTATCAAAGTAACGCAATCTGTCAATGATCAGACAACAGGCATGTCCTCAATGTGAAGTATGGTAAACAAACATGTTTACGTCAGTTCTTTTAGTAAACAGTCACCCAATCTGTTTGTTTCCTTGACAGAGGAGTCTGTGTTGAAGATTTGGAATATTGTCTCTATTTTGAATCTTAGTGTAAGACATTTACCAGAAAGCAATTTTTTTTTTTATCAATGTCTTGACTTTCATGCCTGAGATGAAATAATGACAAGAGATTACGTTGATCATATACAAGTATGTACATCAATTATTATCACAAGCATGTTGGTGAACATTACATTTTCTACAACTGACATATTGATGATGGTGATGGTCGGAGGGTATTGTAGGAGTGTCGGTGTACATGTGTGGTGGTGACTTCCGATCAACAAGGGACAGTTACTGTACTTTCTACTTCCATTATAATATGAGGATACTGTTGATTGTTTTGTACCTTGATAAATGGTATTGAACTCAGACCTTGTTGATTGTACCTGACTCTTCCGTGGACGAATACTGTGGTGAGGGAGAGACTTGTCTTTTCACTGATTGAAACACTGTGTCATCTCTTTAATTCAAACTGTGACCAGATCCTGACATTGCACCACCTCAGACCACTGGATCATCAAGATAGTGAAAGGTGGGGGGAGGTGGCGAATTATTGCTTAATGCTTCATCAGCAGTCACAGACAAAGAAATGGCTTCACATCAATGTCAGGAATCTGATCACATTAGATTAAGTGCATAGGTATATCGTAATGTTTCAAGCAAGGGTTTACTCATTTCTGTCCAAGTTGATGTAGGTAGTGGAGACTTACTCCCTTGTGAATCCCACAAGCACAGGTGTGGTGTCAACAGACCAAGGATCATAATCAGACCAATTCCACGATTCAAACCATTGCCCAGCAGATCCTGTCATCTAAGGGATGTAACTCAGGTAGTCAACTTTCAGTCATGCGGTCTTTAAAACATCAGGCAGCAGGAAGAGTTTGCATCACATTTATTTTATACAATAGAAATATTCAAACAATGAACACAATAAATAATAACCCTGTACAGATTCATACATTACATCATTCATGTACATTCAGTCCACTGATTTCTTTGGCTCTACACAATGGAGGCTGTGGGAGGTAAGAGAGGAAGCAGACAAGTTCTTCAATACTGGATATATTCAGCAAACTCAGCACACTGAGGTTGTCATGAGGTTACATGGGTCTATCCTAACATCGAGGTTATTGACTGAGGCTAGAATGTGCAGAAACCAGGCACAGCTAGGAATCCTGGGCCTTGGGCTATAACGGCTTCACAAACATGGAACTCATTAAATTGATTATAAATGGGTTTCCTCAAGTTAGTGTTTTATGCTTTGAAAAAGACGGCGTGTTAACAAATGATTTGATAGTAATCAATAAATGAGTAAAACATTTCATTTTCACTTATTGGAGATAAACTTTTAAGGATGAAGTTTTCTACTGAGATAGGATTATTTCTAAGGAATCTTAGAAATAGGATACACAAATGTCCATATAGGTCTATGTATACATATATATCAATACCTATCTTGTTGATGGATACGTTATACACACAGGATACAATTACTTTACCACTGTACCGTGTGTACACTCACATCCGGGGTCAGTACAAACAGTGAGGAAGCTGACGTGAGCTTCATCACACATCGAACCTGACAGACAACAACCATCTCTCGTAACACCTAATATCATCACTTTCAGGGGTTAGGGTCGGTCATCTGCCAAACAGCAACCAAAAGGTTAGTAACGTTCCACCAGCCACCACTCATGTCAGTAAGACGTCACACATGCCAGACTTGAGACAGGATGAAAAGGACACTGACCTAAATCATTGGAAATATTTTGTATGATCAATTATTTCATCAAATAAAATTCCCTGATCTTTCTTGTTGGGAATAATCTGGATGTAATCTGTTTAGTTCTCGGCGCTAACATCTGCTGTAGTGCCAGAGCTGGAACCTGCACTCTGTGGTGGTGCGTGGAGTCTCCACACATGCCACTGTGAGGAGTGCTATCAGTCGTCATCATCAATGGAGATGACGACCAAAACCTGTTGAAACTAAAGTCAACAGAACAAAGTACACACCATCAGATGCAGCATTGTACAAATAATCCTCCCAGCACACGACAGCCGGCTGATGCAACTCGTATTGTGGCAGAATATGTTGCAAGGAGCGGTGTCAGGTGAATTAGTACAATCCTTGCAGCGCTATTCCGTGCACACCTGTGTGACATCATTGTTAGCATTATGTTTGTTGTTTAATGCTGCACTGAGCAATATTCCAGCTATATGATGGCAGTCTCTAAATAATCGTGGCAGGACCATACAATCCAGTGATTGACATCATGAGCACCGATCTACGTAATTGGGATCGAAGACATGCATCAACCATGTCCGTGAGTCTGACCACCCCATCCTGTTAGTCACCTCTTACGGCAAGCATGGATTGCTGAAAACCTGTTCTAACCTAGATCTTCACAGATTTGTAAACAATAAGACTTCTCCTTGAGATTGTCTAGTGAGCAAAACAGTGAATACCCGTCTTCTACAGTTCACAGATACAGTCAACTCTCACTCACACTGTCACTTATCTTCAGTTCCACATGGCCAAGTCAATGATCCAACCATCCCACGTCTACTATCAATCACACAAGCTTGTGAACATGATCAATGGTGGTACTTGTAAACTCTTCTTCACAATTTCCTCAAAAACTATTAAGCACACGATGAATTGCAACTAGCTTAAAGTGTCGGCAAGGGGTCATGACACATTGATAAACTGTTTTCTCCAAGTAGCCTTCTTCATTACAGGGAATAACTCCAGCTATCTGACTGGCCTGACACTGTCTTGTAAAAGCCTATACAAGTCGGTCAGCCTTTTCAGACATCATGACGTCATAGCTTCATAGGACGTAATCTGCTTGTCTTGTTATAATGGAGCTTGTGAACAATTTGCGTTACCATGCTGAACCACTGCTGTCTGTCGTACATCTTCTCGAGGCAAGGGAGTTAACTGACTATAAAAGTCCAGTTTCCACCCTTGCTGAATAAGGCTGGAATTATGGAGTTATTTTGGACATATTTTGGATATTTTGGACTAATGAGTTAATGCATAGTCCAATCCCTAACGAAATCGATATCCGGTCCATAAACTGCTGTGCAGATTTCGGTCGATTAAAAAAACTTGCAACGTTAGTGTTCCGACAACTTAACAGATGTTTTCAAAATCGTCTGCACGATGCCATTTTATTTGAAACGTAGGATATGATATGGGAGGTGGAATCTGATTGGTCAATAGGAGGGGCATAGAAGGGACATAACTCATAATAGCAATTGATGGCGATACAATTGAGCCCAGAAATTCCAGCCTAGTTAAGCGAGGGTGGAAACTAGACTTTTATAGTCAGTTAACTCTCTTGCGGCTGTAAGGCAGATCTGATGTTTTCACACAAACATATTTCACCAATAGTAAGTCTGTACTATGTACATGTTCGTTTTCACCCCACTGCTGACATCTGCTCTTCATCACCGGATTGTTGAGATGTTATCATCTCGCTACATGATCTAACTGTCTGTTCAGTCAACATGGCACGCAGACAGTGTATCTAGCTATCCAGAATTGTACTCAACACAATTCGAGCTGTCAGAAAACAAATGATGATAAACAAAGAATAAAATCCTGGCCCCAGTGATGGAATGAGAGTTGACTGTATCAATAGGTGGGTAGGACGCCACCTCGCTTGACACACAGTAAGTACATCATGGTTCAGACTTGACTCACCAACATTTAGGCAGTTTCTAGATTGCAGATAGTGTAAGATTTACTGCTAATTGGCGATAGTTACATCTAGGTTCAAGTTGACCTTCAGCCCTCTTCCTCCAACTTGAGACAAATCAATCGTCCCTGCTCAACAGCATGAACATCCTCACATTGGGACAGATTGAGTCATTTTATCTAAATGTGTCTGTGTTTTTCAATGTATCACTTTGAAATGGCTGCATTCTTTGTGAAGTTTATATTCAAATATAAGCTTTACAAAGTTGACCTTCGCCAGACTTTTGCCAGGAAGTAGCAGGTCAGCCAGGTTTGAGGTTCCTCTGTGTCAGAGCACACACGGCCAGTGTCACAGCTCTCACATCTCAGTGTCCGTGTACCGTCCCGCAGACACACTGGAGTTGTTGTGGGAGGGGAGGTAACTCATGGTCTTCTTCAGCTGGTCGTAGCTCCAGTGCAGCTGTTTTACCTCCTCCATGTGTCGATGTCGCGTGTCGCTCATCTCCTTCAGCAGATGGTCGTTGGTCTGCACTAGCGACCTGGCAACATATATTATTGATTGTTAGTCATGGAACTATTCCTGTAAGACATGGGCAGTACAGAAGATCCACGGCAGCTGAAAACAATTCCGTATGAACAAACGGGTGACTATGTCTCCCATATCAACTACTGGTGTAAACCTCAAGTATCGAACATGTGTGTCCTGATACGTATCACGTGGTGACTAGGTATCAGGATATGTATCATATCCCAAAAGGTAGCAGAGAACCCCTTGGTAAAGTCACTACAAAAGTCTGGAATTGGCTGCCGAATGATTTTCTAAACTGTGAAGGACATGGTGATGTATGCAGGCTTCCTGGGAACTAAGCAGGCCTCCTATACAGATGCTATCTTTGTAAATAAGATAATGGATCTCCACTGCGATTTTCTCTTATTTCAATAAATGTGTTTCTTAATTTGTCATGTATTCTTATCAATTCAGTAGTTATTATTTGCCTGATTTCTTCTTAATCTGTTAATCTGTTTGTTGGAATAATATCTCTTAAGAGCTAATGTTTTAGTGTTTACTTGAATAGCCGATGTTAAAGACGTTTTCTTGTATCTAGATCTGCATCAGTTCTGGAAATGGTTGTGCCACATGTGGTATTCACAGTGGCCTACTACTGACCTGTGACTAACTTATTTCTGTGACCAGCTTGTGACCCATGACCTACTTGTGACCCATGACCTACTTGTGACCGTGACCTAGACCCATGAAGATCCAGGATAGAATAGGTCTTCAACAACCCATTCTTGCTGAAAAAGACGACTATGCTTGTAGTCAGAGGCGACTAACGGGATCAGGTGGTCAGGCTCGCTGACTTGGTTGATACATGTCATCGATCCCAATTGCATGGATCGATATTCATGATATCAATCACTGGATTGTCTGGTCCAGACTCGATTATTTACAGACCGTCGTCATATAGCTGGAATATTGCTGAGTGCGGCGTAAAACAACAAATCAACCAACAAACCAACTTGTGACCCGTGACCTATTTGTGACCCGTGACCTACTTGTGACTGTCCTGCAGCATATTTGCCAGCTCCTGCATCTGAGCGAACTGTTTCAGCCGACCCCGCAGGCCTTCAATCTCGCGTTGCAGGGCGTCATTCTGCCGCTGTAGGTCGTCTGAAACATTAGGTGGGCATCACTTTATGGGTGGGCGTCAAGGACAAAGATATATATTATACTTGTTTACTTTTGTCATCATTTTGAATTTGACATAGAAAATAAGAGAAGTTCAAAATGATAATTATTTCTTTAAAATTACAGTAAACTATGGTTATAACGAATTCAAAGGGACCACTAGTTTTAGTTTGTTATAACCTTAGTTCGTTATAAACATATAAACATCTTATATACAGCAAATGGCTAGGACCAAAACAACAGTTCGTTACATCCGCAAGTTTGTTATAAACGAGTTTACTGTATCTGGAACTGGCATAATGTTTGAATGCTCAAAATCAGTAGAGTTTTCCAGAAGAAGACTGTAACGAATATCCACATACTCCATAGATAAGACATGAGAGTGGCGGCATGTGCGTACCTAGTTGTGTCTGGTTCACAGTCGACATGGAGGAAGCAGCACCCCCTTGATAGCTCGAGAATGTCTCCTGGCTGTCTAGCTTCTTTGCTAACCGCCGGTTTTCACTGACATACTTGTCAAGCTGGTCCCGCAAAGTCTCCTGGAATATCAACATCAATATCACTATCAGTATCAACATTGGTGTCAACATCAACATCAGTGTCAACATTTACAACAATCTCAACATCAATATCAACATCAGTGTGAACATCAACATCAACATAAGTGTCAACAACATTGTCAACATCAACATCAGTGTCAACATTTACAACAATATCAACAACAATATAAACAACAATATCAACATCAGTGTCAATATCAGTGTCAACATCAATATCAGTATCGACAGCGACATCAGTGTCAACATCAATGTCTTGGTGAAGTTTGCACATCAATGCAACCTAGAGAGTGCCAGGCCCTTGTTCCACAGAGGGATTGTAGCACATGGACTATCCTAACTCTACTGCCTCAGAATGTTTTGACTGAAACAAGGACGGGCAACTTGAGGGCAACTTGAGGGCAACTGAGGCTATGTGTCTGCTCCATAGACTGTTGTGCTGCACCACGTACCACATCCTGGTAAGCTTTCTGGAGGGAGTTCTTCAGATGTGTTTCATTGGCTGACGACCCGTCCAAGTTGGCCTTGTTCCGAGCGTCGCGGTCGCGCAGCACGATGTTGTCGTCTTTCAGTCGCTGCAGCTGCTCGTGGAGGTGGTGCACTTCTCTCTGAGTCTGTGCAGGAACAGAGCCATTGCCCATCAGCACCTTCTCCAGCTGGTTCAACGCAAGGCCTGCAAGAGTGAGTGAGTGAGTTATGGAATGAGTGGGTGGGTGGGTGAGTGGGTGAGTGAGGGAGTGGGTGAGTGAGTGGGTTGGTGAGTGAGTGAGTGAGTGGGTGAGTGAGTGGGTGAGTGAGTGAGTGAGTGAGTGAGTGGGTGGGTGAGAGGGTTTAAGTTTTAAGCCTAACAATCTGTTATTAACATGCCATGTTAAGTCATTTACCATTCTATAATAGTGAACATCTGAAAGGTAGCGTTGATAGAGCACACACTCTACCACTCAGACACTCCACCACTCAGACGCTCCACCTCTCAGACATTCCAACACTCAGACGCTCCACCACTCAGACGCTCCATTACTTAGACACTCCACCACTCAGACGCTCCACCACTCAGATGCTCCACTACTCAGACATTCCACCACTCAGACGCTCCACCGTTCAGACGCTCCATTACTTAGACATTCCACCACTCAGACACTCCATTACTTAGACACTCCACCACTCAGACGCTCCACCACTCAGATGCTCCACTACTCAGACATTCCACCACTCAGACGCTCCACCACTCAGACATTCCACCACTCAGACACTCCACCACTCCTCCACTCAGACGCTCCACTACTCAGACATTCCTCTACTCAGACGCTCCACCACTCAGACGCTCCACTACTCAGACATTCCACCACTCAGACGCTCCACCTCTCAGACGCTCCACCACTCAGACGCTCCACCTCTCAGACGCTCCACCACTCAGACGCTCCATTACTTAGACATTCCACCACTCAGACACTCCATTACTTAGACACTCCACCACTCAGACGCTCCACCTCTCAGACGCTCCTCCGCTCAGAGGCTCCACCACTCCACCACTCAGACACTCCACCACACAGATACTCCACCACTCAGACACTCCTCCACTCAGACGCTCCACCACTCAGACCCACCACCACTCCTCCACTCAGACGCTCCACCGCTCAGATGCTCCACCATTCAGACTCAGACGCCCCACCACTCAGACACTCCACCACTCAGACACTCCACCACTCAGACATTCCACCACTCAGACACTCCACCACTCAGACGCTCCACCTCTCAGACGCTCCTCCGCTCAGAGGCTCCACCACTCCACCACTCAGACGCTCCACCACTCAGACACTCCACCACTCAGACCCTCCACCACTTCACCACTCAGACCCTCCACCACTCAGACCCTCCACCATTCAGACACTCCACCACTCAGACACTTTACCTTTGAACTTGGCATTCTTATGTAGAGATTTGGTCCCGTTCCAATATCGGTCTACCAGGTCCATCAACCGGAACAAGAGTTCCCTCCCTTGTGGGTTTTGCTCCAGGCGAACCTTGATGGCGTTCTCCTCTTGTGTCTGACGAGGGTCTTGTGGCAAGTCTTTAGGAATACCCAGCTCTTGAAGGGTCTCTTCAATCTGCAGACATATGAACACTTGGTTACCATGGTTACCTGGACAGTCAATCATTCTGCACCCATCACAGTAAATATTAGTTTAGGGAAGTAAATGCTGACGAAAGATAAGTAGGACCCTTTCCACGTCCATGTTATGAACCCACTGTGAACACAGCATGATGGGGGGACATCAACAGCCACAAATATGTCAATATGACATGAATCGCTTACTTCTGCGTTCTGCCTCGGTGCACTGTTGTTCCGATGGTGGTTCTGTCCCGTCTGCTTCAGCCTCTGTTCTGCCTCACTTCCCCTCTCATGTTGCATTCTGGGAGGTTCTGGATATGACTCACGTTCCGTTGGCACTTGACTCACTTCAAGGTCGTCTTCATCTTCAGAAAAAGGTGTCAAAATGTGGCTGATGGAAGATATGTTTCTTGTGTTTCGGAAGATCAGGATGGATGGATGGACAGTCAAAGGCAGATAGGTACACAGATAGGCAGATGGTTGGACACAGATACACAGATGGATGGACATGGGCAGATACATGGACATAGATAGGCAGATGGACACTGACAGGCAGATGGATGGACACAGATAGGCAGATGGATGGACACAGATACGCAGATAGATGGACACAGATAGGCAGATGGATGGACACTGACAGGCAGATGGATGGACACAGATAGGCAGATGGATGGACACAGATACGCAGATAGATGGACACAGATAGGCAGGTGGACACAGATAGGCAGATGGATGGACACGAGATAGGCAGATGGATGGACACAGATACGCAGATAGATGGACACAGATAGGCAGGTGGACACAGATAGGCAGATGGATGGACACAGATAGGCAGATGGACAGGGACAGGCAGATGGATGGACACAGATAGGCAGATGGATGGACACAGATAGGCAGATGGATGGACAGACAGGCAGATGGACACAGATAGGCAGATGGACACAGATAGGCAGATGGACAGACAGGCAGATGGATACAGACAGGCAGATGGACAGAACGGCAGATGGACACATATAGGCAGATGGACACAGATAGGCAGATGGATGGATACAGAAAGGCAGATGGATGGATACAGAAAGGCAGATGGATGGACACAGAAAGGCAGATGGATGGATACAGACAGGCAGATGGATGGATACAGACAGGCAGATGGATGGACACAGACAGGCAGATGGATGGATACAGACAGGCAGATGGACACAGACAGGCAGAGGGACACAGACAGGCAGATAGATGGACAGACTGGGTAGGTGGAACGGCAGCACTAAAACACAGACACACACACACACACACACACACACACACACACAAACACAGACACACACACACACACACACACACACACACACACACACTCACACACACTCACACACACACACACACACACACACACACTGACAAGAAGCATGTCATACCTGCACCAGGGTGAGGAGTGAAGTAGCCATGACTCCTGTACTTGGTGTAGGCATCCATCTCGTCCGCATACTCCAGATTCGGGTCCGCTCTGAAACAGTTCAACCTTCATCATCATCTTCATCATCATCACCATCATCATCATCATCATCATCCAAACACCAGCCCCAGATATAGCGATCCAGGGAACAGTGTCTGTAACCAAGAAAACCAGTTAGACTGACCTCTTCCTCCTGTCTCCTCCTCGGTCTCCGTCTGACGCCAGCACGTTGGGGATGTTGGGATAGCGCTTCCTGTAGGCAGACATCACATCCTCATCCTCATCCGGAACAGAGGAGGATCTGGGGCGACGGCCCTCAGCTTTCTGGAATCACAGAGACAGTCTCAGACTTCACCGACTTATTCTCATCATGAGTCTGTATCAATCACTAAGTACTCATACAACGGAGTACATTAACATGATTTAATAGGACCAACTCTTCGCCTTGTTTTATAGATGAACCCAATCTCATTAAAATCAGATCTTAGTTCTCGCTACCGTTAAACAAAGATCTGTGGACAACCCATTACAGGTCACGTCTGACCGACCTTTCATCTGACCAATCAGAGCATCACTTATCAGATCATGAAAGTGACAGTTGGAATGTGATTATTGATTGTGCAACCTCGAAAAAAACCACACAGGGTATTCTGAATGACAGTTATGGGCTTTATGACTGTATTCATACAATCTAGATCATCTATTAGCCATTCCAGAATGTTCTTTTGTTCAGTTCTTAATTTTTTAATCAAGTTAGTCATTCCATAGGTTGGTCAAAGTTCGCGAAAGGTCAGTCTGACGTGACCCGTTATAGGATGTCCTCAGGCAACAGCGTTAGACCTAACTCTACCACTCACCTTGTCTGGTCTGGACTCCCTGGGTGGGTCTGTTTGATTCAGCTTATCACTGTCAAGACTCTTCAAGCCTGAAGCAGAAACAGACTGTACACCATACCGGCAGGGTCGACTTTACCCAGACACTGAACACCATACCGGCAGGGTCGACTTTACCCAGACACTGAACACCATACCGGCAGGGTCGACTTTACCCAGACACTGAACACCATACCGGCAGGGTCGACTTTACCCAGACACTGAACACCATACCGGCAGGGTCGACTTTACCCAGACACTGAACACCATACCGACAGGGTCGACTTTACCCAGACACTGAACACCATACCGACAGGGTCGACTTTACCCAGACACTGTACACCATACCGGCAGGGTCGACTTTACCCAGACACTGAACACCATACCGACAGGGTCGACTTTACCCAGACACTGAACACCATACCGGAAGGGTCGACTTTACCCAGACACTGAACACCATACCGACAGGGTCGACTTTACCCAGACACTGAACACCATACCGACAGGGTCGACTTTACCCAGACACTGAACACCATACCGACAGGGTCGACTTTACCCAGACACTGAACACCATACCGGCAGGGTCGACTTTACCCAGACACTGAACACCATACCGACAGGGTCGACTTTACCCAGACACTGAACACCGAGTTGAGATGCTCAGAGATGATGGAGAAGTAATGACATTGTTACCATGGTTACATTCAGGTATGTGAAGTCTCCATTTCTAGTGGTTAAAAGCGTTCGCTCGTCACGCCGAAAACCAAAGTTCGATTCCCAACATGGGTACAATGTGGGAAGCCCATTTCTGGTGTCCCCCGCCGTGATATTGCTGGAATATTACTAAAAGCGGCGTAAAACCATACTCACTAACTCCATTTCTCTAATGCCTCTAATAGAACCCCCCAACCTGTCATTAAACAAGACATAAACTAAAATACATACTTTAAAATAATCGTTAATGTTTCTTCACATAATACTGCATGATGAAACCTACCATCCAGGGTGTATTCCTCTGCCTTGTCTTGTCGGGCTGCCGAGCCGGTCAGGGGGCGGGGCTGGGCTAGGTCACCTCCCGTGTGGGCGATCAGATCCAACACCGCAACATCGTCATCATCGAGGACTGCAGCAGTGAATGAGAATGATGCCACAACAGTATTTCATCTTGATGTCCAGTAGGGCTGGTGATTTATATCCATAACCAGCCCTAATGTCCAGGCAGATCTGGGGTTCATACCTCATCATGTAAACTAAGGATTTGTCTTTGCCCCCTCGGCTGGGAAGAGAACCTATCTTATACAGACTCTCAGCATAACTCCACATGCATTATTTATCATAACAGTTCTACAATACTTAACAATTTTGGATTAGTTCTAAAATTACACCATTTTAGGTAAATAACATGCCACACATCACTAGGCTACCCTGCTGTACGTGGTCTGATGGACTGATGGTTGGTTTGTTGTTCTAAGCCGCACTCAGCGGTCTGTAAATAATCAAGTCTTGACCAGACAATCCAGTGATTGACATCATGAACATCGATCCACGCAATTGGGATCGATGACATGGTTCAACCGAGTCAGCGAGTCTGGCCACCCAATCCCGTTAGTCGCCTTTTATGATAAGCATAGTCGTCTTTTACGGCAAGAATGGGTTGCTGAAGACCTATTCTACCCCGGATCTTCACGGGTCTGATGGACTGAAGATCTCACATCAACTACTAACCTAACCATTTCTGCGAATAATATGCATAAGAAAACCCATAAATTCGGGGTGTTTTCCAGGTTTACTGCATGAAATTTCTGTGCAGCATATTTGTGTATATTTTCATTTATTTATTTTAAATCTCAGGTTGTATGTCAATCTTATTATGCAGTTTTTTGTTACTTTCATGCTGCAACTGAACATTCAATACAAAAGGCTTTGCTAGCTCGTACATTATTTGTATGGTATGTCCAGCTACTTGTGTTATCCTTAACGTCTCTACAGACAGTGTCCACTGCTGTACCTGTGGGTCGCTTCTGCAACTTGTTCACAAACTCGGCTCTGGGGTGGGTGGTCTTCTTGGGAAGGTCGTGTTCTGGGGGATGGTGTGTCATCTCTGTTGCCTGACTGGAGCTGAAGTGTACCAAGGCCGCCTGGCGTTCCCGGTCACGGACACCCCGGTCATCTGAACACAGCAACACACTCCACTGACTCAACAAGAAATAATTTTAAATCCCCCTAAGTCAGTCGGGCAGGTGACTCATAAGTGTTCCCGCCTGCATTCAGACATTAAAAGTTTTGAAAAGTCGCTAAAATAAGAGACAAATCATGTCTTGATTCAGTTGAAATAATGCAAGCAATTACTTGAGAATCTACAAGGAGTTATGATAAAACTGAATCTGTAGCCTTACAATTATCTAACAGTTGGGCAAGTGGAGGAAAATTTCAAGCAGCCGAACAGAAAAGCTACCTGCCACGGGCAAAGTGCTTATTCTCAATACAGGATATTTACCATTCAAAAATACACAAGCATGATAACCTCATATCATAAAGTGTTATTCTGAAATTCTGTTGTGGAAAAACCTGAAGTTTCTCTGGAATGTGTGCATCAATACATTACGTCAGATGGTCAGTCATTAGCCAGGAGGACAGTGACAAAAGCAGGGTTAGAAACTAACAGTTTTTGTCCACTAGTCCTTATAATGATAACATATAGCAAAACCCTTAAAATGGGCCAATTTCTACTAGTCCTTAGGATACCTTTACTACTGAGCAGTTTGGTAAGGACTACAGGAATGGTGCCAATTTCTAACGCTGCAACAGTAAATATAGTTCCAACTGAAACTTGTTTTATTAGACAGTGGTGTAAATACATACAGGCACACATTTATTCAACTTGGCTTTCATTGTCTGTTTTCAAAGGGAAGCTACTCTAGTCTATGAAGCATCACGTTTGTTTACAGTCTGCCTAGCCTGTCATAATGTTACAAAATGCAGTCACAAATCCACACAGCAACAAAATGAAACAAGGTAATAGTTCAGACATACACATGTATTTTAACTGAAATTCAACTGTTTAATAAAATACCCTGAACCACAGAGGTCTACAAGATATCAATAGGTCTATGAAGATATCACTAGGTCTATGAAGATATCAATAGGTCTACAAGATATCACTAGGTCTAAGAAGATATAAATTGGTCTATGAAGATATCAATAGGTCTATGAAGATATCACTAGGTCTAAGAAGATATCAATTGGTCAATGAAGATATCAATAGGTCTATAAAGTTATCACTAGGTCTATGAAGATATCGATAGGTCTACAAGATATCAGTAGGTCTATGAAGATATCAATAGGTCTACAAGATATCAATAGGTATATGAAGATATCAATAGGTCTATGAAGATATCAGACGGTACATTTGTATATAGAGGTTGGGGTGGTAAATATCCTGTATTAGGAATAAACATTGTATTTAGCAAGCCTTGGCATATAATGTCAATCTTCAATTCTGTGCTCAAAAAATCTCCTCCCATCTCTCGCAAACATTACCTAAATATTTCAAGTTTTCCAGGAATGTGCACATTTATATATATATATATATATATAGTTAGTAAGAAGGTAAGTGATGTGGAGGTCGGACTGCGACAACAGTCAATATAGTTCCAACAGAAACCTGTGTCTTATACAGCTGCGTAACTACAAATAGGCACTACAAATTGCCTACACAAATTGTTTCCACTTGCCCTTTCCGGTAATCCATCGGTCTGTCCGCTACTACGGCTAGAGTACTGGCCCTTTATCAAAGGGAAGCTACTTTAACCCTAGTCAATGAGACGTCACGTTTGTTTAGAGTCTGCCTGTCCTGCCATAACATTACGAAGTGCAGTCAGATGGACACACAGCGACGAAACAAAACAAGGTAACAATTCAAACATATTTCGGCCAAATCCAACTGTTTTAATTTGCCGAAAAGTTTCCAAGCCACAGAGATCTACAAGCACAGATATGGCAACTGTTCCCGCTAAGCAAGTGTCCTCGCAAAATTGTTTTGCAATTTATATCTCCAATGTTGCCCAAACTTGTAAAATGTCTTAGATACGTCACAGTTGGTCACTGATTTTCAGTATATAAGACTATTCTTTTGATAATGATAGCAATTATTCCAGTAGTTTCTCCTGATTCCCGATGGTTAATTCTGACTCAATCGCTGAATGACAGTAGCCCCTACCTGACTTTTGTTATTTGCATCTCTATTTGCATATGACCCCAACAGATATCATTTTTATCCGTTGGCTTTATCCTGCTGAGAAACCTATCCATTATATGATAAGTGAGGATATCAGTAGGTCTATGAAGATATCAGTAGGTCTATGAAGATATCAGTAGGTCTATGAAGATATCAGTTGGTTTATTAACATATCAGTAGGTCTATGAAGATATCAGTCTGTTTATTAAGATATCAGTAGGTCTATGAAGATATCAGTAGGGTTATTAAGATATCAGTAGGTCTATAATGTTATCAGTAGATTTATTCAGATATCATTAGGTCCATGTAGATATCAGTAGGTCTATAAAGACGTTGGTATGTCTATGAAGATGTTTGTATGTCTATGAAGATATCAGCAGATCCATGAGGATATCAGTAGGACTTTGAAGATATCAGTATGTCTGTGCAGATATCACTAGGTCTATAATGACGTTAGTACGTCTATGAAGGCGATAGTATGTCAGTGAAGATATCAGTAGGACTATGAAGATATCAGTATGTCTGTGAAGATATCACTAGGTCTATAATGACGTTGGTACGTCTATGAAGGCGATAGTATGTCAATGAAGATATCAGTAGGACTATGAAGATATCAGTAGGTCTATGAAGATATCAGTAGGTCTATGAAGATATCAGTAGCACAATGAAGATATCAGTATATCCGCAAGGTTATCCAGATACATGAATCGTCACTGGTCTTACCCAGCTTCTGGAGACTGGGCAGCATGTGGATGAGGTAGAGGCGGGAGTCGGGCTCGCTGCGGGTGATGGGGTTGAGGCGGAGGTCCAGCTCCTTCAGGCTGGTGTTCAGCTTCAGCCTCTTCAGCTCCTCCAGGCTGTTGATGTTGTTGTAGTAGCTGGTGCAGTTAAGGCAGCGGGGTGTGATGGGGAAGAGGTTACTTCCTAGTTCAGCAGGCTTCAGTAAACAACAGCTAACTAGGACTTTTTATGAAAATGTTCAGTTTTGATTCTTAACACATGTATGAGCATGGTTCAATTATGCCGCTTTTAGCAATATTCCAGCAGTATCACAGCGGGGGACACCAGAAATGGGCTTCACACATTGTACCCATGTGGGGATCGAACCTGGGACTTTGGCGTGAGTCATCGCTTTAACCACTAGGCTAACCCAACACCCATCTCAACACATGTAACAAGACTTATTAGGCTGCAACAGACAAACGTGATAACCTTCTCAACAGTGTGGGGAAACTTCTCCCTACCAAGCAGTCCTTACTGCTAGTGGTCAGCCAGGTCGGTCAGCATTTAATGGATCGACCTGGTTCATATTCAGCTTTAAATTACAGGTCTGCATTGGTCATTTTTATCTACACACATACAGAATAATTAATGTTATTATTAATCGACATAGTGATACATTATGATAATTTGGACTCGATATATTGATACGAAAATTCCAAATCAGTCACAATCTCACTAAAATAAGATCTAAGTTCTCGTTGCCGCTAAGCAAAGATCTGAGGACATCCCATTACGGGTCACATCAGAAACGACCTTTCACGAACTTTGACCGACAACTGAAATGACTAACAAGAAGTTGACATCAGCCAGTTAGAAAGAGGCTTTCTTGAGCTTTACGGCACTCGTTTCAACCTGGCGACTTTCATGTAAGACTAGGCTTGAAAAATATGTTGACACAGTTATCGATAAAAATTTTGAAAACTGAACAAACGAACATCCCGGAATGTCTAATATATGGATGAGATTGTATGGCAGTGCTTCCACGTACTGTGCAACGCCTCCTCCGTTCAAATGTTTATCCCACGGAAGCGAGAGATAGACGATAATTTTGACGGAATCAGTCTTACGGGCCATTACTGTTGTTCGGAATACCCTGTGTGAACGTTTTCGAGGTTGTATGATTAGAAACACATTCTGACTCTCACTTTCATGATCTGGTAAGCGACGCTTTGATTGGTCGGATGAAAGGTCGTTCTGACGTGACCCGTAATGGGATGTCCTCAGATCTTTGTTTAGCGATAGCGAGAACTAAGATCTGGTTTTAATGAGATTGAATCAGTCACACGCTTATCCTGCACGTCATGCACTCAGAAACTATGTGTTCAACCTTTCTCCAGCAAGGATACAGATTCAATTTTTCCAACAGTTTGAGATTCTCTAAACCCTGAAACATATAATCATATCTTAAGGACCATGTCGAAATGTTCAATATTGCAGAATATATTCATAAGAATTACATACAACACAAAGTGTACTGAAGACATGATTATCTTCCATGACATAATGCTTATATACCATGACATAATGCTTATATACCATGACATAATGCTTATATACCATGACATAATGCTTATCTACCATGACATAATGCTTATCTTCCATGGCATAATGCTTATCTTCCATGGCATAATGCTTATATACCATGACATAATGCTTTTCCACCATGGCATAATGCTTATCTTCCATGGCATAATGCTTATCTTCCATGACATAATGCTTATCTTCCATGACATAATGCTTATCTTCCATGGCATAATGCTTATCTTCCATGACATAATGCTTATCTTCCATGGCATAATGCTTATCTTCCATGACATAATGCTTATCTTCCATGACATAATGCTTATCTTCCATGGCATAATGTTTATCTACCGTGGCATAATGTTTATCATCCATGACATAATGCTTATTTTCCATGGACATAATGCTTATCTTCCATGGCATAATGCTTATCTTCCATGATACAATGTACAGTGCCAAGGCTTGTACAAAACATGCTCCGTATCATACAGAACAGTTTCCCTGCTGACTCATCACTCGGTACCTCTAAGTTATCCAGGGCGTTCCGGGACAGATCCAAGGACTTAAGGCGGCTGAATTTCCGTAAAGAATTGCCGATGCTGACAATTTTCTCATGGTACGTCCCAGGTAGAGAGATTGACTTGACATCCTCTGAAACACAAACACACTTGTTCAGCGGAACCCTGCCAGTCCAGGAACCTGCCTTTACTCTTGGCCCATTCTGAATCCAGATTATTTATCGTAATCACAATAACCGTAATCACTAGGCCTGTAACAATTCACCGATGACTAAGAAATCATTGATACTTCAGTAAACACAATACTTGAATCGTCAGTTTGTGAGATCACAATACGCTATAAATAACAGGAACCAATAGAGTTACCTCCCATAATGGCAGAAGTAGTATAGCGCCACCTGTAAGCAGGGCAGAACACAAGGACATGGTAGCTGAGGACGGACGCGCCAACTACACATGTAACTGTTACATCTAATAACCATTCTTTCATTTAAAACTGCTTTGTTCTTGTGCTTTACTTTGTTAAAGTTTTCGAGATAATAAATAAATGTACAAAGAAAGAGGTTTTTGAGCTGTATTTCAGTGACTTCATCATTTGTTACTATTTGATGTGGTGTATCGTGACACTAGTGTTATCATCAGTCCGTGTGTGATGCGAATCATATCGCAAGGCACCAGGTGATACTCAGCTCTATTACCATCTACGGCATCAGTGACACTTCCAACATGGATATCTGAATGGAAGACTAATTTCAGTCAACTCCCAGGATTCTGCTGGGACACAGGGCAAGAGGACATGTCAATACGTTTACCCACTTTTTATAGGACATTATTCTATATCATTATCACATTTGAAAAAATCTTTAGGACATTTTGGATTACAATTAGCCAATGTGCAACAAAATGGACCGATCTGAAACCCTGATAGTTTCAACAAAATGATATATTTTCATTTGATTTGAGTCTACAGCAAAACCCAATGGGGCCAAGTTCCTCCGGCTCATCTTGCTATAACCATTAACATGATTAAAAGGCAAGTAGGGCCACACTTTATTAATTTTTTCACAGATTTATTCCAGCTTTTTCACACAAGGTCGGTCGAAATAAAAATGAAAATAAATAGCTGCATCAATCACTTATTTATTTATATGAAAGTCATTCTGCTGTGGAGTTAAAACTGCAGCTTGAATCACTGATAGTGTTGTTGACATGGAATTTATATATAACATTTTATATTGTTTTAGACATGTTAGAGGGTCTATATTTCTAGTTTGAGACATAATGAAATTAAAAATTTATGTTTCATTTATATTGTGGAACAGCTGCTTTTCAGTAGGGGCGGCGGCCATGAAACGAAAAATAAAAGCATGTGTGGCCTAAAGTGAATCAAATGATTGAGATTTTGCCGCGAATATCAATTTTCTTAGATACATTTAGTCAATCTGGAGAGAGGAAAAGATTGATAATATTCATAGAAAGTATTTAAATGTCCAAAAAAGAGTGCCGAAATCACACGCTCCGTAATCGGCGCCCAAAACAAACCTATTTGGGGGCGTGGCCTAAAGCTACCGCTGCAGCAGTGACAACTGTTTTCAATGGCTGACATCTTTGCCGCGTTAATCTCTCCTGTGAATTTTCGTCCCGTTTCACATATACTGTTTCTGCTATTTCTGATAATCCAACAAAAATAACAACATTGCACATATTGTTAAATGTGTATATTGACCTTTGATTTTGACATACTTAAAGTAACAATTAACAATCAGTAATTAGCATTTTATTACTTACATCCTGTTTGGGTAATAAAACACCAGCTGCCCCCTGCCCCATTCTACACAATAAATTCAGGGATTAATCCCCTGAGTAAACAACTTAAGGCATCTTCCGTGTTGTTCCTAAGGTGACATAACTTGTGGACACGGTAATCAAATGGATGAGCAGACAGAAAAAAGACATATTGTTTTAAATAATCCAAGGCAGAAGCAGGCATACTGGGCATCAGGCCGATCATCATGATCGTTGAAATTGTGCAGAGTTTCAAACACCGGAAACCTGTTTTAACCCCAGTAAGTGGAATCCCCTCTGTGGCGGAATTGTTCGTTTGGGGGACAATTTCGCCTGTCGTTTTTTGTTGTCTGTGCACATACCTGGGGTGTGACAAGGACACTTTCAAATGTCACTTTTTGTCACACTACAGACGAGGGAAGACCTTAAAATCTTTTACAGCAAATAAACCATTTTAAAACCATCTTCACCGCCTTTGCCCTCTTCATTACATTGTTGGCAAGGACGGGTGACTTAAGCTATTTCTGTTTTTCAAACATAATTTTGGTCAAGCATATGTGATTAAGTATGCCCTAAAGGTTTACAATCTGCAAGGTTACAATGTTGACTTTTCTTGACCCTTGACCTTTTCAGACCTTTTTTGACCTTGTGCTCCATATCAGCACCAACATTTACAGTAAACAACTGTTATAACAAACTCAAAGGGACCACTAATTTTAGTTTGTTATAACTGCAGCTCGTCATAAGCATATATGCAGCATTTATACAGCAAATAGCCGGGTCCAAGAATTGTGTTTGTTATATTTGCCAGTTCATTATAAGTGAGTTTGTTATAAACATAAATAATTTTATACTTTAAAGTTTACACTGTTTCTTTCATGCTGATTGGCTGAATGGATAGTCACGTATTTGGAGTTCACACTCCTGTGAACGGACAGAAAAGTTCACATGATGTGAACAATTTTTGGTGAAATTGATTGTGTGAACTTTTGCCGGAACTACTTTCGGGGGTTTCCCCAAATACTCGATCGGTGTTTACAATCAACTCGATTTTCTATTTTCTTTTTTAATACCTGCATTTATCAGGAATATAATTAAGTATAAATTTCATCCTCATGCTCCTGTTCGACTCGAAATGAACCTCTTTACAAACTTATGTGACGTCATATAGAAACTTTCCTGTAACCTATTTTTAAGATTTGATTTATCCCAAATATTGCTTGTTAATTTGTTCAGAGAATCATATTAATATGTTGACATATTTCTAGATTATGTTGTATATATTCAAAGAACTATTTTTCTTTGCGTAACTGAGTATGAGTAGGGAAACGTTTGTGACCAAGAGCCGGCAAATACCGACAAAATAACATAGTTGCAATGTTCTTCGGCAAAACCAGAGGACTTCAAATTTAAGCAAACATTGTACCAATATTATTTGGCGAGACCAGTAAACTACAAAGTATGAAATCATACCAACTGAACGTGCAAGCTCGGAGGTGAATCCATCCAAACTGACGTTCAATTCTTAATTAACCATAGCAATGACTGAACGAACTGTACATCATCCAGTGATTGGCGTTTTGTACAAATGTGTTTCCATGGCAACAAGTTGACATTCAAAAAAGGGTAGGGATAATTTCCGGGGCATAATTCATAAAATGTTTCTTGTTTCTCTGTTTCAGGCAAGTGCTGAACTGGTGGCTTTTGCTATTAAGATGGGTTTTTTTAGATCTGAACTAAGGTTCAAATGGGGGTTTCTTTTTTGCAATTTATCCATCTGTCATAATGTGAGATTACTCACAAAGCTGGTAAGGGATAATGGGGTATACGACATATACATCGTTTGATCTAGCATATTCCAACGGGAGGGGGACATTGATGACTTTCTTCTTGTTCAGTTTACATCTTATAGTCGATAGTATACAATAACCATATGCAATGACAACATGGTGTTTCATTTTCTGCCCTGAAATAAATCAAATGTTTACTTTTAATATTTTAAGTCTGTTGAATGGACATTATTATCCCTATAAATCTTAGTCCTCTCATCATCCACACACTTAGAAATCTCCGAAAATGCTTACACTGCAGGGATATTTCCAAACAACAGAATCCGATGAGCTGTCACCATTCTTTTTGTCTGTTTGTTTAGGTCAAAGAACTTAATGAACATGCGCCCTTTGTGATATCGATAACTTCACAGATCATGGGTAACTATTGAAATATGCATATTAGGGCTGGGACGGGTAACTCGGGTACCATGGTCGGGTGGGTACTGAGTAGGACCCGGGTACCCACAGGACTACCCTGACCCGTGGTTAGTCACGTGATATATTGTGTAATGACTAAACTTATCTCAAAATCTATGGTTACACTACAAGTCACTAATGTTTGTTTTTCTTTCTGACTATGCATCCATTCCTTTTGATTTTTCATATGGTTGAATAAAGATGTAACTTAAGTCAACTTCAGTGTATGCATGACCAGATTGTTTGATACATGTATCTAACTAAGTTTTGCCAGGGCTATGCTAAAAAAGTTCCAAATTACCTGGAGAGGTATTTACATAAGTAAGTTTTGCTTGTTTACCGATCCAGATTTCTTTTGAAATGAAAATATGTTTAAACCACAAAAAATTCCCAATCGGACATTTTGAGACAGCTCCTGAAACCTACAGTGGGTACCCGGGTAGGGTCAGGTAATAGGGGGGGCGGGTAATAGGGGGGCAGGTAATTTGGACTCATCCCAGCCCTAATGCATATAGATATTGCCTCAAAGTGTATTTCCTCTGTCCTACAGGCGGTGGCCGAGTCTCTTGTCATGGTCAACTGCATTAGCCACTAATTGAGTCACGTCAGTCTAATGTTAGACAGCCGGGTAGTAGCCAGAGTCTAGTGCCCCTTTAAAATCTATTCAGAAAAAACTAAAAACCCTTACAGGCTATCCAGTATAGACCTAATCCACACCTGGATTTTATTTACACCTGATTTATAATTGTGGCCATTCTCTTGGAGTTTGACTGTTGTGTGCTTGTACATCTGACTGCTGTGTGATTTATGCCCTGAGACCAGCATATAATCCGATTACGAGTATCGCCTGTGTGGGCCGGGGTCCCACCGCCTCAGTGGACATGTTATGGCATGTATTTTCAACATATTCAGTGAAAATGCAAAACATGAACTGAAACAATTCACAGGAATGGAATCCTTTCAGATTGTGATCACAACATCATTACTTGACTATCCGAATGTGACAGATGAAACTGTTTGTTGTTGAGTATCCACGTGCAAAACAAAAACAAACCGATTGAAATTGACAAGACATGACCTACATTGGCGAAGTAGCAAATGTACTGCGTGTTTCAGGGCGCATGTCAAACGGATAGAGACAATAGAATGTCACAATTGCAAATCACAGATATACTCAGATATACGCATTAAATATAATTACCGAGATTGTCATGTGACAAACTGACACGGCTTCGTATCAGATCCTCTGTCAAAGTAAGCGCCATGGCTAAACACCAGTGTTACTTTTCTTCAGTATTTGTTTACAGCCCGAGACCTAACACGAAACGAACAGAATGACTGCACATTTTAGTCAGTCACTAAACTTTAAGGAATATTACTACACGACATCACAGTGGACAGCAGTCGGCGTCGTTAACAAGAAAAGGTGACTCTTTTCATGTGTTGAAAATGGCACCAATTTGGTGTAGACGGCACCGTGATGACATTTTCCCAAATAGAGACCATTCCCCACATTTTGACATATTTTGACAAAGGACAATTCCCTGGTTCATCTTCACTTGTCAAGTTCACTAAAATTTCTACTTATTTTTCTTCTTAAAAGAAAAAAGTGGGTGATAGGAAATGTCCAACTTTGAGTGTGTTTTTTTGTTGTTAAATGAAACATTATACAAAAACAGAATAATGAGGTTTTAGTTAACTTGACAAGTGAAGTTTAAGTTTCATTAGGCGCCCGGGAGGTATAAAATATACGTAGTCAAACTGTATCTAAAAATGTGATAAAAATCTATATTATATGCTGATTGTTGTTTTATATCAAATGGAAAGTAATATTGTAACCCTATGCAATAAGCAATGATTTACGCCTTATGAAATATTAACTTAGCTTTCGATGTAAACGACATATACTAGTAACGTAATGCATAGGGCGATATTTTATGTATACAGGAGAGAACATTTGGAAATCTATAATCCAACGATAATATTATCTTATAAACGAATAAATTCGAAATAGGGTTACGAAGTTTCTTCTTTTTAGGATGACGAATTTTCTTGGGTACGAATTCGTTTGGGTTACGAGTTTACCTAAATGTCCTAAACGTCGGGGAGAGACCTTGGCTCAAGTCACAAAGTGAACAACAAGAAAGAAAGGGTGGGATGCGATTGATTCTTCGGTGCACAAAACATCGCTGGTAGCAGTAACACTTGTGTAGTGTGCAAGAAAGTGAATGCCATTCTTATGTATTAAGACGTGTTACTTTTGGTCTTCCAACCTTTGGGTGTCGTTTGATGGTTGCCTTTAACAGAGAGATAATAAATGAAATTAATAGAAACTATATTGGTGCTATTGCCTGCGCACGAGATAAAGACGAAATACATTAGACCTATTTTCCCTTTTTTCAAACCTCATATCATTTTGTTATTTAAAATAGTTGTGAACACCACGGATTTGTATAACTTGGTTATATAAATTTAGGTACGTGTGAATACCAATCAATGGTGGGCAATTCGTTTGACGTTTATAATGCCACAATCAAAATATCTATTGGAAAGTACTAAGAGTACTTGTTTAGACAAAATGGCGGAAGTTTCAGAAATTTACCAAGGCGACACCGGCAACTCAGACAGGTCTGATCAGACCGAAGAAGCTGCACTCACTCCAGCAATGGCTTTGCAGAAAATAGAAGTAAATTATACGTCTTTATGTTGTCATGTCTTTGTTAAAAAAAATCATCAGTGAATGGTAGGCCTAAAACTTTGTGTGTTTGTTATGTGAAGTTTGAGACCCAAAATCTGCACATATTGCTTTTTCAAACTTAATCAAACAGTAAATTAAGTAATAGGTAGACAAATGAAGGGACTAGAATAAGAGGGGATCATTGGAATTGGTGGAAGAGGTGATTGCCAGCGTTTTCTGTTGAAAGAGGAAACATTCCTGCTCAAACGCATGTAACAGCGGTAACCTAACGTACGAAATAGAATGTTGAATATCTAAAATTCCACAAAAGAACTCATGAGGCGTGGTGCATACAGTTAATGGTTTTCATGGTATATAACACTAGGACATTTAACCAATGTTTAGATTACTGAAACCAGTTTGAATCTGATGTTTTCAATCTGTTTACATGGGGTACAAATCATACATTCTTTATCGTCGGATCATATGTTTTCGGACGGTCATTTATATCGCGATTACACGCCCTATATAGCGGGGTTTTAACATCACACAGACATTGTAAATACTCAGATGATAGCTTGTTTGCAGCTGGATACTGCACATTTTGCACAGATGTTTAAACAGGTCATAGACAGACTGTCATAGACACTGTGGGCAATGTGACAATTCTCACGTCTATAGATTTTGATTTACCTGGATACAAGTATCTATCACTAGACAATGTGTGCTGACAATGACCCTAAAAGCTGTGGTGGTGGAACGTGGTCTTGTGCACAGGTCACAAATCATTTGAAGGTAATTAATGAAGGCCACAGAGAGTAGTTTGATGGGTGAGCACCTTTAGCAGCTTGACTCTTGAGAGTTGTTAGGCAGCGTTAGAAATTGGCACTAGTCCTATAATCCTTTCCAAACTGCCCCATGGTAAAGGTATCATAAGGACTAGTAAAAAATTGCCCTTTTTAAGGGTTTTTCTATATGTTATCATTATAAGGACTAGTGGACGAAAACTGTTAGTTTCTAAGCCTGTTAGGGCTTTGGTCATGCCCCACACTGAAACACAAGTAGCACATGTGGTTTCCTGTGAGGGAAGTGAATTTGATCAAAATATGCCTCTGTTCACCAAGCAGTAAAAATGGGTGTAAGATAGGATGAAATGGTAATGTGACTTTTAACATTCTGATACCTGACAAGACAGCTTGGGTTTTATAGTCCCCAGGGAGCTGAGAATGACAATCGAGTGCATTCTGATCGATTGACTTGGCTGATAATGTTAGCACTTTGAGCCTACACTGAGTGTATGGAGGCTAGCATAATATAAGTACACACATTATTATGAATATGATTATGATTATGATTATTATTATTAGCCCGACTAATCTGTTAGTAAATAAACAGGTAAAACTATCTGATCTTAGAGTGTTGAATATTGATAACTGTTGTTGTTTACAGGCAGCTGTTAATGCCCTGTTTGAGTATCGAGATCGTTACTTTGAAAAGTTTGGAGTGGAAAAATCACATAAAAAGGCTGATGATGTAAAAGCAAAGTTAAAAGAAACGTTGCAGTTGATCAGCGGGATGAAAGGTGAGTGAGTGAAAGTCACTCAAATTTATCATAATTTCATTGTATATATTGTTTGTATTGCATTGAAGGGAGGACCTTCAGTTTTTGTGTCTGGCAGGAAGCTAAACACAATCACCACAAAAACGTGTGAAGATTCCTGGCCCATGAGAGTTAGATGCTTGTCGTAAAAGGCGGCTAACGGGATCGGGTGGTCAGGCTCGCTGACTTGGTTGCGTGGATCTATGCTCATGATGTCAAACACTGGATTGTCTGGTCAAGACTCGATTATTTTACAGACCGCCGTCATATAGCTGGAATATTGCTGAGTGCGGCATTAAACAACAAACAAACAAACAAACCAAGAGAGTAAGTGTATCGGGAGGTCAAGCTCCATATCAATGTACCCAAACTACATTGGACATTGCTTATGAAATCAATCAAAAGTCCTTGTGAATTAACTGAAATATATAGTCATGTTTTCTCTTTATTTCAGACAAGATCAACAACAAGGCAATGTTAAATATGTTGCAAGGTAAAGCACTGAATGTGACAGCAGACTTTGACCAAGAGGCCCTGGATCTCCTGTCGAAGGCTGTGAAACTCGACCCAAAGCTGGTGGAGGCCTGGAATCATCTCGGTGAATGTTACTGGAAAAGTGGCAACATCCCGTCAGCGAAGAACTGCTTCACTGGAGCCCTCAACTATGTGAGTGATGTCATTCAGGGGAGACAACCATGTAGTGTCAGTATATGTCTCGTAGAGCTTGGTGGATGGAGTCATCGGATTATTGAGCTGGATCACCTGTCAAGTTTGATTTCATCAGGTGACGCTTAAACCATGCTATACTATGGCCAGTTCCCAAGATGAGATACAGTGAAGAATTATACATTGTTTATAATCTGTTTTCGAATGTGTTACTGTAACCATGGAAACCAGTGTGAATTATCTCACTCCCCAGCAAAAGATGATTTGATGGTCACTGATCAGGTGACTTGGTTGAGAGTGTCATAATCCCTGATGGCCTGGATTGTTACTCATGATATCAATCACTGGATTATCAGTCCAGACTCGATTATTTATGGGCCGAGTGCAGTGTTAAACAGCATACAAACATTATCAACGACTGGTTTGTTTTACTGCCATTACTTACATACTGCCATGATGTAGTTGTTGACAATAATATAACTTCATTCAGTTGCTTATGAACAGACTAAAAAATAAGATGCAAATAATCTCTTTTGACATGTTTAGGGATAAATATATTTCATAGCTTTTTGAATTGACAAGGCAGTAGTAAGTAAACAGGAATTTTGTCTTCTATTATTATTATTTTCATTTCACATGTGTAGATTCACATATGTTTAAAACTAACAGTTTCATAGTGTTTTGTAATATTCTCAGCATGCTTGATGGAAGGTTCTTTTCTCTTTGTTTTATTGTTCTATTTTAATGCCATACTCAGCTTTATTCCAACTAAATTACAGTCTGAACCAGACAATCCAGTGATTGACATCATGAACATCAATCCACGCATTTGAACTACAATGACATGCGTTCACCCAAATAACCGAGACTGGCCTCTCATCCATTCAGTCTACTAGTACAGATTGAGTGCAGGTTGAGTACAGATTGAGTAAAGGTTTAGTACAGTACAGGTTGAGTGTAGGTTAAGTACAGATTGAGTAAAGGTTGAGTACAGGTTGTTGAGTACAGGGTCAGTGTAGCTTTCCTACAGGTTTCATACAGGTTGAGTGTAGGTTGAGTACAGATTGAGTAAAGGTTGAGTACAGGTTGTTGAGTACAGGGTCAGTGTAGGTTTCATACAGGTTGAGTGTAGGTTGAGTACAGATTGAGTAAAGGTTGAGTACAGGTTGTTGAGTACAGGGTCAGTGTAGGTTTCATACAGGTTGAGTGTAGGTTGAGTACAGTTATTGTACAGGTTAAGTGTAGGTTGAGAACAGACATGGATACAGGTTGAGTGTAGGTTTAATGTAGGCTGAGTGTAGGTATGGTACATGTTGGGTACAGGTTTAGTGTAGGTTGAGTGTAGGTATGGTACAGGTTGGGTACAGGTTTAGTGTAGGTTGAGTGTAGGTATGGTACATGTTGGGTACAAGTTTAGTGTAGGTATGGTGCAGGTTGAGTACAGGTTTAATGTAGGCTCAGTGTAGGTATGGTACAGGTTGGGTACTGGTTTAGTGTAGGTTTAATGTAGGCTCAGTGTAGGTACGGTACAGGTTGGGTACAGGTTTAGTGTAGGTATGGTACAGGTTGGGTACAAGTTTAGTGTAGGTATGGTGCAGGTTGAGTACAGGTTTAATGTAGGCTCAGTGTAGGTATGGTACAGGTTGGGTACAGGTTGAGTGTAGGTTAAGTGTAGGTATGGTGCAGGTTGAGAAAAGGTTTAATGTAGGCTGAGTGTAGGTATGGTGCAGGTTGAGAACAGGTTGAGTGTAGGTTTAATGTAGGCTGAGTGTAGGTATGGTGCAGGTTGAGAACAGGTTGAGTGTAGGTTTAATGTAGGCTGAGTGTAGGTATGGTGCAGGTTGAGAACAGGTTGAGTGTAGGTTGAGTATAGGCTGAGTGTAGGTATGGTGCAGGTTGAGTGTAGGTATGGTGCAGGTTGAGAACAGGTTGAGTGTAGGTTGAGTATAGGCTGAGTGTAGGTATGGTGCAGGTTGAGTGTAGGTTGAGTATAGGTTGAGTGTAGGTATGGTGCAGGTTGAGTGTAGGTTGAGTACAGGTATAGTGTAGGTTGAGTTCAGGTTTAGTAGAGGTTGAGTCTAGGTTGAGTATAGGTTGCCGAATGTCTCTTCTTTACTTCTCTTTTCTCTACTTCCACAGCAAAAGAATAAAGTCTCCCTGCGGAATTTGTCGATGGTTTTGCGACAGCTGAGTGGCCCTCCAGCAGAGAAAGTGAGTTTGATCGAGGAGAGTGTGGAGAAAGCCAAGGAAGCTATCCAGCTGGACATCAAAGATGGAACGTCGTGGTGTATGTGTCTCTAAATACACCTCATTGTGTGTGTTGAGAAAATTAGCAGTTGTTTCCTTTGTTGTTTGTAAATTGAAGATCCTTATTAGATTGAAATACCCTTCGTTTTCTTGTGAAAAAGGTATCCCAAAATATATCGCATTATTATAATATTGACACATTGTCCTTTATAATTGAATCCACTTTTCAGTACTGGTAGTTGATGATGTTGATTAGAATTACATCACTGTTCATCAGTTTAGTTTGTAATCAATACTTGCAGGTTTGTGGATTATGTATTGGATGATGATGATGAAGATGATGATGGAGCCGCTGGAGATTGTGAGGATGAAATGATGGGACTGACATGCAGTGTTTGAAAGAAGCGCTGGCCTGTAGGCCCATGGCAGATAGATCTTGTGTTGGGCCTGCAGTTTCACATTTGTATGGGTCTTAAAGGCCTGCAGTAAATCTATGTGCAATATGTTTGTCTCAATAAGCTGCTGCTTTTTAAATGATGGCCTGTAGGGTTTAGTCAGGGCCTGCAGCCTCTAGAGACTGTGGGTCCTGATGGCAGCCTGGCATATTTTTTAAAAATTTCAAACACTGCTGACATGAAGGTCTGAGATTGTGTTAATTGATTTCAGTGATTCTGGGAAATGCCTACCTGTCTCTGTTCTTCACTGCTGGTCAGAACCCGAAGGTTTTAAAGCAGTGCATGAGTGCATATGCCCAGGCGGTAAGTATTGCCCACTGTGTACAAATAAGTGAGTAGGATAGAAGTAGGAAATGAAACAGCACGGACGACAAGTCTGCGCAAACTGTATCCACCTAGGCCTCATTCCACAAAGCCATCATAACACTAAGATGATTGTAAGCTTATGTTAAAGTATGGGAGTTATGATCACCTTCGCACTACAATGATCTTCAACCTATGCTAAAGTATGAGAGTTACCTTCACCTTAGCACTACAATGATTGTAAGCCTATGTTAATGTATGGGAGTTATGATCACCTTCGCACTACAATGATCTTCAACCTATGCTAAAGTATGAGAGTTACCTTCACCTTAGCACTACGATGATTGTAAGCCTACGTTAATGTATGGGAGTTACGATCACCTTAGTGCTATGATGATCGTACGCCTATGTTAAAGAATGGCAGTTACGATCACCTTAGTGCTATGATGAGTGTACGCCTATGTTAAAGTATGAGAGTTATGATCCCCTTAGCGCTATGATGAGTGTACGCCTATGCTGAAGTATGGGAGTTATGATCACCTTAGTGCTATGTTGAACGAAAGCCTATGCTAAAGTATGAGAGTTACGATCACCTGAGTGCTATGATGAGTGTACGCCTATGTTAAAGTATGGGAGTTATGATCACCTTGGTGCTATGATGATCGTAAGCCTATGCTAAAGTATGAGAGCTACGATCCCCTTAGCGCTACGATGATCATAAGCCTATGTTAAAGTATGGGAGTTACGATAACCTTAGTGCTACGATGATCGTCAACCTATGCTAAAGTATGAGAGTTATGATCCCCTTAGCGCTACGATGATCATAAGCCTATGTTAAAGTATGGGAGTTACGATAACCTTAGCGCTACAATGATCGTCAACCTATGCTGAGATTGCATTGTGGAACAGGATGCTGTTGTACAAAGTGATCTTAGTGCTGAGGTGATCGTAACTCCCATACAGTAACATCGACAGTCATAGCTCTACAATCTCTTTGTGTAAAAATTACAATCCAGAGATGCATCGGTGCATCGTCCCACTACTCGTCAAGAGTAGACATTTGTTTAGTGTATTGGAAGCAATAGTTGGCATCCAGTAAAACCCTGATGGAGCCTACGGTTATTTCCCTGGTTGTTGAACTGAACTCCGGTACTTGGACTTGTGCAGGTATTCTTCGTACGTGTTTGGAATCTCTTGCCATGTTGCTCATTTGTTTATCCGACCCCGTCTTTACAATGTTGACTCTGGTTGCAGGAGAGAGACCCAGTTGCTCAGGGCAACCCCGACCTGCACTTCAACCGTGCTACAGTAAGTGTGGTGATGATGATACAGTCATATCAACAGCTCATATCAACCTTGAAAATATATATATCATATAATGGGTAGGTTTCTCAGCAGGATAAAGCCAACGGATAAAAACGATATCCGTTGGTGTCATATGCGGATAGAGATGCAAATTTCAAAGGTCAAGTAGGGACTACTTTCACTGTTTTTTTAAACAAACATTGCGTCGCCCTAGTCATTCGGCAATCGAGTCAGAATTAACCATCGGGGATCTGGATAAACTACAGAGATAATTGCTTTCATTATCAAAAGAACTGTGATATACTGAAAATCAGTGTCTTACTGTGATGTAGCTAAGGCATTTTATAAGTTTTGGCAACTTTGGAGATATAAATTTCGACACAATTTGGCGAGGGCACGAGGCCTAGCCAAGCGGGATCAGTAGCCATATCTGTGCTTGTAGACCTCTGCGGCTTGAACCTTTCTCCACAAATTAAAATAGTTGGATTTGGCCGAAATATGTTTGAATTGTTACCTTGTTTCGTTTTGTCGCTGTGTGTACATCTGACTACACTTCTTAACGTTATGACAGGACAGGCCGACTGTCAACAACGTCTGACCGTGGCCGTAACGTCTCATAGACTAGGATTAGAGTAGCTTCCCTTTGACAAAGGGCAGTTACTCTAGCGGACAGACCGATGGATTGCCGCGAAAGGCAATTGAAAACAATTGTTGTTTTGCGCATATGTTGCTTCGCCACTGTATAAGAAAGAGATTTCAGTTTGAACTATAGTGGCTACTGTCACTGTCCGATTGACACATCACTTACCCTGTGACGTAATAAATATTAATGCACGCATTCCAGGAAAACTCGCAATGTTTCGGTATTGTTTGTGAGAGAGGGAAAGCGATTTTGAAGCACAGAATTAAAGAATGACATTATATGATAAAGAGGTTATCACAATTGTGTGTTTGGGGATGGTTAATATCCTGTATTAGGAATTAACACTATGTATTTAGCTCGCCAAGGCTCGCTAAATACAATGTTTATTCCTAATGCAGGATATTTACCATCCCCAAACACACTCGCGTGATAACCTCTATATATATGTTTTATTTTTAATTTTTTTTTATTATTATATAGGACTGACAAAGTTGATCACTGTTCATGATTTCACGGCTTGCTTGGCCAAGAATTTACTTACAGACTGCCATGATAATGTTTGACTATTGGTGAACTACACCCACATTCACTGTTGTCTGTAGTCTTACCAGTACCAGGAGGAATACCAACAAGCCCTCGCGGGGTTCGACCGGGCAATGCTCCTGGACCCAGGGTGGGACGAGCCTGGCGAGAAGGAGACGCAGCTCTTACAGTTTCTGGGCACGCTCACCGACATGATCAACACCAAGGTGAGGCAGCCACACTTCATGGACTACTTGCACAGAGCGATCTTAGCGCTAAGATGATCGTAACTCCCATACTTTAACATAGGCTTACAATAGCGCTAAGATCGCTGTGTGCAAGTGGGCCCGGGTCTCTGACATTGTGTACCGTTGTAATGTGGTTGTAATTACTGATAGGGAGGTCAGGCACGGTGGCCATCTTGTTTTTTAAATGTAACTAATCAAATTTCATCAGATTTCAGTTTCATTAACAGAAATAACAAGAAGATACATGCTTATGGGGAATGTCTTAATAATACATTATGCCTATTCTTGTTTTGTTCTCTTTGTTATTTCACCATGAATAGAATGTTTATTCAAGTATGCAAATATTATTGTTGAATCACATTAGGAATCTTAACATGCAAGTGAAATGTCAGTGCACTTCTAAGATCATTCAGTGTGTGGTATTTTGGGCAATTATCCCCAAATAAATTGTTAACTTAATGGTGGCCATCTTGGAATCCAAAATGGCCGCTTTTTACACTCCTTAAAACAGCGATATCTCAAAAAGTTTTTGACATGAATTAAAAAGGAAAACAGTTTTTTATTCATTTTTACATGAACTAAAAGAAAATGTATAAACCTGAATAAAATAATGTATGTACAAGGTTAGCCTGACCTCCCTGTTACTAACATCGTGCCTTAACATTTGTACATGTATCGCAAGGCGAAGGTTGTTCAATCATAACAATACATGTACCAGTATTTCAGGGCAAGATTAACGATATTCAATCATAACAATGCACTGGGGCAGTCGGGTAGGCTAGTGGTTAAAGCATTCGCTCATCACGCCGAGGACCTGGGTTCGATTCCCGACATGGGTACAATGTGTGAATCCCATTTCTGGTGTCCCCCGCCATGAAATTGCTGGAATATTGCTTAAAGCGGCGTAAAACCATACTCACTCACTCACTTAACATTGGTACATGTATGGCAAGGCAAATGATGTTCAATCATAATGATACATGTACCAGAATTCCAGGGCAAGATCAAGGATATTCAATCATAATTCACTGGGGCGGTGGGGTAGCCTTGTGGTTAAAGCGTTCGCTCGTCATGCGAAGGCAAAGGTTTGATTCCCCACATGAGTGTATTATGTGAAGTCCATTTCTGGTGCCCCCGCTGTGATATTGCTGAAAGCAGCGTAAAACCATACTCACTCACTCATAACAATACATGCACCAATATTTCAGGGCAAGATGAAGGGGAAGAAGTTAGAGTCTCTGGTCCTGTCGATGAACGAGGAGAAGGACCTGGGTCCATATCGTGGGGGGTCCTACACGGGATCCAAGGGAAAGTCTGTCACATTGAAGAAAGTCAAACTGTCGGATCTACAGCCCGAGATTAACCATGAGCGAGTTGTGACGGGGAAAGTTGTGTGTACTATCAGTTCCCAGGAAGCCCTTACATTGTAAGTCTCAGACAAGTGCCCTCAGTTCCCAGTAAGCCCTTACATTGTAAGTCTCAGACAAGTACCGCCAGTTCCCAGGAAGCCCTTACATTGTAACTCTCAGACAAGTACCGCCAGTTCCCAGGAAGCCCTTACATTGTAAGTCTCAGAGAAGTACCGTCAGTTCCCAGGAAGCCCTTACATTATAAGTCTCAGACAAGTACCATCAGTTCCCAGGAAGCCCTCACATTGTAACTCTCAGACAAGTACCATCAGTTCCCAGGAAGCCCTCACATTGTAAGTCTCAGACAAGTACCACCAGTTCCGAGGAAGCCCTTACATTGTAAGTCTCAGACAAGTACCGCCAGTTCCGAGGTAGCCCTTACATTGTCAGTCTCAGACAAGTACCGCCAGTTCCCAGGAAGCCCTTACATTGTCAGTCTCAGACAAGTACCGTCAGTTCCCAGGAAGCCCTTACATTGTAAGTCTCAGACAAGTACCATCAGTTCCCAGGAAGCCCTTACATTGTAAGTCTCAGACAAGTACCATCAGTTCCCAGGAAGCCCTCACATTGTAAGTCTCAGACAAGTACCACCAGTTCCCAGGAAGCCCTCACATTGTAAGTCTCAGACAAGTACCATCAGTTCCCAGGAAGCCCTTACATTGTAAGTCTCAGACAAGTACCGCCAGTTCCCAGGAAGCCCTTACATTGTAAGTCTCAGACAAGTACCATCAGTTCCCAGGAAGCCCTCACATTGTAAGTCTCAGACAAGTACCACCAGTTCCCAGGAAGCCCTCACATTGTAAGTCTCAGACAAGTACCATCAGTTCCCAGGAAGCCCTTACATTGTAAGTCTCAGACAAGTACCGCCAGTTCCCAGGAAGCCCTTACATTGTAAGTCTCAGACAAGTACCGTCAGTTCCCAGGAAGCCCTCACATTGTAAGTCTCAGACAAGTACCGCCAGTTCCCAGGAAGCCCTTACATTGTAAGTCTCAGACAAGTACCGCCAGTTCCCAGGAAGCCCTCACATTGTAAGTCTCAGACAAGTACCATCAGTTCCCAGGAAGCCCTCACATTGTAAGTCTCAGACAAGTACCATCAGTTCCCAGGAAGCCCTCACATTGAAAGTCTCAGACAAGTACCACCAGTTCCCAGGAAGCCCTCACATTGAAAGTCTCAGACAAGTACCACCAGTTCCCAGGAAGCCCTCACATTGTAAGTCTCAGACAAGTACCGCCAGTTCCCGGGAAGCCCTTACATTGTAAGTCTCAGACAAGTACCATCAGTTCCCAGGAAGCCCTCACATTGTAAGTCTCAGACAAGTGCCCTCAGTTCCCAGGAAGCCCTTACATTGTAAGTCTCAGACAAGTACCATCAGTTCCCAGGAAGCCCTCACATTGTAAGTCTCAGACAAGTGCCCTCAGTTCCCAGGAAGCCCTTACATTGTAAGTCTCAGACAAGTACCATCAGTTCCCAGGAAGCCCTTACATTGTAAGTCTCAGACAAGTACCGCCAGTTCCCAGGAAGCCCTCACATTGTAACTCTCAGACAAGTACCATCAGTTCCCAGGAAGCCCTTACATTGTAAGTCTCAGACAAGTACCGCCAGTTCCCAGGAAGCCCTTACATTGTAAATCTCAGACAAGTACCATCAGTTCCCAGGAAGCCCTTACATTGTAAGTCTCAGACAAGTACCATCAGTTCCCAGGAAGCCCTTACATTGTAAGTCTCAGACAAGTACCGCCAGTTCCCAGGAAGCCCTCACATTGTAAGTCTCAGACAAGTACCATCAGTTCCCAGGAAGCCCTTCATTGTAAGTCTCAGAAAAGTACCGCCAGTTCCCAGGAAGCCCTTACATTGTAAATCTCAGACAAGTACCATCAGTTCCCAGGAAGCCCTTACATTGTAAGTCTCAGACAAGTACCATCAGTTCCCAGGAAGCCCTTACATTGTAACTCTCAGACAAGTACCATCAGTTCCCAGGAAGCCCTTACATTGTAAGTCTCAGACAAGTACCGCCAGTTCCCAGGAAGCCCTTACATTGTAAATCTCAGACAAGTACCATCAGTTCCCAGGAAGCCCTTACATTGTAAGTCTCAGACAAGTACCATCAGTTCCCAGGAAGCCCTTACATTGTAAGTCTCAGACAAGTACCGCCAGTTCCCAGAAAGCCCTCACATTGTAACTCTCAGACAAGTACCATCAGTTCCCAGGAAGCCCTTACATTGTAAGTCTCAGAAAAGTACCATCAGTTCCCAGGAAGCCCTTACATTGTAACTCTCAGACAAGTACCATCAGTTCCCAGGAAGCCCTTACATTGTAAGTCTCAGACAAGTACCGCCAGTTCCCAGGAAGCCCTTACATTGTAAATCTCAGACAAGTACCATCAGTTCCCAGGAAGCCCTTACATTGTAAATCTCAGACAAGTACCATCAGTTCCCAGGAAGCCCTTACATTGTAACTCCCAGACAAGTACCATCATTTCCCAGGAAGCCCTTACATTGTAAGTCTCAGACAAGTACCGCCAGTTCCCAGGAAGCCCTTACATTGTAAGTCTCAGACAAGTACCATCAGTTCCCAGGAAGCCCTCACATTGTAAGTCTCAGACAAGTACCATCAGTTCCCAGGAAGCCCTTACATTGTAAGTCTCCGACAAGTACCGCCAGTTCCGAGGAAGCCCTTACATTGTAAGTCTCAGACAAGTACCGCCAGTTCCGAGGAAGCCCTTACATTGTCAGTCTCAGACAAGTACCATCAGTTCCCAGGAAGCCCTTACATTGTAAGTCTCAGACAAGTACCATCAGTTCCCAGGAAGCCCTTACATTGTAAGTCTCAGACAAGTACCATCAGTTCCCAGGAAGCCCTCACATTGTCAGTCTCAGACAAGTACCGCCAGTTCCCAGGAAGCCCTCACATTGTCAGTCTCAGACAAGTACCATCAGTTCCCAGGAAGCCCTTACATTGTAAGTCTCAGACAAGTACTTTTGAGAGCTTGCTGAACCATGTGGTATTTCGGGGGCTTGGGGGCTGGTATTTTCTTTTCTCGTAGAAAAGAATTGTCCAGAAAAACTAATTGTTGTCTTTTACATGCTGGATGTCCTGAAAAACATGTCTGGGTGCAGTGAGTGAAAACAATATTCAGTCTCTTCCCTCCAATAGAAACCGCCTCCGTGGTCTGGTGGTAGAGTGTCCCTCTTCCCCCAATAGAGACCGCCTCCGTGGTCTGGTGGTAGAGTATCCCTCTTCACCCAATAGAGACCGCCTCCGTGGTCTGGTGGTAGAGTATCCCTCTTCCCCCAATAGAGACCGCCTCTGCGGTCTGGTGGTAGAGTATCCCTCTTCCCCCAATAGAGACCGCCTCCGCGGTCTGGTGGTAGAGCGTCCACCCGGAGAACGGAAGATCCGGGGTTCGATCACCGTCCCTGTTCACGTCATACTAAAAGACGTTAAAAGATGGTACTTGTTGTTACCCTGCCTGGCGCTCGGCCTTAAGGGGGCTAAAAGAAGGACTGGTCTGCTCGGAGTCAGTATACAGTGTTGGAGTGGGGTATTCATGTTAAACTTCAGTGGGCTAGCACTATAAATAGTCATCAGTCAGGACTAGTACAAGCAGACAACAGACACACACAGACTAAGAAACACACACACTCACACAGACACACCATCTCACACAGAGACACATGCTCACACAGACACACACTCACACACAAACACTCTATTTCAGTGCAATTATCTTGGACGCGACAGTAAACCCCATTTCACCTCACCTCCCTTAATAGAATACACAATGGTTAGTCCATGATGATGGTCATGTTGTTTCAGTACTTTCTGCATGGTTGATGAAGACCAGACCTGCTTCCCCGTGAACGTCTACAACATTGCCAAAGGATCTGGGGTGAAGATTGGGGACTCGGTGGCCATCCCAGACCCGTATGTTCAGTTGGTCAAAGTGAACCACAAAGAAAAGGTCAGTCCTGTGTGCGAGGGTAAAGGAGTGGTTGATAGCATGAGCAACATGGTAGGATGATATAACTACCAGCTAGGTCACACATTGTTGTAATAATCTGACCATAAACAAGTGTGGATGGCGTGGATGGCTTGGATTTCTTCAATCCTGGAAGTGGAATCATAACAGTTGACTGTTTTATGGAACCCTTAAGATTAATATCACCAAATTCATGAGCTTATTTCTTCTCCCTATTTTACCATGATTTGTTTGTTGTTTAATGCCGCACTCGGCAATATTCCAGTTCTATGACGGCGGTCTGTAATTAACCGAGTCTGGACCAGACAATCCAGTGATTGATATCATGAGCATTGATGTGTGCAATCAGGATACGATGACATGCATCAATCCCGTTAGTCACATATTAAGCCAGCATGGGTTGCTGAAGATCAATTCTAACCCAGATCTTCGTCTTCGTCTTCTTGCGTGTTAAACAACCGTTTCAAGATTCATACATACATTGTCAAGACTTCATGGTCTTGTATACACTAAAACAATTAACAAAACCCCTCGTTAATGAGGGAAGGGTATTTTCAGCTTAACCAGTTTCAATTTGCATTGAAAGATTTTATGATCTGAAAGAATTAACTCTGTTTGTTTCTGGTCTGCAGGTGTTTGAGTTTTCGAGTATCCGGGTCGACCTGCCGGTCATGCTGGTTGTGAACGGGAGGAAGCTAGGCCTGGACAAACAAGCAATGTCCGTGCTGTCGGTCAGCGCCATGTCAGAGTAGTGCTCACCCTACCTGGATCTTTAATGTACATATATTTATACAATAAATATTTATTTTTACAGCATATAGGGTTTTATTATTTTATCAAGAAGAGTGATTTATTATCCCCCCCAACATGTTTTGTTTCTGGAGCAGAACTAAAAAAACAATGAGATATCTTAACCAAACTTGGCATGTAGAAAGGTCTAGTGGTGAAATGGTGCCTTTTGATAGTTTGGGATTTAAAAAAAAGAATTGAGTTTCCATGGCAACGACTTTGACTGAAAATGGCAGTAGTTTTGGGGGGGGGGATATGAGTATTTCATCCTTGTTTTTGTTGGAATCTGTCAGCAATACTACATGAATGTGGTCAGCAAATGAGTCCACGCAGTCTTCTGTGATCCGTGTCTGCAGGGCTAAATGAGTCAACCGCCCCAGTTCATCTCTATGAATCATGAGTGAATATTGTGTTCAAATTGATTGTGTTGCCGCTATATGCCGCCACTGTACACATCAGGGATGAGAATGGATATTTTCCTTTTCAGCTGAAACTTCATGGCTATGGAGTGTGGTCCATTATTTGTTGGTACTTATGGGGGCAAGCCATCAGATTTCAATAAATTTGTGGTCACTAAATTTCGCAGATCTGCGGAAGATTCTCCCCCGACACATCAACAGGTTGTTCACACGAGATCTTGACAGTACACAGTATGTTAGCAACACCTATCAAGAGTGTATACAGTAAACACTGGCTGAATTTGTGTTCTCTCTTTTTTGGGTGATTTTGATGCAAGATTTTTAAGAACCACTGAAGATGGATGTAAATGATGGATAATAATGATATTTATTTCATATTTTGTCTCCTTCACCTCTGCAAAGAAATGAATGTTGGCCTATTGGGAGACATGGATGTAGAGAGATGCATGTGTGAAAAGCTGGTACCACACTTGCTGGAGATGAGCCAGAATACTTGGCCGTTATAGTTTGGCTTTGCACACGTGTGCAGTATATATACCCTTTTGGCAGCTTTGGTGCCATTACCATGTTAACAGGTGACAGGGATATTATCAGCAAATATTTAAGAATTTGAATTGTGATTAGTTTGATACTAAATCTGAGGAAGGTCTCTGAACAGGAGGAGCTCAGTTGACAATTCACCACTAAAACTGGACAGTTTCACACTTTATTCACTCAGTTACAGAACTATCCCTTTCGTATCCTGAAACAATAAATGCATGTGCCTTCCTCTATATGTACTCAGTAGGGGCAGAATCCCTCTGATCAACATTGCTGGAGTACTACTGGTAGGTGGACCCAGCTCAGATTGTAACTGCCGAGAGTGAAGTCCAAAGATCTTGTGTGCTGAAAGAATTGTTCTTTGCTGACAGACAACTGCAATAATGATCCCACAAAAATTTACAATATAACCACCATGGACAATGTTGCATCACAAATATGCAGCTAACAACCCAATCATCCATGTCGCTCTCGATCACACCCACACACACTTACATGGTCATGCATACATTCATTGCATACCAGAACCAGGTTCTCACCATTCACAATCCAAGTAATAATTATTTTCGGACATAAATATCTTTTCTTGACTTGAGTCAAAAAAAAACTATACAATCTTCAAAGTTGTACATGCAACAACTAGGTCATGTTCCACACAGTTGGAGGCCACCAAATAAACTAAGTCACCGAACATTTCTTCCAAATTTGCTGACTATTAAATGGAGTTCTGGTGACCTATTGTAACCTGGGTGGATAGGTAAGGGTGGTGATGTGACAAACTGCCGACAAAGTACAGACTATAACATCAGCAGCTGTACAGCTGTAATGCTCATGCACTCTGCCCTCATCCTGTTCTGGTGCCATGTCAATGTAAACATTGTTCGGGAACCAAGAATTTAGAATTTGTTTAATTAGGTTCCGTATCTTGTCCGTGAGAACAGTGTGCTACATCAAGATAGGCCCACTTTGTAGAGAGACATGATACTGTATCCATCTGTCGTTGGTACAATCGGTCGGGCATCACAAGCACTTGCACACTCCAGGGATCCATAAACAGACAGTAATGAACAGACTCGTGATATCACCTTCACTACATGATCGTCATTTATAACAGGTTGATAAGTATCACAAATTAATCTAAAAAAGCATCCATCACTTAGGCTTTGCTTGGACTGTCTTGTTTACATTGGATATTTTGGATGGTTTAATGGTCTGTATCTTGGTGGGGTTGTAGCTGTAGGTCTTCACCATGGGGCCTTCTCCCGCTTTCTTGAATCTTACCGCATCCAGTCTCTGTCGTTCCTCAAACTGCGAGGCGCGGCCGGCGTTGTCCATAGCTGAAGAGAGGGGAACCATTGAGAACAGAGTAATACTACATCAGCAGCATATTGGCCAGAAAGAACAGGGACTAAAGTTGCCCTACATTACAACAGAGCCTAAAGTTGTCACACAAGTGATGCACCCTCTACACAAGTGACGCACCCACTACACAAGTGACGCACCCGCTACACAAGTGACGCATCCGCTACACAAGTGACGCACCCGCTACACAAGTGACGCACCCTCTACACAAGTGACCAAACCCACCACACAAGTGACGCATCCACTACACAAGTGACGCACCCACTACACAAGTGACGCACCCTCTACACAAGTGACGCACCCTCTACACAAGTGACGCACCCACTACACAAGTGACGCACCCACTACACAAGTGACGCACCCTCTACACAAGTGACGCACCCTCTACACAAGTGACGCACCCACTACACAAGTGACGCACCCACTACACAAGTGACGCACCCTCTACACAAGTGACGCACCCACTACACAAGTGACGCACCCTCTACACAAGTGACGCACCCACTACACAAGTGACGCACCCTCTACACAAGTGACGCACCCTCTACACAAGTGACGCACCCACTACACAAGTGACGCACCCACTACACAAGTGACGCACCCACTACACAAGTGACGCACCCACTACACAAGTGATGCACCCTCTACACAAGTGACGCACCCACTACACAAGTGACGCACCCACTACACAAGTGACGCACCCACTACACAAGTGACGCACCCTCTACACAAGTGACGCACCCGCTACACAAGTGACGCACCCGCTACACAAGTGACGCACCCTCTACACAAGTGACGCACCCACTACACAAGTGACGCACCCACTACACAAGTGACGCACCCACTACACAAGTGACGCACCCTCTACACAAGCGACATACCCTCTTTGAATCCTTGAACAAATCCTTTCTTCTTTGGCATTGCTGACACTTCATGCTTGACCATCTGTTCAATACCAAACTTGGTTCGCACAGCTGGGATCCTAAGAAACAGAACTTGTAGAAGCGAGAAGGCGTTAGTTGTGCACCAGTACGTGAGGAGGGCCTGAAACAGTCAACAGTCAAACACTCACCCACACTGTCATTGCCTCCTGGTCATCACTGAAGTGAGCCAGACTTTACCTCTCACTCTACATTAAGTCAGCATGGAAGCTTCAGCACCAGAGGCCTTGTACTTCACTGTGAACATTGAGTAACAGTTTATTTGAGAAATAGAAACTATATGCGCAATATGTCCAGCAATGTATGGAACATAAAGATAGGTGATTATCATTATTATTATATATGGCAGGTATCCAAGTACTAGTATCTGCTCAAATGTGGTTTTATTTGTTCCCCGACCAGTGGACCTGTTTGCATTCGAGTTGTCATTCTCCACTTTCCTAAGACTGATCCTGTAAACAGCCCAGTGTCCTGGCCTCCGGTGTGACTTACAGCGGGGAAGTTGGAGATGAAGGGCAGCATGATGAAGGGCATGGCTCTCATTCCGTATCGCATGAACGGACTCATCATATCTGCACGCACGCCATCCACACCAACCTTGCATTTAAGAAAAAGATGTGAATTTCATGTCTACTGGTAAATGTTTGTTGTTTAACACCACACTCAATAACTTTCAAGCTATATGAGGGTGACCTGTAGATAATAATAACTGAGTTGAGCTTCCAGCAGTATGACTGGGAATATGACAGGGAGTCTGACGGGAAATATGATTGTGAATATGACGGGGAATATGACGCGGAATACATGCCGGGGAATATGACTGTGAATATGACGGGGAATATGACTGTGAATATGTTGGGGAATATGACTGTGAATATGACAGGGAATACATGCCGGGGAATACATGCCGGGGAATATGACTGGGAATATGTCGGGGATTATATGACGGTGAATATGACGGGGAATATGACTCTGAATATGACGGGAAATACATGACGGGAAATATGACTGGGAATATATGACTGAGAATATGACGGGGAATACATGCCGGGGAATATGACTGTGAATATGACGGGGAATATGACGGGGAATACATGCCAGGGAATATGACTGGGAATATGTCGAGGATTATATGACTGGGTATATGACTGGGAATATGTCGGGGATTATATGACTGGGATTATGCCTGGGATCATATGATGGGGAATATGACTGGGATTATATGAAGGGGAATATGTATGGGAATATGACTGGGAATATGATGGGAAATATGATAGGAAATATGACAGGAAATATGACAGGAAATATGACAGGAATTATGGTGGAATATATTACAGGGAATATGACAGGAAATATGAAATTGTGAACTACTCATGCTACAACAGATCATAATATAAGATTGCTCAGGATAGAAAATTTATAATATAGAAGTTAGAAAAAGTACCCCTTGACTTTCATGCTTAATTTCAAACACTGCTACGTGGTTTCCAGCTGCAGAATGACATTCTGATTATTGTGTGCTATTTGCCAACAACTATTCTAGTGCAGTGATAGAACCACTGTCTACATGGGAGGAAACAGCAACAACATACCTGTACGATCAACAAAAATGTTGCAGCTGTAACAATTGGCAGAGCATAGAAAGGATCCGGCACGGTGAGATCCGTGAACCAGTACAGCCCTCCCAGCTTCATACTTTCTACCGGCAGGTTGGCCATTCCTCGTAACCCAAAAAACACAGACACAAACACAGGGAGCTGGAAGACAGAAACATTCCTTCAATTAGTCCATGACCATACACAATGTCACCATATGCCAACAGTCAGCAATTTGTTTGTTTGCTGTTTAACGCCGCACTCAGCAATATTCAAGCTATATGGTGCCGGTCTGTAAATAATCGAGTCTTGACCAGACAATCCAGTGATTGACATCATGAGCATTGATATACTCAACCGAGTCAGCAAGCCTGACCACCTGTCCCCCTTAGTTGCCTCTTATGATAAGCATAGTTGCCTGGGTTGCTGATGACCTATTCTGACCCGGATCTTCACTGGTCCAGTAGTCAGTAAAATTCCAGTCATGGCTGCCTGTAATAACCTGGACCAGAGCAACCAGGGGTCATCTTCCTGAGGCAAGGGAGGTAACTATATTTCATGGCTTGATCCACCAGTGGCTATTGTGACTTATGTCCGACCAATGGTACTCATCCTCTCATATCACTCGCATTTGCTTCAAACAAAATGGCAGCACTCAGTAAAGACGAAATGATAAAAAATCCAGATCTATATTGTAATGAAACAGATCTTAACTCACGAAGTGTATTAAATGACTTGAGCATGTTGATTAAAAGCATGAAATGATTTGGATTTTTTTTGTTGATGCCCAGTTAACGATACACATTTTTTGCAAATCCTGAATCAACGGACATCTGCACTGCAGTCGCCATGTGGTTTACAAAACAAATGTCAATTTCGATTGGACAATGCATTAACCCATAAGGTCAGCCAAAATATAACTCTGAAATTCCAACCTAGTTCAGCAAGGATGGAAACTGGACTTCTATAGTCAGTTACCTCCCTTGCCTTGGGTGATGCCAGTTATTGAAGGACGAGCAATGATTCGGCCATAACACACAATCAACCAACTGACACAATGTCATCACATGACATTTGTAAAGCAAGTACTTGGAACCAGTTCTGTGCCAGAATCTATACAGGTGATAACTGATAACTAGAACTAAGAGACTGTCAGTAAGGATTAATCAAGCAAACTCTAAACACTAACACACGTAAACCGTTGGTGGGAACTTAACTGAACAAGCTGTCATTAAGAACTGACCTGAGCAAATGGGACGAGCATGCTTTTGAACATCTTGATTCCATTCTTTTGCATATAGGCCAAATATTCCACAGTTGCCCTTTGCACTGAAAAACATGAAGTTGTACATCAATATGTAATATTTACAGCTTTTACCATTGTTAACCGTATCAGATATTTTGTGGAAGGGCATGTCCAAGTAACTCTCGATTCGTTTAAAATAATGGAGCTGAGGCCCTTTTACTTTTAAGGAATGGAGAGTTATAAGGATATTCCTGTACTTAAAACACATCCCTACTTTTACACTTTGACAAAACTTTCTCTTGTGGAAAATATTGGAAAAATAAACCAGAACTCTTTGTATCCTGTTTTTATACTGTGTGAGTTGCCCTTGCTTGATGCACGAGGAATACGTTCTCTGCCACTGCTGATCATGCACCAAGCTGTGCCACGAGCTGATATTCACAATACATGTTTCACAGCTCTTGATAATTTCAGACAAAATGTGAAATCATTCACTTATCAACATGAAAAAAAAGTTCCATCAATGCCTAGTGTAAATTAATTTAAATGTTAGTTCAAGATGATGTATATTTGACAAACAACCTTCCATTCCTGAAAAATAATGCAGCATTTAAACAATAGAGTGACATCACAGATGTGTTTTAATCTGAAGGAAACCCCTCAGGATTACACCAGTAAAACATCTTAACTTTTGAGCATTTGTAGAGCCATGGTGCAATGATACAAATAAATTGTTGAACAATATCTACTTGACACCCTCCGGGCCTGAAGTGCTACAGGTCTTACTTGTTTACCACTGCTAAAACACTAAAGCATTAGCCAATTTGGGATTTGAACCCATAATCAATGATTTCTTGCATGCCTTAGGGAAGCAATTCTGCCTGAGGGATGAACCCATGCAGCATCTTCCCTCTATCTGCCAATATGACAAGACGTGGTGCTCACGTGCTATAGCATCTCCACTGGCACGGGCGTCTGTCATCCGCACCTGCAGCCGAGTCATGACGGGTGCATGGTTGTGCATCAGTGCTGCATTCTGCTGCGACTTGATCACCAGTGGGAACACCAGCATCCTCAAGCACACGGTTCCTGTAAGCAGAGTGAGAATCAATCATTGCTCTAAATATCAACTAGCAATAGTTAGAAGAGGCATACATGTGTTCTGTACATGAGTCGATTTTACTAACACAGCCTAGCCTCTTTGTCAAGCAAGTAATTTGCATGATTATAACAAAAACGTAGGCTTATCATTGTTAACCAATATTCCTACTAGATAATCATAATTATACATTGTCTATTGAGCCACTTGGATAGTTTATTTAAAGAGCAATCCTATCAATATTATTTCATGACACAACTACCAATTCTTTCCTGCACACAATCTATGTAAACTGTAGCCTCACCGATCATGATGGCTCCCCACCAGGGCAAGTCGAGGCCCACATGGAGGAAGTCCAACCCCTGCTGGACCATGCCACTGGGGGTCCATCCTCCCAGCCCCAGGCTCTGTATGGTCGGCTCTCCAAGTGCATTCAAGGTGTCGACCAATTCTGGGGCTTGTGGAAGTGGTGGTGGTTCTGGGATGTAGCCTGTGGTAGATGGAGGAGCAGCCTACAGGAAGTACAGGTGTGTTGTTAACACCCAGCAATTATCCAACTGTACGATTATGAAGGCTACTTATAAATAATCAAGTCAAATCAACATCCAATTCTGTTGGGGTATGCAATCAACCAAGTCACTAAGCCTGACCACCCATTTCATTAATTGCCTGTACAACCAGCATAGGTTGTTGGGGTCCAGTCCAAACCCGGGGTCCTGTCCAAACCCAGACTCCCCATTGGATCTTTCATCAGTGTATTGTATTAATTTGAGAGTGTTGGTTGTCTTATGCCACACTCCAGCTATATCAGAATATGACAACAGCCTGTAAATAATTAAATCTGCACCTAGGATCCATATCGTGAGCAACAATCGATCTGCTTAGGTTGCTGGGGACCTTAATTCTAACCCAGAATCCACATGGTGCTAATTGTGAGTGAGTGAATGCGGTTTATGCTGCAGCCAGCAATATTTGATTCTGGGGAAGAGGAAGACAAGCCATTGTCAGGTTATGATGAAACAATCAGACAGGTTATACAGTATTACTATCAGTCATGCAGTGTTACCATTTTCTAGGGCACTTATTGCATTTTCCTGGCTCAAGAATTTCTACATGACATAGTTGTAACCATTTTCCTTAATAAAAAAATGTTACCACACAAAAAACTTTGTTTTTGTATGATATACGTCCACCCTTATGGTGCCTCACCCTCCACGGCGCGTCACGCCAAGGGAAGCAACTCTCACCCAAATCACTTTCCATATGTCTAATGCTGACGGAATGTGGGGAGGTGGGTGGCCGTGCCCCAAGGAGGATTTCATCAGAGAATTCATAACCTCTACAGGTTTGTAAAATTCTCTTTCAGATTAAATCCTCCTTGGGGCACTTACTCCCAAAGATAATCTAGGAAGTGGCATCTGTCAGCAACAAGTGTAAATAAATACATCGTATTTTGATTATTTCAATAAATGGAACCAACCTTATCGTGAGGCACCACCGTCGAAAGGCGGGGGCTAGAGACAGGGCGTGGTCGACCATACACAATGAAAAGAGCCATTCTTTGTGGCTTATCATATCGAGAACTCGAGACCCCCCCCCCCCCCCCCCCACACACACACACACTTTTTTGAACAAGTGATATGGGGGCGCAGATCACGAGAGACTATAAACCCGCGCAGAGCTAGGCCAGAGGGTCCCTGTGAATCGAAGGAGTGCGTGTGCAAATACGATTATTATCGAGTAGTAATGGCTGGTATTGTTATCGACCGTAGAAGATATAATCCGGACCGTTACTGAGCAGTTTTATGACCGGTCCGGGCGGTCTAAAATCTCGAAGGCTCAATCGGCTAGAGATGCAGAACTTTGCCCAGTTCGGAGAACTGACTGACCAAACCGGCGCACGCTCGCTTGAGTGTTTGTCGAGTTTGTAATGTTTGATGAATGTGCTCGGCTGGCTCCAAATAGCCGCTCCAGAGCCGCGTCGTACGCTTGTGTGATAGCCACTGCTCTAACCGAATGAGCCTTCAACTTGGTAGGGGGGTCCCTGCCTTGAAGGGTGTACGAAGTACAGATAGTAGACACTATCCACCTGGAGATAGTTTGCGATTGTTTGCTCGCAGGTGAGCCAGCCTTCCTACCACCATAACAGCAAAATAGTTGATTATCCCTACGGATACCCTAGGTTCTGCTGATATAGGACTTGAGGGTCCTGTGGACATCCAAGACATGAGCATGTCTTGTAGTGGTCCCCGACTGGGAAAGCTGTGAAAGAGCAGGTAGCTTAATAGGAGCCGTCACGTGGAAGGCGTGTGCGACCTTAGGACAGTAAGAGTCCGGCAGGCGAATACTGACCCTGTCCTGGTGAAAGACAGTTAGACCAGCTGCCTTGCCCCGGCCCCTGCCTCTCTTGCTCCTCCCGGCGCCCTTACCTGAAAGAAGCGGCTGCTTCCAAGCAGGTGCAGACTTCTGACCCGGCGCGTCAGCGTAGGAGGAGTCAAGTGGAGAGGTCCGCTTGCGCGGTTTAACGCATGGTACCTCCAACAAGGCCTTAGAATCCTTGATGGAGGCATACAACTGTGCGGCCTCTCGGACCACCTGCTGAGCCCCAGGGAAGAGGGTGGCACCCATCTTATAAGGCAAAGCAAGTAGATCCTGGCGTGTGGAAGCCGAGTATTTGAATACCGACATCCACAGCCTGCGCATGCCCATGACTGCGCTCATCATCTGCGAGGCACAGCTACTAAAAGCGTCCCTAGCAAGATGACTATAGACCTCCGTAAGTTGCGCGGCCAACTCCGAAGAGTCAGCCGGCCGCTCTCCCACTAACTCCCTCTGTACCGCCGACAGATATGCGGAGTGTACGGACACACGGAGCTGCTGACATGCGTTGCGATACTGCTCCTCGAAGCAAACGTAAGCAGCCTTCAGCTCCGCACCGCACACGGGAAAGGGTGGCAACCGCTGGCCCTGCTTGACCTTTGTCAAGTTGGGGGTCGAAGACCCCCCCAGGGTAACGGAGGTCCAGACACATTCATCCACCACCGGTACCTCAAAGTCACCATCCTCGGCTAACGGGTACCGCTTAATAAGTTTGGGCAGGTCGAACTTCCTGCGGGCACCCGACAACAGAGGGTTGATGACTTCATGCACCAGTGAGGATAGAACATGGAGCCGCACCTAGGGGGCCTTGCTTGGAGCAAAAGCGTCCCCCGGAAGGCGGAACTCAGACTGGGGCATGGGCGCACCTGAGGCAGTACCTGGACAATCTTGTCCCCTACATGCCTCAACGAGGAAGCGAAGGAAAATGTTCCCGAGGTCTCCGAGTCGTCTCCCCCCTCCTCTCTCGATTCCAAGCCGAAATTAATCGACTCTTCCCCGAGAGAAGATGCAGACGAAGTCGAGAGGGGACGCCCGGAGCCTGGGCCTTCGCATCCCCGGGCTGCACCCGGCCCGAAGCCGAGTCCCGGTCCCGAGGTGCCGGGGGTTCAAAGGAACCCACCTGGGTCTGGGCTAGGAATCTGCTAGAGGAAGCCTCGGCCTCGGAAGAGGCGTCTGGCTCCGCTAGGGAGAACTGTGCATCGGTAGTGAACGGGCCAGCGAGACCCCCGAGACCAAGTGGCCTACCTCGGCCGACGCCGGGCATATCACGAGGTCTCGAAGCCACGTCCGGCGCCGACAATGGGGAAGGCTTGGTCCGCATCTCCTCTCGGAGCTGAGACTTTACATCCTCCATCATCGACGCCATCTGCGACCTCAACAAGGCAGAGATGTCCGCCAAAGACGGTGCAGTGATTGTTATGGGTACCCTAGAGCCCTCTCCCCCCTCCCCCGGTCCCCGGGGAGGGAGCGGAGGAGACAGTCTCTGCTGCTTTTTTACCCTTTTTGATTTTTTAGAGGGGGGGGGGGGGGGGGGGGGGGGGGCACGGTCTTTGCAAGAGATCCACTTGTCTCTTTTTTTGAGCCCGGGGGGTGAAAGCAATACAGATGGGTGAAAGCAATAACGATGGGTCATGCCCATCTTCCGCCAGACACTTGAGGCAAGTATCATGCCTGTCTTGGGGGGGAATGGATGCCGAACACCCCATACACAGTTTGAAGGTCTGTAAAAAAGACCGTAATTTCTGAGTTGGGCGGGAAGGGTAATAAAGTGTATCAGTGTGATTGAAAGATCTGAAAAGATATGTGCATAAATTGTGAAACTAGAAGCAAAGGCGTAATTGAGAATGCGATTGGTAACGCGATACTAATAGCCAATGTCGTAGTATAATTATAACAACAAAGTGGGCGTGTTACGCGCGAGGTGTAAAAAAAACCGTAAAAAAGGTAAGTGTAAATTAAATATGATTTAACACACCACCTTTGGTTTATTAAAGGAAAAAATTGTAGGCCAAAGCCCGATGATATAACATTAAAAAACCAAAGCCGTTTTTAATTGCCCTGGTGTTACATGTATCATCATGGCACTACAATATGGACGCCACGACAGCCTTTGTTTCAAAGGTATCGTACACGGGTCATATAATTACAACTCTATAACTTTACAATGCGAGGTATTACGCCTTTGCATGAAAGAAATGTACCATACATACAGTTTGGTCTGCCATGGTTCTTGTTTGAACGATTATCTTGTACTTTTGTTAGTCTTGAAAAAAACAGGCACGTCTGTCTTTGTCAGATGACATAAGGAAAGTGATTTTGGTGAGAGTTGCTTCCCTTGGCGTGACGCGCCATGAGGCTGAGGCACCATAGGGGTGGACGTATATCATACAAAAACAAAGTTTTTTGTGTGGTAACATTTTTTTATTAAGGAAAATGGTTACAACTATGTCATGTAGATTTTCTTGAGCCAGGAAAAGGCAATAAGTGCCCCAAGGAGGATTTAATCTGAAAGAGAATGGAAAATGTGTGCCCGATAAAGTGCAGTACTCCCATATTATATTCAAGCAACTTTGTTAAAAATCTATGGCGGCAGTGTTAGCATGAAATATAAAAATCAATGATGAATCTCCAGATTTACAGTTGGCCTTACAACCAGCATTGGGTACTGCATGTACTGTGGAGCTATTCCCTGTGGCTAGCTGTCTTCATGATATTATGATTGGTGACTCACATTTTCTGCTGCTGTTGTACTCTTGCCTCGGGTTATCGGAAGAACACAAACAACAGCAGGCCTGTTCAAATGATGTCTGGAATTGCTTCGAAACTGACACAGAAAACTGTGTGATCTGATGCTTGTGTGCAGTCTTTTAGTCTGAAAAGTGTGAACACATTAATAACAGTAAACTCAAGATATCCTGTTAAGGCTGAGAAATGTAACCATGCACAAATGATTGTTGTGCCTTAGACACACACAAAGAAAGAATGGTTTGGTAACTAGCCACCAAAATGGATTCAAGTGACCTTCAAACTCTGAGTTTAATGCACATTTGTTATAGCAAAGAATTGGAGTTTACTCTAAAGTAAAAGCGTTCACACAACTCATGAGTTGAATATGCCTGATAGAAGAGTTTGTTTTTTACTTTTAACATGTACACAGTAGATTCGAGGTAAACATAAGAATGTGAACTGTCACTATTTTCGCTTCCAGCATTTGGGGGCTTAGTTCAAACTGAAGACTTTGGTGACACGCTGTTAAAGAAAACACTGATTAACAGTGAAGCGCTAAGTTGCATATTAGTTTCACAAACTATATAACCTACATCAATCCATGTGTTCGTTTTCAGAGGTGCAAAAGTCTTCAGTTTGTGAAGGTCTCTCGCACAAAGTCGCACATGCTTCCAACAGGCAGCCATTTTTGAACTCTTGGACCAAATATGCAACCAATTAATATCGGTATGAGATGGATATAGATATAAAACAAATATCGTGTACTGTTTTTAATGCATTTATATTACTATATAGAAATACTGTCTATCAAATAATGGTAAATAAGGCCCACAATATGTCTTTTTGTGACTATATCTGTGGTTTAAGAGTATTTAGTGCAGATAGAATATTTTAACAACTTATGTTATATTATATATTACATGTAATATAAAATGTTGCATATTTTTCACTCTACAAACTGCTAAACAACATATTACTGTTATAAAGACAAAAAATATTAATATGTTACTTATTGTTGTATTGGCAATTAATATTTAAACAATAATAATTAAGCGTTGATTGTTGTTAAACAGCAAGCAGGGCAATAGTATGTCAAAGAAACATGGCGGCGATTGTCAGAGTTAAGCGACGTAGAAGCGTAGAACCTGTCGAATCCCTGGTATTTTCCAGTAAAAAACTGAAAGAAAATGACATCCAAGAAGGGACGAGCAACAAAGAAATTACTGGTTTACTTAAGTTTGCCGGGACAGTACCTATACAGGTCAGTTGAAATAGCTTCGAAACCATCCAATGGTTGATTTGGGAAATGTTGCTTTGTGCCGCAACATGTGACATGGCCATGACTGATACACATTGTTTTGATGAATTGATGAACACAGTGATGAATTTCTAAGTTATCATGGGAACTTATGTGTCAATTTTGCAATGAATGTCCAGGTCATTTGTCCATGTTAACCTTTGTTAATGTTTTCAAAGGTAAGACTTCCGCCCGTACCTCTTCAATGTGTTTTCTTGTGAACCCGTGAGTTTCATTTATTGCTTGTATTTACAAACCTACAAACTAAAGTGAAAACAAAATAGTAACGTGCTGTTTTCGCCTCGCAATAGTAGCCGTTTTCTCTTTGGACGGATACCGTTTAGTTTTCGCCGGTCGGTGCTGTTTTGCATAGGTGCAATTTTAGCGAAAAAATACATTTGGGAGGCAACTGAATTTTAGGCACTATTCACACTCATGGCCATGAAAATGTGTAAATTTTCCATTATTTTAAACACCATATATACACAAACTGTCACCAAAGTTGACACAGAATTGCGGCATAGGGATTCGATAGAATCAACTCGTAAACCTAACAACTGAAAAATGAAAAAAACTATTTTATGCCAAGTAAAACTGATTATCTACTGTTCAACAAAGGTCAACAGCATTTGAAATTGGCGCTAGTCCTGTAGACCTTGCTAAACTGCTAAATACATGTAATAGTTAAGGTATTGTAAGGACTAGTAGAAATCTTGCAAATTTTAAGGGTTTTGCAATATGTTATCATTATAAGGACTAGTGGACGAAAAATGTTAAAGGGGCACTGATCTAACGGACTGGGTTGTTGCCTTCGTTATTGTTTTTCCCCCGTGAGTACCCGGATGATACGCAACGCAACTGAGCGTGACCAGAGACTGGGGTACCGTCTGCAAGGACAGCTAAATAAACTTGGAGGCTGGAGGCAATATTTGTTTTACGCATTTTTGAACACTGATTGGTTAACTGTGATCTATAAAGATTTCGACAAAGGGCGCATGTTAATTCATTTCTTAAGCCTAAACAAACAGACAAAAAGAACAAGGGAGCTCATCGGATGTCGTCATTTGGAAATACCCCAGATGGTTATAGTTTAATACTAAAAACAGTATCCATGCAGTGAAAGCATTTTCGGATTTCGGCTTGCGTCGATAATACGATTACTACTCCCTTGTTGTCATCCATGTTTTCTCGTATAACCCTACACTTGTGTATTTGTCATCATTCATTTGAAGCACAGTTAATGAATTTATTACAGGTACAATTAGTGGTAGCACCACTTATATTACCTGACAAAGGTTCCCATTTGGCATTTATTGTGTCTGGGGTAATTATTCAATCTAAATCCAGGTTTGAAGTGAGGTGAAATGTGTGTTATGTAATATGCATGTGGCAGTCCAGCAAGAGATGAATGATCAGTTGATTTACTTTTTTTTGTAAAACAACGGATCGTTCCTAGTCATCAAAGGATTAACAGAAAATATGTTGATTGATTAATCACTGTTATCTTGCACAGTGGATATGTCAAGAGTGAGTGTTTACATGTCTAGGTTTACTAAAACAAAGGGAATACACTCATATCATGGCGCGAAGTGCCGATGTAAAAACAACATACTTTGTTCAAAGGGTTAACTGATAATACGTTTATTGATTGATCATTGTTATCTATCAATGGAATTTTTAGGAACCGTGGACGCTATGAAAATAGTTGTCACGTGGGCTTTCTCAGCCGACCATTGAGACTTGACACCTATGTAAAACACCTGAAACAATCCAAGCGATCAGTTGAGAAACGAACACGGGTTATAATATCCCGAAACGATATATATCTTTTAAAATATTTGATTGTTACTGAGACACGTGACATCGAATAAGTTTCTTTGTACAGCTGCAGACGAGTGGGATATTGTTCCTTTGTGTGGATATTCACGGATACATTCCTCGAACAAGGAAGCTGCCTAAAACTTATACACATAAATTTGGTAGGTTGTAATTATGATATCTGCATTTTGTTTTCCAGACCTTCATTTGAACCGATTCGTTCTTGTTTCTCTACGTCTTGGTTGGGAAATTCTTCAATGCGCGATAGTCGTTGTTGTCACAGGTCTTTTCCTTTGTAAGCGTGTATATATTACCGTCAATTTGTAAAATGTGATTCTCTCAGGCAATTTATAAAATGTGTAAATATTTCAGTCATTTTGACTAAAAAATCTGTCCAGATTGATCAAGACGATCAAAAGGGCCTACACACATCACAACAGATTATTATGTAGGATTAAAAGCCAAACAACTTAGAAATGTACTTTTCAACGTTACATTTTCAGTCTCTTGGTGATGACATTAAACATCAAAATGTTTGGAATTCGTTGTCATAATAATACAGATGGAAATGTTTTTCAGTCACTTTATAAAACAACTGAATATTTAGACGTTTAATAAATGTGTTACACATTTGACAGTAAAAAAATATACACACTATAAAAAAGCATATGCTCAGGTGAAATATATACTTTGTGTTGCAAGTCAAAATAGTGTAAACAAAAATCGCAAAATTACCAAGCAAGTGACTTATCAAAATTTCGTCACCATTACCGATGCTACTCACAAAGATACCTACATTTCTTTATTATCTCGAAAACTGTATTTCATTTTGTTGATCAATGTGACCATACGCCCTTATTACTACCCATAAAAGTGACTAATGCGCTTACGAATGGCGCAGCAGAGGTCGCGAACTAGTCTAGATTTCTGCTATACATCCGGGTACTCACTGGGAAAAAACAATAACAAAGGCAACAACCAGTCCCGGGGAATTGCGTTAGATCAGTGCCCCTTTAAGATTCTACAGCTGATTATCATATCAGTTTCGAGATTTTCATGAATTCCACGAAAATATTGCTGATTGGTGTGAGTTTCTGTTGGATTGTCGCTCAATCAAATAGGGAGAATACTTGAATATATTTGGTTGTTAACATAACAAGGTGCCCATAGATCCAATTACAGATTTGTCTCTGATGTGACAATGTATAGATCTCTTTTCGAGTGAGTTAACATTAACATCACATCGGCAATATTTCAGCCTTATCTTGATTAGAGAAGGTACTACATTAAAATAGATATGCTTAGATTGTATGAAAACCTGTCGTCGAAGGACAGTGAAATCACTGGACTTATCACAGATTTTATTTAAAACTAGTATAGAACCATAAATATGTATCACCATACATAACAATACATGATAAAAAACAAGCTATAGATTGCCAGCCACTGAAGTAGATCACAATACTAGGGACCATGGGGACTTACTGTAATACAGTAGCTTTGCTACCTGCATGGACCCCAGAAGAATTTACACCTTCCCTTCAGTCGCTGGCGATTGTACGTAATTTTAAGCCAGATATATTTATGAAGTCGGCATCCTCTATATCTCTAGGGCTCGCATTTCGGTACACCTACATAAATGCCTGGATCCAAATGAGAGGTTTTCCCAGTCTTAAATTACCTGCCCGACTGCCCTTGAATTTCAATAACATTTTACCAACCAGTCAAACATCGAGACGAGGAAAAATAAAATGGGTAAGGGGGGTAATTGGTGTTCCCTAAAAGCAAAGCCACTGCCATCATAAGATTTTTTAGGGAATTTGTTTGCGTGTCAGTCAGTTTTTCAATGTTGAATTTCTTGCAAACTCTATTATAATCAATGGGACTGGCCGTGGTATCGTTGATATCGTCAACCTCACATTAAGGCTTGTTTGTAACTCACTTTCTGATTGGTGCATTAGACTTATTAGGGTTAGTGTAGTTTTACCAAAATGAGGGCCCTGGAGATGCAAAGTAGGGGGCAAGAATGTAGTTAATCATTTGTCAAATTGGACGTGTCCGATATATTTGTCATAAAAATGTCATATGATGTGAGACATACTAGTTTGGGGATGTGCTAGAACATCAAGAAGTAATGTATGATTATGTAAATTATATCTACTATCTTGAGACGTTTGGATGGACTGTGTTCCTATCGAAACCATGTGAACAGCACATGCTTCACACTGTTTACATAACATTCCATATTGATGACGTAATAGGTAGTCTCCTTTATCCATACTACCCATCTTTCAATCTGAAGTCTGGATTATTGAATGAAGAAGTAACATTTAAACACTACAAATATATATAATCTGGGCCCTAATACGTATTGCGATATCGCAATACAGCTCTCCGGACTGGGATATGTTGCAATAGGATTTATGTGCCAATACGCCAACCCTAATACTGGTATATATCACTGACACTGATGACAGGTTTATTCAGAAAAATAGAACGAGAGAATAGAGGTCCATGAACATGTTCAAGTCAGGGGAAGCCGCTACACGTGCTAAAATGTTTTACACTGGGACCTCTCAGTTTTATCCCAGTCTGTACCTACTGTTAGCTCAGAATCAGGAAGACGTTATTCAGCTGTGTGATGCCTTCTTCATTGTTTTCAGGAAACTAATGTTTCAACATTTATCCGAGAAGCCATAAAAAAAGACAAATTGCGGAAAGAGTACAAAAGCCACACCCAAAGCCATGACAGCTGGACAGTGCGGCAGCGAAACCACCGGAGACAGCAGTCCACATCCAACAGGTACAAGGTGGTGTCCAGTTTGAGATCCCCTCAGCTGGACAGGCTGGATTTGGTTGAGACTGGGGAAACAGGGGGGAGCAACCAACAGAGGGAACAGCCAAGTGAGAGTACTGAGAACAGGGTTACCTCCCCTAGTACAAGTCAAGCCAGTAATGGTGTTTTGACAGACAATGGTGTGAATGTTCCAGAGAAGATGTTCTGTTTATTTGATGTGGAAGAGGAAGCAGTGAATCACATCAGGGTAAGTAGCCTGTCATGACATTTATTATTCCCAACCATGAAGTGGAAGGGGGATATAGCAATGGATGCTGTCAGTCCATCCTTCCGTTTTTCCGTTTTCCGTCACGTTTCGTTTCCGGAGCAGAACTGAAAAACCATGAGAGAACAGAACATGGTACATACAGGTCTAGTGGTGAACTTGTGCCTTTTGATAATTTGTGATTTTTGAATTATTTTTGGACTTTCCAGAGTAACTTAGACTTGACTGAAAATGGCAATAGTGCTCCTTTCTGGAGCAGATCTTGAAAACCATCCAATATTTCTTGCCTTCCACACAACCGGACATAGTCACAACCGGGATATGAGTATTTCATGCTTGTTTTCCTGTGTTGTCAACTCTGTGACATGTTACCGCTACCTGGAGATTCCTTGTCATGGACATGGCTACAATATGTTCGTGGTGCCTCAACAGCCCATTTGTAGTCAACTAAGACTTGTTGTATCCTATGATCACATGAAAACCTGTACAGGAAATGTATGGAGAAGTTATCACAGTGCCTTGGACCAATGTTGATGACAAGCCTGAATCTTCTGTTGGGCTGGTGTTCGAGCACACACTGTATTTGGCGTTTATTTGATTTATATTTAAAAGATATTTAAAAGAAAACACATTTGTTTATTTGAACCCCCCAAACTAGAGCAAGCCCAAGTTAATGTTCATCAGGTCTGGTCTATGTTGTGATTACTGTTGGTCAGTAATAACTTGAGTGACAGTTTGGGATGTTTCCTAGTTAATATTTGCAATGGAGACCACACTTGATGATTAGAGTTTGGAACAGTACCAGCACATACATTGAAGACTGTTGCCATCGCATTGCTCGGATATTGTTACACTCAATGCATTCGAGCTAGTCCCGAGCTGAGCTGATTAAATCCGATCTTAAACTCCAGTACAACACCTCTCTTCATGAAGATCTGACAATGATAGAGGTCGCATCAGATGAACCCCGAGTGAACCGACTAAATGAAGGATCTGTGAGTTCTAAAACAATCTGGCTTCATTTCTTTCCCACCTCAATTCAGTAATTTTGATCTTTAACAAAACATCTAGTACCCCATTCTAGGTGTAGATGCTATGGTGCCCAAAATAGAAAAATCAGATATACCGCTCTGAATGCTTCGTTCACTAATACTGGGAATTGCCAAGCCTTTTCGTTGATTGGTATAAGAGTAATTGCGTCAACCACCTGTTAAGGGTTCGTGAGGTTCGTGTATCAGAGTGAAAGATGCGACCAGAGCAGTGACCAAAATAATTTTAAAACCCAACAAGACAGTTGGGCAGGTGACCCATAAATGTTGCCTGTCCATCTTCAAAGTTACCTGCCTGCATTCGTACAATATTAATAATGAAAAATCACAAAAAATTAGAGACAAATCACATCATGATTCAGTTGAATTAGTGCAAACAATTACTTGAGAATCTACAAGGAGTTATTTAGTCTGTCTTACAGACCCTGATACAAATATATATCAAATACAGCCCATGCAAGTCTATAATGTTTGGCAAGTCTAGATCACTGCAGTATCTTCTGAAAATGAAGAGAGTCACTGGGCTCCTTTTTATTATATTTTTATTAAGATAACTAAACAACTGTTTTTTTATGTACGATATGTTCATTTCAGAGACTAGATTTTAGTCTAGGAGTTATTATAAAACTGAATATGTATGTAGTCTTAAAATTATCTGACAGTCGTACATGAGGACGAAAATTTCATGCAACCCGACAGAAAATTTACCAGCCACAGGCAGGCAGGCTGACAGTTATTTCGGACACTGGTCTTTAGTGAGAATGAAATGAAGTGAGATGTTATGAATGTCATTGACTGTTTTCAGAATGCATCTGCCAGCACAGCACCTGCCCCCTCGTCTATGTACAGCAACATCACCTGCAACTCTGTGCCCATGATCCGCGAGGCTGTCGCCAGGCCCAGTGAGAGTGAGTATGTGTACGACCTGTACTACACAAACAGCCAACAGTTCGACTTCCGACAGTTGCAGGACTTTCTCACCATCCAGGCATTTGGGGATGAACTCGTGTTTGCGGACAGTCGTGCAGATGAAGAAGAGTTTGTTGAGGTGTACGATGATGAGGACGACAGTAATGATGAGGGGAACTGGAGGAATGATTACCCCGAGGAAGACCCTCACTTCATCGAGAACCATGAGCAGGAGTACAGCTATGGAGATGGTAGGAATCTTGTCATGTTTCCACCCCAACCTGCAGACCTCCGAGTTGTCCCCCCCCTGCAGACCCCCGAAATGTTCTCTCTCTCTCTCTCTCTCTCTCTCTCTCTCTCTCTCTCTCTCTCTCTCTCCCCCCCCCCCCCCCCCCACACACACACACACACACACACACACACCCTCTCTGCAGACCCCCGAGTTGCCCCCAAGGGAACCATGAAATCTTTATATTATTATTATTTGGTTACTTGTGAAAGCCCCCAAGGGAACCATGCAATCTTTATATTATTATTATTTGGTTACTTGTGAAAACAAGCTGAAAATACTTTAAAATGGTTAACACCTTCGCATATTCTATCATGAGGTGCAATCATGACTGAAAGTAGGCCGTCAGTATGTCTTAGCTTACCGGAAACTAGAAACATACCGCAATAGAAAAAGTTTTTTAAATCGTGTCCCAGTTTAGCATACATCACAAGTTGTATTCCACAGCTAGGCTTTAAACATGCAAACCAACAGTAACAGCTAGGAGGTAAACAAGCATACCTACACTAACAGCTAGGTCATAAACACTGATACAAACACTGACAGCATGGCCGTAAACACTCATACCAACACTGACAGCTAGGCTGTAAACACTGATACCAACACTGACAGCATGGCCGTAAACACTGATACCAACACTGACAGCTAGGCTGTAAACACTCATACCAACACTGACAGCATGGCCGTAAACACTCATACCAACACTGACAGCTAGGCTGTAAACACTGATACCAACACTGACAGCTAGGCTGTAAACACTGATACCAACACTGACAGCTAGGCCGTAAACACTCATACCAACACTGACAGCTAGGCTGTAAACACTGATACCAACACTGACAGCTAGGCCGTAAACACGGATATGAACACTGACAGCATGGCCGTAAACATGGATGTGAACACTGACAGCTAGGCTGTAAACACTCATACCAACACTGACAGCTAGGCCGTAAACACGGATATGAACACTGACAGCTAGGCTGTAAACACCCATACCAACACTGACAGCTAGGCTGTAAACACGGATATGAACACTGACAGCTAGGTCGTAAACACTGATACAAACACTGACAGCATGGCCGTAAACACTCATACCAACACTGACAGCTAGGCTGTAAACACTGATACAAACATTGACAGCATGGCGGTAAACACTCATACCAACACTGACAGCATGGCCGTAAACACTGATACAAACACTGACAGCTAGGCCGTAAACACTCATACCAACATTGACAGCATGGCCGTAAACACTGATACAAACACTGACAGCATGGCCGTAAACACTCATACCAACACTGACAGCATGGCCGTAAACACTCATACCAACACTGACAGCTAGGCCGTAAACACTCATACCAACACTGACAGCATGGCCGTAAACACTGATACAAACACTGACGGCATGGCGGTAAACACTCATACCAACACTGACAGCATGGCCGTAAACATGGATGTGAACACAGACAGCTAGGCCGTAAACACTGTTACAAACACTGACAGCATGGCTGTAAACACTCATACCAACACTGACAGCATGGCCGTAAACATGGATGTGAACACAGACAGCTAGGCCGTAAACACTCATACCAACACTGACAGCTAGGCCGTAAACACTCATACCAACACAAGACACATGGTTGAAATTATAGTCTCGATTCTCAAATTGTATCTGTAGGATGCAATATTAGGGCAGGGTTTTATGCGACGTAACATGTGCATCCAGTACGCACAAAGGTATAGAATGGATGCAGAATATAATATCCAGAGATAGTCTCCAGGGACCTACAATAATATCCATTGTACCAAAATCTTGACAAGAAATTTAAAGTTCTTGTAATTAAAGTAATTATTTAAACTTAAAGTACAGTACTCTACACCATTTCTTTAATATTTCCTGTAAGGACCCTTGAAGTTAGTAACTGGACACCTAGTTTTGTAGTTCAAGGTAAAACCCTGTGAGGGTCTGGTAAAAAACGTGGGTTTGAATACCAGTTTGTGCTGACTGTGATGCTAGGTGTGGCCTACTGATGCTGTAGGGTCCATCAGCAGATGACCTCTGATTGTGATGCTAGGTGTGTCCTACTTATGATGTAGGGTCCATCAGTAGATGACCTCTGACTGTGATGCTAGGTGTGTCCGACTGATGCTGTAGGGTCCATCAGCAGATGACCTCTGATTGTGATGCTAGGTGTGTCCTACTGATGCTGTAGGGTCCATCAGTAGATGACCTCTGACTGTGAGGCTAGGTGTGTCCGACTGATGCTGTAGGGTCCATCAGCAGATGACCTCTGATTGTGATGCTAGGTGTGTCCTACTGATGCTGTAGGGTCCATCAGTAGATGACCTCTGACTGTGATGCTAGGTGTGTCCTACTCATGCTAGGTGTGTCCTACTGATGCTAGGTGTGTCCGACTGATGCTAGGTGTGCCTACTGATGCTAGGTGTGGCCTACTGATGCTGTAGGGTCCATCAGTAGATGACCTCTGACTGTGATGCTAGGTGTGTCCTACTCATGCTAGGTGTGTCCTACTGATGCTAGGTGTGGCCTTATGATGCTAAGTGTGGCCTACTCATGCTAGGTGTGTCCTACTCATGCTAGGTGTGTCCTACTGATGCTAGGTGTGTCCTACTGATGCTAGGTGTGGCCTTATGATGCTAGGTGTGTCCAACTGATGCTAGGTGTGCCTACTGATGCTAGGTGTGTCCTACTGATGCTAGGTGTGTCCTACTCATGCTAGGTGTGTCCTACTGATGCTAGGTGTGGCCTTATGATGCTTGGTGTGTCCAACTGATGCTAGGTGTGCCTACTGATGCTAGGTGTGTCCTACTGATGCTAGGTGTGTCCTACTGATGCTGTAGGGTCCACCAGTAGATGACCTGTGTCGGGCTCCAACATTAAGTTACCTGAATTCCTTTTCCAGATGATGTCGGTCACCATAGATACGACACCGGCGACCCACTGGCATCCTTCATGGCAGCTAGCTGTAATATTCGTAAGTGTTCAGTAGCAGAGTGCTGGATGCCATGCTCATTATTATAGTTGAGCAGCATCACTTTAATGATATTATTATCTATTAAGCCAAATTGTGTAAACGTCTGTACATTATTTTGGGGGCAAAGTTTTATGAATAGGACTTGCGGAATAACAAATATACAGTCATGTCAATATTTACCAACGTCATTTTTATTCAAATAACAAGCAAAACAGAAGAATGTCAGCTAGTCAACCATACATGTTTCCAGTCAACAGTCAGGGGATTCAACTACAGTAAACTACAGTAAGAACGAACCCAAGTTTAGTTTGTTATAACCGTAGTTCGTTATAAGCATATATACACCATATGGCCAGGACCAAAAGACTGTTTGTTATGAGCGTGTTCGTTATAAACATAGTGTACTGTAATAATGGACGTTTGGTTTCAGCCCTGCTGTGGTATTCCTGTACATTGCTATGAGCGGCACATTTGTCACTGAAACATGTCTGTATTTCTGCAGGTACCGGTGAGGCACCAAGGGACGATGTCTTGGAGTATGACGTCCTGTCAGGTCCACAGAGATCCTACAAGTCATACTACCGGTCCATGCTGCAGGACCTTGGGGAGGATATGGTGGGCGATGGTGATGACGAAGATGAAGATGACAACTATGATGTCAGATGAATTGTTGCCAGCATAAAACCCCAAGTGCAATGAATTGTCTTCAGTCCTCAGTGAGAAGACATGCAGTAGTCTTTATTTCAACAGGGAAATCACAGTTATTGTGTTCAAACACCAACTTGCTGAAAGAATATTCATTTGTACAGTAAAATGAATAAGCCTCATGTATTATTTTGGATGCAACATGGTAGTCCGCGAGACTAGTTTTATGACAAACCACCTGTAAGTTGCCTGTAGTCTGATCCTGCCTGACCACACTTACTTGTTCTGTAGATGAGGAAGACTGAAAAGTTCCAAGTTGTGTGAACACGTGTTTCAAGCCACTCATGGATCCTCTGAAATTTGATTTCTGTTTGAAATAACGTAACCAAATGACTGTACATGGATGTGGCAGGAAGCATTTGAATCAAGACGATCCAGGAACGGTGAAGCGTGTATGGAGGCCGTGTATGGTATGTGACATTGTGTTGATGATTGTAAGGGAGGTCGTGTTACGGGAATCTGGCCTGAATCTCGGGAATACAGAGGACGGGAATCGTGCCACACTGTCCTGCCCAGAGCCTGGTAATCACGACACTGTGTCGCTTTCTATGAGGTTAGAATCTCTTTGCCTGGGTCACAGAGGTCCTGTCATCCAAGGTGCTGCAGTTCACTGCACAGAGTTGCTTCCCTTAACAGTGCCAGGATCTGCTGGTTGTGGGTTTAATAATTGATTTGTCATGATAATGATCATTGATCTGTCAATATGATGCCCTGCTCCTTGCTTTCACGGAAGTTGTAAGTGTGGATAATTTGTGTCACTCTGACTTCTCACGCATTAAGCTGAGAAGCTGAAACATCACTGAAATACAGCTTGGAGTGGACTCAAATCAAATTCATTCATTCTTTCAGTGTATAAAAAACAGGGGCCTTGGACAGTAATATTATTGCCATGTTCAAACAGAGACGAGGCTTTGGAAATATTGTATTGTGAGCAAGTTTTAATGAGATTGTTCAATGAACACAACACTTGTCAAGTATTAGGATGCGGGTGACAACAATCTGATACACTAACTTCTGTGTGATGTCTCCACAGCACCTGAACGTGGAGCGTCGTTTAGAATTGTTCTGTGTGATGTCTCCACAGCACCTAAACGTGGAGCGTCGTTTAGAATTGTTCTGTGTGACGTCTCCACAGCACCTAAACGTGGAGCGTCGTTTAGAATTGTTCTGTGTGACGTCTCCACAGCACCTGAATGTGGAGTGTCGTTTAGAATTGTTCTGTGTGACGTCTCCACAGCACCTGAACGTGGAGCGTCGTTTAGAATTGTTCTTGTGGATGTATGTAGTTGTTCAATCACCTTAAGCCAGATGAGGAACCGTGTGTAGGACATCTCACCTTGACCTTGGATTCAAATAGTCGTCCTTTATGAACTCAGTCCGTGATTGTCGTTGTCTTATTCATGCTAACATGCCAAGTCTTGAAAGTTGCTTTTTACAAGAATAGGAAAAAATATGCTGTAACAACTGATGAAGGCGGGCCTCTGATGAGAGGTCATTCGGAGGTCAGCATGGGCGTCGTTAGCATGAGACTTGATTCCTGGTGTCCGATGTGGAGTATATGTACAGTTAACACCCTGAAGAGACTCGGTTCCTGGTGTCCGATGTGGAGTATATGTACAGTTAACACCCTGAAGAGACTCGGTTCCTGGTGTCCGATGTGGAGTATATGTACAGTTAACACCCTGAAGAGACTCGGTTCCTGGTGTCCGATGTGGAGTATATGTACAGGTAACACCCTGAAGAGACTCGGTTCCTGGTGTCCGATGTGGAGTATATGTACAGTTAACACCCTGAAGAGACTCGGTTCCTGGTGTCCGATGTGGAGTATATGTACAGTTAACACCCTGAAGAGACTCGGTTCCTGGTGTCCGATTTGGAGTATATGTACAGTTAACACCCTGTAGGGCTCGGTGCCTGGTGTCCAATGTGGAGTATATGTACAGTTAACACCCTGAAGAGACTCGGTTCCTGGTGTCCGATGTGGAGTATATGTACAGTTAACACCCTGAAGAGACTCGGTTCCTGGTGTCCGATGTGGAGTATATGTTTTTGGTCTTCAGTGTGTGATATATGAACAGTTGACACCTTGCGCAATGAACAGATACACAGGGTACAAAAACTAAAACATCATTTTGAAAGTTGTCTGAAGGTACCGCCAGTTCTGACATTTCTATGGTCATGATTGCTTCAGATTTATAGAAGCTGCCAGATGTCATGTTGTGACTTTCATCAAGAAAGCTGATCTTATGCATTAAGTAAACTGTCATAACAGATGTGTGGTAGGAAGATCGTGTTTATTCTTTTGTTTAACTATTTCTTGCTGCGAATCATAGCTGAAAGATTGCTGCAGTGGTATTAACTGACTGTTCAGGAGCAATAACCAATGTATACATGCTGAGAGAACATTTTGATATCTTTTTATTATATATTTCAGTATGCAAATAAAAGCTTCATATAGTATGAACATGTTGTATTGTTGCACACATTGCTAGACACCAGGAATCCCCCTCACAAAGTTGGTACAGGGATTTAGACTCATTTAGTACAATTGTTATGTTTTGAACCCAGGGGAATTCCAGGTAGGAAGATATGTTATACTACTTGGATGGTCATTACCTTTTCTGGAGTAGTATAGGTCCCGAGGACCCTGTGCTTGTCGTAAAGTGCAACTCAATACATCAGGCAGCCAGTCTTGGGGACTTGGTTCATGCATGTCATCCTATCCAAAAAGTGGTTATGATTTCAATCACTGGATTGTCTGGTCGAGGCTTGAGTATTTACAGACCGCTGTCATAAGGCAGCCTTTGTTACACTTCAAAGGAAAACTAGACAGATATAGATCACAGGAGAGACAAACCAGTCACTCACCTGCACCTTGTACCAGTGTCCTCCGACCCAGATACTGGACAACCACTATAACCACAAGATCAACCCAACTAAACTCACCGCCAAAAGATACGCAAACTATAGAAACAAAGCGAGAAGTATGTTAGTATAGAAGAGATATTCCAATGTGTACCATTTAAGGACAAAACTAACTATCAGTCAAGTGTTACCACAGAGTGTGTTTATTCTTATCACGACATGCTGCACATGATTTCCCAACTTTACACGCTAATCCTGCATGAGGCAAATGATGCATCTCCGGTCATGGATCTATGATGTCACATGTGATCGAGCATTGGTTCACACAATGGTGTTAACGACCAGTATGTTCGTTAGTGCATCAAACCAACCTAATATCCCTTGAATAGGAGTAATTCTTCATATATCAACCAACATGCTTGGTATTTGCATTACATGTACTTTTGTTGGTGAGTATAGTTTGGATAGTTTAGATGATGGATCAAGCCTCTTCGCTGGCCTGACTCGAAGTCAAGTGAGCTTGTTCCATGGCATTTGTCTGCCATCTGCTGTAAACATCTCAGAAACCCCAGAACAAGGAGGCTGAAAACTGCACATACTTCTTCCCACCATTGATGACACCCCAATTTGTAGGAGAGGTTTAAATGGTCGTCATAGCGACATTTTTTTAGAAACCTTTTCGGCTATTGCTCGGACATCTTTGTGAAGAATGTAATGAAATTTGGTCTAGGTGTAGTTAGTAGAGGGACTTAACATATATGTTCCATTTTTCACGATATTTCAAGTTTGATCTTTATTTGACCTTTGCACTCTTTCCACACTCCTAAATTCTCTGAAACTGCATTTCCTCCCTGTGTAGAAATCTCAGAAACAACTGGACCTATGTAGATGAAACTTATGACCCGTTTTATCACAATATAGATCTTGATTATAGAGCAGATCGTCCTGACTTGGCGCCACCATTTTGTTTGAAGCAAATGCAAGTGATACGAGAGGTGGAATCTGATTGGTCCATAGGAGAGGCTTAGCACATAACTGGTAATAGCCACTGGTGGCGCTACGATCGAGCCCAGGAAATCCAGCCTAGTTCGGCAAGGGTGGAAACTGGACAAGTCAATTAACTCTCTTGCCTCACGAAGATGGATAGTTGCAGGATTTAAGTTCCATTTTGTTCAATATTATATATTTTGACTTTGTGCAGATGTCTCATAGTCCTAAATTCCCCCAAAATGCATATTTGCCTCACTAAACTTCTCCTGGCTCTCTCCCAGGCCGTGTCATGCCAAAAGACGTTAAAAGATGGTACTTGTTGTTACCCTGTCCGGCCGCGTCATGCCAAAAGACGTTAAAAGATGGTACTTATTGTTACCCTGTCCGGTCGCATCATGCCTAAAGACGTTAAAAGATGGTACTGGTTGTTACCCTGTCTGGCGCTCGGCATTGAGTGGCTAAAACAAGGACTGGTCGGCTCGGAGTCAGTATACTGTGTCTGAGTATGGTATTCATGTTAAACTGCTGCATGGTATCTCAGTGAGCTAGCACTATAAATTGGCATCAGTCCGGACTAGTACAAGCAGCCACACAAACACACACACGTGCATGCACGTCGCTAAATAAGTGCAATTATCTTGGACGCGGTGTTAAACCCCATTTCACCTCACCTCACCGCTCCTGGCTCTCTGCATAAAGGGGATAAAACAAGGCCTGGTCAGACTCGAGCCAGTATACTGTGTCTGAGTGGGATATCCATGCTGAATTGTGGCATGGTAACTCAGTATGCTAGCACTATAACATCGGCATGAGTTTGGAGTAACTTCGGACTAGTACTAGCAGGCATATACAAACATCACCAGTGCAGTACTTGGCGACATTAGTCCCCATTTTATCTCCCCGCTATGTTCAACTGATCAAGTTTCAGTGTTAATACCTTTGAATGTGTCTAGTTTTCAGTCAGGAGAGTCAGTCAAGTTCCAGTGGATGCAAGTTGGGTGTTCTGACTAAAGCCCCCATTTCACTACGACCACGAATATCTCGAATCAACCTGAATAGGAATTTTTTTATGTTCGTAGATAGATCTCAATCATTTCTTGAAGTTCTTAAATGAATCTTATTTGATTCCCAAACATTCGTACTGTACATGGGAGTTTGTTGAATCGGCGAGAAAGTTTTTGTTTGTCAAAAACTTTGTGGAAGGGTCCCCGAATTGCAATTTTTGTGTGTATATTGACACACAAGGTAAGCATATCATAATCAAGTATCATGGTGTATATTGACAGACGAGGTAAGCATATCGTAATCTAGTATCATGGTGGATATTGACACACGAGGTAAGCATGTTGTAATCAAGTATCACAGTGTATATTGACACACAAGGTAAGCATATCGTAATCAAGTATCGAGGTGTATATTGACACACAAGTCAGCATATCGTAATCAAGTATCATGGTATATATTGACACATGAGGTAAGCATATCGTAATCAAGTGTCACGGTGTGGCTGTATCGTAATCCATAATTAATTCTTATGTTCGGTAACAGCTTCATAATCAATTCATTTGCATTCTTGGCTATTCTTAGCAATTCGTGGCTCCTTAAATTTCTTGTCCTCAACCCGAAAACATCCTGAAACAGCCACAAATGTCCCTAGTCAACTACGAATCGTAAGAATTAAGTAAGAACAACACGATTCCCAAAGGACCAAGCCCAGAGCAACATGCTCTCTGTTGAACCTCCATGGTGGAAATGATGGGTTGGCCAGCCTTTCAGGACCCTAGAAATGCTATTCATAAATATGTTGTATTAGTTGTATCTTATTCATTGCGATGGTCCTGCATTCGAACATGCATTCGGCATATTCGTAACTTAGTCGTAGGTGATTCTTACAATTTGTGCATGATCCGTACATGAATCTTGTAATTCGTACATGTTTCTTTACCCATTCCTGGCATTCTTCATATTTTTCAACCCGATTAGCCACAAGTCTTCGTAACTCCATCGTACGTTTGTCGTAACTGCTTCGTACCTCCTACCCATTCTCCACAAAAGTTTGCATTATTGGCCGAATCATCACAAATTCGAAAGTTTCCGATTCAGGGTGATTTGGGATATCCGGGTCGTAGTGAAAGGCGGGCATAATAGTGTGTAATTCAATGCAAGTCGGAGTGAGTAAAGTTTTATTCATGTTTTTCCCTTTACGGCATTGAATTGTATTTGATAATATCAGCTGGTGAGTTGTCCTGGTGTCTCTTTGCAATCAGTCATATTATAATTCAATCTTAATTTAGGGATGGAGCGGAATCAAATTTGGCAATGTAATTATACCATACTATACTTTTTGAGGAGCTGAATGAACACCTTGCTTTGAGGGTTCCAATCATGCCATCCTTCTCCTAAATCCCAAATACCATGTAATTTTTCACTCTAAGTCTCCTTGCTCACCCCTGAATTCTAAATACTTCTTACCACAAATCCCAAAAGCATTGAGAAAAGGGTGCAATTTAAAGTTAAATTACTAAAAGAATAGCGAAAAAATATAAAGAAAATCTTCACGTACACCATTAAACATGATACATGTTCTAAATGTTGAATCACACCAAATATGATTTTATTTGCGTCCTGCCTACAAAATGCTGAGTCCCGAATACCCTCTAAATAGACCCCAAATCCCGCATACAACAAGGGCATTAGCAGCCTCATGACTGCCCACACATAGCTCCATGTGGTAGGTTGATAGTTGTGATGGGGCGGGCCGTGGTCCGGGGGTTGCTCTTGAACACAAGGAGGACGCAGGAGTCAAGGACAAAAATACCTGAAAGCAGAAAAAGGCAGTATCATACCATTGCCACGCCATGTACAGTACCATGCTTTCATGTTAGGCACACACAGTGTAGGCCCTTAGTCTTGCCTCAGACAGGGTACCATCCCAGTCTAGGTTGGTGAGGATGATGTTGGGCACACACAGTGTAGGGACTTAGTCTTGCCTCAGACAGGGTCCCATCCCAGAGTCTAGGTTTGTGAGGACGATGTTGGGCACACACAGTGTAGGGCCTTAGTCTTGCTTTAGAGACAGGGTCCCATCCCAGAGTCTAGGTTGGTGAGGATGATGTTGGGCACACACAGTGTAGGGCCTTAGCCTTGCTTCAGACAGGGTCCCATCCCAGAGTCTAGGTTGGTGAGGACGATGTTGGGCACACACAGTGTAGGGCCTTAGTCTTGCTTTAGAGACAGGGTCCCATCCCAGGGTCTAGGTTGGTGAGGATGAGACATATCCTCATGTGTTTCCCCTATGGCTGAATGTCTAGGACCAGTATCTGTGGGGGATTTCCTCTCATAATTCATCGATGCATCACAATGTTATTCTGACGATACAATATAATTCATGATGCATCTTCCCATGTATTGATGGATTCTGCATCAATTTTCAAAAAGTAATACATTCAGCAATAAATACTACTACTAATGTCTACTTGAACTCACATTACCACGTATAAGGCGGACGACTGCAATAAGACTATGAGACCTAGCCAATTCAAGTATCAGCTATGTGTTGACACGGGAGGTAAGCAAATCCTAATCAAGTATCATAAGGTGTATCGATACATGTCTGGGATTTCTCTGGACCTGATTAGAGGCTGATATTCGGCCCCAAGTCTTTAGCAAATGACAGAAAATTCCTAATTTGAATTAATAACTTTCCCAATTTCTCAGAATTTACAAAAATAAAGTAATGAAAATAATCAAACTTGAAAAAATATAACGATTTTGTCCCAATTCACTTGCCAATAGCAAATAATTTGGAATCCTTTTATAAATCCCTGCAAGCAGTCAGCATATCGTAATCAAGTATCACGGTGTATATTGCCACATGAGGTAAGCAAATCGTAATCAAGCATGACAGTATGTATCGATCCACGAGGTGGACGTGGCGTGACCTTCATGCAGTATGTATCGATTCACGAGGTGGACGTGGCGTGACCTTCACGCAGTATGTATCGATTCACGAGGTGGAAGTGGCGTGACCTTCACGCAGTATGTAACACACGTGTGTCCCTTGTATCAGACTTGCGTTGGTGTGGGAAGTAAGACACACACAAGTACCTGTGGCAATGGTGGCTTCTTCGTCTGAGGGCCGGGGAGTGCGGTAGATGGGATACTGACTGTCACCTTGATCTCCCAGAATCACTGTCACACCCACAACATCAGCTGGTGGTGGCAGCTGATTGGCTCGTGCCTTCCTGTGCTCTGAGCTGACAATATCCTTCGCTATCTGCGTGATGTTCGTGTGTTCATACCTGAATATAGGGAAGTGAAGTCAACTCAGAAAGTGTTCGCATTGCCTGCACATACATAGCCACAAGGCTCTGTACAAGATCTTCCGGGAACATTTGCGTTAGATTAAATATTGCCAAGTAATGACCAACTAACATTTTCAATATAGCTGCCATGGCGACCATGTTTTATATTGAATCAGAATTCTCTGAGCATTGCTTGCAACATATAATATACACTAAATTTCATCTTCAATGTCTCTTAGTTATGTCAAAAATGCAGTAAAACTAGATAATTTGTATGTTATTAAGACACATTATATAGTAGTCAGGAAACCATATTATTAATGCACATCATATTTCATAATAATACATGCAGAGAGGGCTGAGGATTGAGGGAAAATTATATTTAAGAAAATATTGATCCGAATTCTAGGAGTACAAGTATGTATTCATCCTTGCAGTTTCAGCTTCTTTAAACATGGTTGCAGAGGTTGGTAAATTCATGTAATGACACAATATGCCCTAAGCTTGGATACTTCAGAACATAAACTTGGAAACAAGAACCAAACCCATTAATATGCATCACGCCATGCTATCCTCTGAAGTCACTCATACAGACATACGACCGCCTCCGTGGTCTAGTGGTAGAGCGTCCGCCCGGAGTTTGATCCCCGGTCGCGTCATACCAAAAGACGTTAAAAGATGGTACTTGTTGTTACCCTGTCTGGCGCTCGTCATTAAGGGGCTAAAAAAGGACTGGTCAGCTCGGAGCCAGTATACTGTGTCTGAGTGGGGTATTCATGTTAAGCTCCGGCATGGTATCTCAGTGGGCTAGCACTATAAATCGGCATCAGTCCGGACTAGTACAAGCAGCCACACATACACACACACACGTGCATGCACGTCGCTATATAAGTGCAATAATCTTGGACGTGACGTTAAACCCAATTTCACCTCACCTCAACTCATACAGACATACAGTACTGATAAACCCTCCACCTCTATGTAGGACACCCTGCACCCCCTAAATGGATGGAGCCCCCATATAATCCATGCCAGGATCCCCGACAATCGCTGCAAGGTCACACTCACATGTTGAAGTGATAATAGTGTCCTGTTGTATCCACTCCCTGGCCTGACTGCCTGGCAACTGTTGCCTTGGTTACAAGATTCTGAGAAACTCCCTTCATCGGTGAGACCTCATAGTTTGTGAGAATACCGGAGCTGTTTCTGATGTCTGCATAGTTCACACTGAAAACAAATATATATGATGATTCCAAGTTAGCCTCCCTCACAGAACACTATACACCACACAAACATCAACAGCTTGCTTTGCATGACAGATGCCGGAGTTATCTCCACCTACTTGAAGCCATACGCCACCCCGACACCGAGTCCATGCAGTAGGTGTTCCAGGTCTCCTTGTGACTTCACACCCAACAGAGCTCTGTTCATGAAGTATCGAGCTGAAACAAAGCATATATTACAACTTGCGTCATGTGCTTCAAAGCATTACAAACTTTATTCTAAAATACAAGAAATGTACGTAATTTGTCTTAAGAATAAAACATGGAAAACAATTCATACAAAGTGCTTCATTTCCACAAAACAATCCTTACTTCACTACCCAATATTCATGTACGACTGGCACCAGGCACCAGGTATCCGGTGTTGGGTGTATTAACAATCATGTTAACAAAACTTATGGTATTTCATACTCAAACAATGAAAGCAGAAAATAACCAATCGAATCGCATGACAAGATGTCTGCCATGGTTGTGTTCAAGGATATTTGTGCATCTCGTGCTACCGCGTTCCCACGGTGTTCCACAGTGTTCTAGTTGGCGATTGACTGTGCTCTCACTGTGCTTATGGCGTGCTAGGTGTTGTCACTGCGTGTCCACGGCGCGTACACTGCGTTGACAGTGTGCCCAAAAGGTTTGTATTGCGAGCGCGAGGTGTATACAAACACCATCAGTTGCTATCAGGCATGAGCCGATGATAGTGACCATACTGCAACCTCCTGCCGACGTCCAGCCACTGCCGTACCCAGGGCCTCCTACGCCTTGGGGCCCTCCTAGTCTCCGTCCCTGGAGTGAGTGAGTGAGTATGGCTTTACGCCACTTTTAGCAATTTTCCAGCAATATCACGGTGGAGGACACTGGAAATGGGCTTCACACATTGTACCCATGTCGGGAATCGAACTGGGTCTTCAGCGTGACAAGCGAACACTTTTACCACCAGCATCATCCTGGACCTGCTGTACATGCATATAGGCAAGGGGTAGCCCGGCTTGCTGGCGTACAACAGTCATGGTGAAATGAAGGTGACAAAGATGAGAATGCATTTATACCATTTTTATGGGGTTGGCTCATAACGCACTGGCAATGCCCTACAAACGTCATGCTAATGCTGATGGTCACGGTAGAAGCGCCGTTGGAGCGCAATGATCACCTTGGCAGCTCTGTGTAGTCGCTGCAAGAGCGCACTAAAATAAATAACACTCCGTGTAAGCGCTGTAGACGCGCCATAAGGACGCTGTAGAGAGGTCTCCGTGCAAGTGCCGCTGACAACCATTGCGGCCATACTACATTCATGTGCATCCTTGATGCGCGCCCACAGAGCTCCTGTGGTGCTGTAGGAGACCTTACTGTGCTGCTGTGGCGCGCATGTCAGAACGCAGAGCAACAGCTGGCATGTCAGAACGCAGAGCAACAGCTGGCATGTCAGAACGCAGAGCAACAGCGCATACTTTGTGCATTCTCAAAGTGCAAGCCATTGCATGGCGTTCTAGGCGACCGCACCGAGATGACACCGCGTTGCTGCGGCACTGTAGGAATACCTACTGGGCACTCCTCGGCGTTCTGCATCTTCCATGGGCGCCGCAGGATCGCCGTGAGGACAGCCCAGGTGTGACAGCTGTTTCACCCTCGATCCAGTCCACTGCAAGTGATGGCATTACACAGAGGGCACTACAACAGGGGTCTTCCACATGGTGCACTACGGTAGTGACACTACACAGTCAGTGAGGATTACAACTGCCAGGCTGCTTACGTATTTTGTTTGCTTCCACTATGTTAGGATAAAGGGCGTTGACAGTGAACACTTTGCCATCTCCGTTGAAGCTGAATGCATTTCCAGACAGTGCTCCTGAAACACCACCAATATACTGTCAGGTTTACAGCCGTACCTCATAGTGTGTCATTCTCATTCAACACATACTGTCATACACTAGACACAACTTGATACATAGTGAAATATATTGAACATGACTTGAGTTACCAAGCAACGGTAGTGTTTCTTATAATGATGTATCTACCAGGGCCAATCAGCAATAGCTGCTAATCGCCACTGGTAATGGTATCATTTCGTATACCCACTAGTACCTGCACACCCTCGGCCATTTAGTCCCCTCTCATCTCGTGTCTGTATTATAGGCACAGGCATCCCACGGGCTTCCACAGTTTAGTGGCCCGTGCCCCTTGCCCTGGATATGTTGTCAACAGTTTCAATGTCAACAAAGACTAACATCTACTGATGCCGCAGTTGACTGCCTCAGTGTGGCAGGTTCATAGGAGAAGACCTTGACACAAACAAATACATCTTTGGGATAAATTAAGAGCACGGTCCAAGCTAGTTCAAAATAGGAAATATGGCCAACAGATGGAGCATTCGGAGCTCACAGGGTAATGGCCATAATAAGATTTTTCAAAATGGCTACTGTGGCATTGAAATTAAAACAAGAGGTCCATAGGCATGATAGGGCCTGTAGTGCTCACCTGGATATTTACGCAATTATGACAAAATATACATTTGCATTGTACATGTATATAATACTGCAAATATTTTGTAATTTTGACTCTGACAGCATTTAAAGGGATGGATGGTAAGTCTGACAGCATGAATGTGTACTTCTCTCGATACAAATGTAGCATAAAGATCTGAACTGTTTCCATGTTATGATCCAGGATCTAAGTTTCCAGAGGCAAGGCTGGACCCCACGGCGAATCCCATTGGCATAAATGTATTATTCTCTTCATAACAAACAAATGTATACAACATATCTGTTTATTATAGGGTGGGGATAACATCGGTTTGCATGTTATGGTCGAGTGCCGGACAGATGAACAGAAGGGCCAGTCCTGGTAGCGTATGTGTATTTGTCTTGTTATACTAAGCAATTACATGTATACATGTATATGGTAATAGTGTGGGGATCTCAACTGTTTCCTGGTTTTCACCACGTCGCTATATTAGTGCAATAATCTTGGACGCGACGTTAAACCCCATTTCACCTCATCTGGTTTTCACCCAAGAACTTAATCCCTAGGGGTGTGGCAAGACCCCAGGCTCAATTCTAATATCATGATTGTGTTTGTCTCTTTATGCAAGGCAATTGTATATATGGTCATGGGGTGGGGATCGCAACTGTTTCAACTGTTTCCAAGTTATGACCCAGAGGTTAAGTCTCTCCCCCCCCAACCCCTGGCCATCCTGGTAGCGTATGTGCATTCCTCTCATTATACTCAGCAGTTGTACAAATGGTTATACGGTGGGGACCTTAACTGTGTCCAAGTTATAAATTCTTTTTGACCCCGCCCCTCAGCCCTTCCATTTGCACAATTTTGAATCCGCACCACTGGAGAATGCTTCCAACCAAATATGGTTGATATCTATCTCTTAGTTTCACAGAAGAACTCACTTAAAGCAATAACGCCAAAATAGCCCCTTGGGGGGTGGGGTGGGGGATCAACCCCACCATTTGAATTTTGAATCCTCACCACTGGAGAATGTTTTCAATTATAAATGGCTGATATCTATCCTTAGTTCCAGAGAAGTAGTCGTTTAAAGCAATAAAGCCAAATTACCACTATTTCACCCCGCCCCTCAGTCCCCAGGGGGGGTCAGCACTACCATTTGTACAATTTTTAATCCCCACCACCTAGGGATGCTTCCAGTCAAATTTCATTAATTTCCAATTGGTGGTTCAGAAGAAGACGTCGTTTGAAAACATCGTTGACGTACGACAGACGGACGAATGACGCCACGGTGTGGCATAAGCTCACATTGGCCCTTCGGACCCGGTGAGCTAAAAATAAAAAGGATTCTAATAAGATTGGTAGGTATAAGAATGCGAATTTTCTGGTGCATTGGTCCAGTGCTTCCAAAGAGATGATGTTTACAGTGAGAAGAAATGCAGTTTGAGTGAATCAGGTCAAAAGCTGAAATAGAGGTCAAAAGAGGCCGCAAAAGGCGACTATGCTTGTTGTAAGAGGCGACTAACGAGATCGGGTGGTCAGGCTCGCTGACTTGGTTGATGCATGTCATCGTATCCCAATTGCGTGGATTGATGCTCATGATGTCAATCACTGGATTGTCTGGTCCAGACTTGATTATTTACAGATTGCCGTCATATAGCTGGAATATTGCTGAGTGCGGCGTTAAACAACAAATAAACAAACAAACAAACACTGGTCTGGATGACAGTGTTTACAGAGCCTATCTAGAACACATTTTGAGAGAATAAAAAGCATGGTTGTCATTAAGTCAAAATAATAAATATCGACAAAAGACATTTGCTGAGGCCCAACACATACCACATGTGTACAAAATTTCAGTCCATTTTGATAAAAAGTGGCTGAGGAAAGTCCATAAATATGGCTGCTATATTGTACTAACTCATTACCCTGAAGGGAGATATGGAGTATTACGGTATGTTAGTCACAGGGTTTTATCACCTGCGTAGGTGTAGGCTGTGAAGTTCTCCACAACGTCACCGGCTCCATCAACAACAGCTGCATGGACGAGGAAGGACCTTTCCTTCAGCAGGGGATCGGCATCCTCATTGTGACCGATGGCCATCTGGAAACGACCACTTCATATTGAAGAACATATCGAAACATTTTACACGACTTCAGCCTTTGTTTGAAGTTCGAGGTTACAGCTATATTACAAGGGCACATTTTTATGCCAAAATGGAATTATGAAAACACTTAAATGAACGAAATTGTTATTGGGTATTTTTGCAGTTACATTTGTACACCTATTTCCTAGTTCGTATGTTGACCAAAATTCCAGAGACTTCAGCAAATCCTCCATGATTACAGGATACAGAAGGTACTGTTGGACTAGCGGCCATTATGGTAGATCCCACCTGTTGCTCTGTCATGTACACATTGCTACAAGGTCCACCCCTACATGGTCCACAGTCCACCCCCCTACATGGTCCCCAGCCCACCCCCCTACATGGTCCACAGTCAACCCCCCTACATGGTCCACAGTCCACCCCCTACATGGTCCACCTCTACATGGTCCACCCCCTACATGGTCCACCCCTACATGGTCCACCCCCTACATGGTCCACCCCTACATGGTCCACAGTCCAACCCCCTACATGGTCCACAGTCCATCCCCCTACATGGTCCACAGTCCACCCCCTACATGGTCCACCTCTACATGGTCCACCCCCTACATGGTCCACCCCCTACATGGTCCACAGTCAACCCCACTACATGGTCCACAGTCCTCCCCTACATGGTCCTACCCCTACATGGTCCATGGTCCACCCCCTACATGGTCCACAGTCCTCCCCTACATGGTCCATGGTCCACCCCCTACATGGTCCACAGTCCACCCCTACATGGTCCAACCCCCTACATGGTCCACAGTCCACCCCTACATGGTCCAACCCCCTACATGGTCCATGGTCCACCCCCTACGTGGTCCATGGTCCACCCCCTACATGGTCCACCCCCTACATGGTCCACAGTCCACCCCTACATGGTCCACCCCCTACATGGTCCACAATCCACCCCTACATGGTCCATGGTCCATCCCCTACATGATCCACGGTTCACTCCATACATGGTCCACAGTCCACCCCTACATGGTCCACCCCCTACATGGTCCATGGTCCATCCCCTACATGATCCACAGTTCACTCCCTACATGGTCCACAGTCCACAACCTACATGGTCCACAGTCCACAACCTACATGGTCCACAGTCCACAACCTACATGGTCCACAGTCCACAACCTACATGGTCCACAGTCCACAACCTACATGGTCCACAGTCCACAACCTACATGGTCCACCCCCTTCATGGTCCGTGGTCCACCTCCTACATGGTCCAGCCCCTTCATGGTCCATGGTCCACCTCCTACATGGTCCAGCCCCTTCATGGTAAATGGTCCACCTCCTACATGGTCCATGGTCCACCCCTACTTGGTCCACCCCCTTCATGGTCCATGGTCCACCCCTACATGGTCCATGGTCCACCCCTACATGGTCCACCCCCATATGGTCCACCTGTTGGTCCGCCAGGTACACGTCGCTACAGGACTCTGCTCCCTTCAGCTTCATCACTGCTTTGATCTCACTGCTGATCATCATGGAAAAAGCCTGTAAAACAAAGTCTGTCTTCAGTCACAACCATCAACTTTGTCATTTCAAAATTCCAACTAATGTTAAAATGTTTAAGAAAGATGTTATTTGCTATTGTGTTAGCTTCAAGGTTAATGCTGCCTTCAAAGGGTGTTTCAATCAGAGGTGGTTATTGAGATTTGATACCTCAGAATCGAGTGGTAGAATTGGGAGATAAACATATAATGTTTTTTCAATGCAAAGCTTACCTGTAGATTTAACCGTGCAACTGATTTGAAACCGAACATGAAGTTATAAATTAAACAAAAGTATCATAAATAAATACATGTGTAAGTAACAAACAAATAAATAAATAAATAAATAAAAGGAAGAGAATTAATGGATGTTGACTTCTTTATAATACTACACCTGATGCAGGAGTAAGTATATACCCAAAACGTTGTGTTCCTCATAATAAAAAAAGTTGACATCCATTAATTCTCTTCCTTATGTGTATCACTTCTAAATGTCATTCAAAGACTTACTAAACAAGCATGATATATGCATATCCTCTACCAATACCACCATTTTCAGTCTAAGTTAAAGTCATTACCATGGATGCTAGAAAAATATTTTTTTTAAACTCCAGAACTATCAGTTCACCACTTGACCTATCTATGTGCCAAGTTTGGTTAAAACATCTCTCAAGGTTTTTGAGTTCTGCTCCAGAAACGAAACGTAACGAACTCACACATGGTGTACCCCTACATACACACCTGCATGAAGCTGACCCCTGCTCCATCTGGGAGCCCACTCAGCTCCTTGACATACTCGGGGAATACTCACTCACTCACTCACACATAGTGTACCCCTACTTACACACCTGCATGAAGCTGACCCCTGCTCCATCTGCGAGCCCACTCAGCTCCTTGACATACTCGGGGAACACTAACTCACTCACTCACTCACTCACTCACACATGGTGTACCCCTACTTACACACCTGCATGAAGCTGACCCCTGCTCCATCTGCGAGCCCACTCAGCTCCTTGACATACTCGGGGAACACTAACTCACTCACTCACACATAGTGTACCCCTACTTACACACCTGCATGAAGCTGACCCCTGCTCCATCTGCGAGCCCACTCAGCTCCTTGAGATACTCGGGGAACACTCACTCACTCACTCACACATAGTGTACCCCTACTTACACACCTGCATGAAGCTGACCCCTGCTCCATCTGCGAGCCCACTCAGCTCCTTGACATACTCGGGGAACACTCACTCACTCACTCACACATAGTGTACCCCTACTTACACACCTGCATGAAGCTGACCCCTGCTCCATCTGCGAGCCCACTCAGCTCCTTGACATACTTGGGGAACACTAACTCACTCACTCACTCACTCACTCACTCACACATGGTGTACCCCTACTTACACACCTGCATGAAGCTGACCCCTGCTCCATCTGCGAGCCCACTCAGCTCCTTGACATACTCGGGGAACACTCACTCACTCACTCACACATGGTGTACCCCTACTTACACACCTGCATGAAGCTGACCCCTGCTCCATCTGTGAGCCCACTCAGCTCCTTGACGTACTCGGGGAACACTCACTCACTCACTCACACATGGTGTACCCCCACATACGTATACACCTGCATGAAGCTGACCCCTGCTCCATCTGCGAGCCCACTCAGCTCCTTGACGTACTCGGGGAACACTCACTCACTCACTCACACATGGTGTACCCCTACTTACACACCTGCATGAAGCTGACCCCTGCTCCATCTGCAAGCCCACTCAGCTCCTTGACATACTCGGGGAACACTCACTCACTCACACATGGTGTACCCCTACTTACACACCTGCATGAAGCTGACCCCTGCTCCATCTGCGAGCCCACTCAGCTCCTTGACGTACTCGGGGAACACTCACTCACTCACTCACACATGGTGTACCCCCACATACGTATACACCTGCATGAAGCTGACCCCTGCTCCATCTGCGAGCCCACTCAGCTCCTTGACGTACTCGGGGAACACTCACTCACTCACACATGGTGTACCCCCACATACACACCTGCATGAAGCTGACCCCTGCTCCATCTGCAAGCCCACTCAGCTCCTTGACGTACTCGGGGAACACTCTCGTCACAGCCTCCAAGTAGCCACTGTAATACTGAAACACACCTGCATATAGTGTAAAGTGCAAGTGTCAGGAAACACAGTAATAGATTTGTCTGAGATCATTATGTAGCCAGTGTGACGTACAACAGAAACGCTACCCACAAAGTATTGCAGTACATATGTTTTCTTTAATCATCAAGTAATGATAATCACTTAGCTTATCTGCACATATGAAAACAATCTACAAATATTATATCATTCATTAGGGGAAGTACTTGAAACATTTTCACTCTAGCTATAAGATTCTATAGTACTAGCTTCACTGCAGTGGCGTGGACTTCTCACAAGCAGATTCCACCCTTAAACACCCAAGCTTTAATCAGAGCTTTTACTCCAACATGAAACCTCTCTGCATGAAGATCTTAGGACACATATTAGGTCGTGTCAGGAGAACTAGAATCAAACTTGGATCACCTAATCCAAACGAAGGATGTGTGTTCTTGAACCAATCATATGTCAGCTTTCTAATACAATTCGGCTTTATTTCTTTAGCTCCTCGATGAATGAAACCCAACTACTCAAACACAAAGCTACTCTCTTTTGGGTACAGACTGAGTTAATAAACAACATGAATATGGCCTTATTCATTTACATTCAGAACTTGCCTGTTTTCGAGATAGAGAAATCAGATATTAGTACTGAGAATTTTGAAGCCTTGATGCTGATTGACTCCAAGAATGTTCACCTGACACGATGACAATGGAGGTGACCGCAGACCACAGGGAGGTAGCAGATCGGAGTAAAACATCAGATTTTAATGAGCTTTCTTTACACCATGAAACTTTGTCATAGATTGTAACTTGAGAGGGGCCCACAGGGATGCAACTCTCATTATTAGTGTGATATAAAGCTGCCTCTTCTCCATGGGTACCGACGTAGTTGAAGCGTGGAGGACCCAGTGGTAATCAAGGGTTAAGATGCTGTCAGTGGGCTAACAAGGTAACTTCAGTGCATTGGACTTGCATGAAAAAACAACAAGAAATAACATCCATTTTTTCACTCACTGATTTTCCTGCATCTGTTTGTAAGAACTGTGTCACCTTCGCTAGGGATGAACTCTGATTATAGAACTCCTGAATCATGCCTCTGAATGTCCTGCCCTGGAATACAACAGTAGCATTCCTGAATCATGCCTTGGAATGTCCTGCCCTGGAATACAACAACAGCATTCCTGAATCATGCCTTGGAATGTCCTGCCCTGGAATACAACAATAGCATTCCTGAATCATGCCTTGGAATGTCCTTCCCTGGAATACAACAACAGCATTCCTGAATCATGCCTCGGAATGTCCTGCCCTGGAATACAACAACAGCATTCCTGAATCATGCCTTGGAATGTCCTGCCCTGGAAAACAACAGCATTCCTATAAATCGTGTCTCGGAATGTCCTGCCCTGGAAAACAACAGTAGCATTCCTGAATCATGCCTCGGAATGTCCTGCCCTGGAAAACAACAGCATTCCTATAAATCATGCCTCGGAATGTCCTGCCCTGGAAAACAACAGCATTCCTATAAATCATGCCTCGGAATGTCCTGCCCTGGAATAAAACAGTAGCATTCCTGAATCATGCCTCGGAATGTCCTGCCCTGGAAAACAACAGCATTCCTATAAATCATGCCTCGGAATGTCCTGCCCTGGAATAAAACAGTAGCATTCCTGAATCATGCCTCTGAATGTCCTGCCCTGGAAAACAACAGCATTCCTATAAATCATGCCTCGGAATGTCCTGCCCTGGAATAAAACAGTAGCATTCCTGAATCATGCCTCGGAATGTCCTGCCCTGGAATAAAACAGTAGCATTCCTGAATCATGCCTCTGAATGTCCTGCCCTGGAATACAACAGCATTCCTATAAATCATGCCTCGGAATGTCCTGCCCTGGAATAAAACAGTAGCATTCCTGAATCATGCCTCGGAATGTCCTGCCCTGGAATAAAACAGTAGCATTCCTGAATCGTGCCTCTGAATGTCCTGCCCTGGAATAAAACAGTAGCATTCCTGAATCATGCCTCGGAATGTCCTGCCCTGGAATAAAACAGTAGCATTCCTGAATCATGCCTCGGAATGTCCTGCCCTGGAATAAAACAGTAGCATTCCTGAATCATGCCTCGGAATGTCCTGCCCTGGAATAAAACAGTAGCATTCCTGAATCATGCCTCGGAATGTCCTGCCCTGGAATAAAACAGTAGCATTCCTGAATCGTGCCTCGGAATGTCCTGCCCTTGAATAAAACAACAACATTCCTGAATCATGCCTCGAAAGACAATATTCTGTTTATGTATCACATGTATTACTGGTGATGTATTATAAAGTTGCTTAACATCTCAGCCTATTACAGTACCAGGACAATCCACCCTGAGATTTCTTTTGTCATATGAAGCCAGACAACATATTTTCACGTTTTTTATTTTTAAGGAATTATTGTGACATCAACTTGACAACACTGTCCTGTGTACATTCTGACCTCCCTCCCCCCATTTTGCCGATAGACGAAGACTGTTAAAACACAATGAAAGTCGTCGTGCCTGAAGTATACAAACTTACCATGTCCAGGCCTATCTGGTAGTTGGTGCCCATTGTGTGGAGCTTGGGGAAACTGACACCAACTTACCATGTCCAGGCCTATCTGGTAGTTAGCGCCGATTGTGTGGAGTTTTGGGAAACTGACACCAACTTACCATGTCCAGGCCTATCTGGTAGTTAGCGCCGATTGTGTGGAGTTCGGGGAAACTGACACCAACTTACCATGTCCAGGCCTATCTGGTAGTTGGTGCCCATTGTGTGGAGCTTGGGGAAACTGACACCAACTTACCATGTCCAGGCCTATCTGGTAGTTAGCGCCGATTGTGTGGAGTTTTGGGAAACTGACACCAACTTACCATGTCCAGGCCTATCTGGTAGTTAGCGCTGATTGTGTGGAGTTTTGGGAAACTGACACCAACTTACCATGTCCAGGCCTATCTGGTAGTTAGCGCCGATTGTGTGGAGTTCGGGGAAACTGACACCAACTTACCATGTCCAGGCCTATCTGGTAGTTGGTGCCCATTGTGTGGAGCTTGGAGAAACTGACACCAACTTACCATGTCCAGGCCTATCTGGTAGTTAGCGCCGATTGTGTGGAGTTCTGGGAAACTGACACCAACTTACCATGTCCAGGCCTATCTGGTAGTTAGCGCCGATTGTGTGGAGCTTGGGGAAACTGACACCAACTTACCATGTCCAGGCCTATCTGGTAGTTGGTGCCCATTGTGTGGAGCTTGGGGAAACTGACACCAACTTACCATGTCCAGGCCTATCTGGTAGTTAGCGCCGATTGTGTGGAGCTTGGGGAAACTGACACCAACTTACCATGTCCAGGCCTATCTGGTAGTTAGCGCCGATTGTGTGGAGCTTGGGGAAACTGACACCAACTTACCATGTCCAGGCCTATCTGGTAGTTAGCGCCGATTGTGTGGAGCTTGGGGAAACTGACACCAACTTACCATGTCCAGGCCTATCTGGTAGTTGGTGCCCATTGTGTGGAGCTTGGGGAAACTGACACCAACTTACCATGTCCAGGCCTATCTGGTAGTTAGCGCCGATTGTGTGGAGTTTTGGGAAACTGACACCAACTTACCATGTCCAGGCCTATCTGGTAGTTAGCGCTGATTGTGTGGAGTTTTGGGAAACTGACACCAACTTACCATGTCCAGGCCTATCTGGTAGTTAGCGCCGATTGTGTGGAGTTCGGGGAAACTGACACCAACTTACCATGTCCAGGCCTATCTGGTAGTTGGTGCCCATTGTGTGGAGCTTGGAGAAACTGACACCAACTTACCATGTCCAGGCCTATCTGGTAGTTAGCGCCGATTGTGTGGAGTTCTGGGAAACTGACACCAACTTACCATGTCCAGGCCTATCTGGTAGTTAGCGCCGATTGTGTGGAGCTTGGGGAAACTGACACCAACTTACCATGTCCAGGCCTATCTGGTAGTTGGTGCCCATTGTGTGGAGCTTGGGGAAACTGACACCAACTTACCATGTCCAGGCCTATCTGGTAGTTAGCGCCGATTGTGTGGAGCTTGGGGAAACTGACACCAACTTACCATGTCCAGGCCTATCTGGTAGTTAGCGCCGATTGTGTGGAGCTTGGGGAAACTGACACCAACTTACCATGTCCAGGCCTATCTGGTAGTTAGCGCCGATTGTGTGGAGCTTGGGGAAACTGACACCAACTTACCATGTCCAGGCCTATCTGGTAGTTAGCGCCGATTGTGTGGAGCTTGGGGAAACTGACACCAACTTACCATGTCCAGGCCTATCTGGTAGTTAGCGCCGATTGTGTGGAGCTTGGGGAAACTGACACCAACTTACCATGTCCAGGCCTATCTGGTAGTTGGTGCCGATTGTGTGGAGTTCTGGGAAACTGACACCGGAGATGAGTGGACCCCATGCCGTGGCAACGAGGAACATGAATGTCTTCATGGCTGAAAGTACAGGGGACAGATAGACGACACACAACATAAGGCAACAGTTTCCCTCTTGCCTCACTTGAAAAGACCTCACTGAAATGACTTACCTACGAACACTCGTCACCATTTGCTTGTTTGCTGCTGTGCCTGTCCAGGTGACACAGAATACCACAGTTAATGATGGCTCATTGTCGGGACTTCTTACACCCTGTGTACTTTGTTTATTCATGGCCTGTTATTGACAACAGCTGAAACGTCATCTGTATCCTTGAAACTTGAAATACTGAGAAGAAACAGGTATATTGACCTTCAAATATACCTCAGGTGTATGGACCTTCAAAAAAACCTCAGATGTATGGACCTTCAAATATACCTCAGGTATAAGGACCTTTAAATAAACCTCAAGTGTATTGACCTTCAAATATACCTTAGGTATAAGGACCTTTAAATAAACCTCAAGTGTATGACCTACAAATATACCTCAGGTGTATGGACCTTCAAATATACCTCAGATGTATGGACCTTCAAATATACCTCAGGTATAAGGACCTTCAAATATACCTGAAGTGTATGACCTTCAAATAAACCTCAAGTGTATGGACCTTCAAATATACCTCAGGTATAAGGGCCTTTAAATAAACCTGAAGTGTATGACCTTCAAATAAACCTCAGGTGTATGGACCTTCAAATATACCTCAGGTATAAGGACCTTTAAATAAACCTCAAGTGTATGACCTTCAAATATACCTCAGGTGTATGGACCTTCAAATATACCTCAGATGTATGGACCTTCAAATATACCTCGGGTATAAGGACCTTCAAATATACCTCAAGTGTATGGACCTTCAAATATACCTCAGATGTATGGACCTTCAAATATACCTCAAGTGTATGGACCTTCAAATATACCTCAGGTGTATGGACTTTCAAGTAAACCTCAAATGTATGACCTTCAAATATACCTTAGATGTATGGACCTTCAAATAAACCTCAAGTGTATGGACCTTCAAATATACCTCAAGTGTATGGACCTTCAAATAAACCTCAAGTGTATGGACCTTCAAATATACCTCAAGTGTATGGACCTTCAAATATACCTCGGGTGTATGGACCTTCAAATATATATCAAGTGTATGGACCTTCAAATAAACCTCAAGTGTATGGACCTTCAAATATACCTCAAGTGTATGGACCTTCAAATATACCTCAAGTGTATGGACCTTCAAATATACCTCAAGTGTATGGACCTTCAAATAAACCTCAAGTGTATGGACCTTCAAATATACCTCAAGTGTATGGACCTTCAAATATACCTCGGGTGTATGGACCTCCAAATATATATCAAGTGTATGGACCTTCAAATAAACCTCAAGTGTATGGACCTTCAAATATACCTCAAGTGTATGGACCTTCAAATATACCTCAAGTGTATGGACCTTCAAATATACCTCAGGTATAAGGACCTTCAAATATACCTCAAGTGTATGAACCTTCAAATATACCTCAAGTGTATGGACCTTGAAATATACCTCAAGTGTATGGACCTTCAAATAAACCTCAGATGTATGGACCTTCAAATAAACCTCAAATGTATGGACCTTCAAATATACCTCAAGTGTATGGACCTTCAAATAAACCTCAAGTGTATGGACCTTCAAATATACCTCAAGTGTATGGACCTTCAAATATACCTCGGGTGTATGGACCTCCAAATATATATCAAGTGTATGGACCTTCAAATAAACCTCAAGTGTATGGACCTTCAAATATACCTCAAGTGTATGGACCTTCAAATATACCTCAAGTGTATGGACCTTCAAATATACCTCAGGTATAAGGACCTTCAAATATACCTCAAGTGTATGAACCTTCAAATATACCTCAAGTGTATGGACCTTGAAATATACCTCAAGTGTATGGACCTTCAAATAAACCTCAGATGTATGGACCTTCAAATAAACCTCAAATGTATGGACCTTCAAATATACCTCGTGTATGGACCTTCAAATAAACCTCAAATGTATGACCTTCAAATGTACCTCAGATGTATGGACCTTCAAATAAACCTCAAATGTATGACCTTCAAATATACCTCAGATGTATGGACCTTCAAATATACCTCAGATGTATGGACCTTCAAATATACCTCAAATGTATGACCTTGAAAATATACCTCAAATGTATGACCTTCAAATATACCTCAGATGTATGGACCTTCAAATAAACCTCAAATGTATGGACCTTCAAATATACCTCGTGTATGGACCTTCAAATAAACCTCAAATGTATGACCTTCAAATATACCTCAGATGTATGGACCTTCAAATATACCTCAGATGTATGGACCTTCAAATATACCTCAAATGTATGACCTTGAAAATATACCTCAAATGTATGACCTTCAAATATACCTCAGATGTATGGACCTTCAAATATACCTCAAATGTATGGACCTTCAAATATACCTCAAGTGTATGGACCTTTTAATATACCTCAAGTGTATGACCCTGAATATAACTCAGGTGTATGGACCTTCAAATAAACCTCAAGTGTATGGACCTCAAATAAACCTCAAATGTATGGACCTTCAAATATACCTCAGGCGTATTGACCTTCAAATAAACCTCAGGTGTATTGACCTTCAAATATACCTCAAGTGTATTGACCTTCAAATATACCTCAGATGTATAGACCTTCAAATAGACCTCAGATGTATGGACCTTCAAATAAACCTCAAATGTATGACCTTCAAATATACCTCAGGTGTATGGACCTTCAAATATACCTCAGGTATAAGGACCTTCAAATATACCTCAAGTGTATGAACCTTCAAATATACCTCAAGTGTATGGACCTTGAAATATACCTCAAGTGTATGGACCTTCAAATAAACCTCAGATGTATGGACCTTCAAATAAACCTCAAATGTATGGACCTTCAAATATACCTCGTGTATGGACCTTCAAATAAACCTCAAATGTATGACCTTCAAATGTACCTCAGATGTATGGACCTTCAAATAAACCTCAAATGTATGACCTTCAAATATACCTCAGATGTATGGACCTTCAAATATACCTCAGATGTATGGACCTTCAAATATACCTCAAATGTATGACCTTGAAAATATACCTCAAATGTATGACCTTCAAATATACCTCAGATGTATGGACCTTCAAATAAACCTCAAATGTATGGACCTTCAAATATACCTCGTGTATGGACCTTCAAATAAACCTCAAATGTATGACCTTCAAATATACCTCAGGTGTATGGACCTTCAAATATACCTCAAATGTATGACCTTGAAAATATACCTCAAATGTATGACCTTCAAATATACCTCAGATGTATGGACCTTCAAATATACCTCAAATGTATGGACCTTCAAATATACCTCAAGTGTATGGACCTTTTAATATACCTCAAGTGTATGACCCTGAATATAACTCAGGTGTATGGACCTTCAAATAAACCTCAAGTGTATGGACCTCAAATAAACCTCAAATGTATGGACCTTCAAATATACCTCAGGCGTATTGACCTTCAAATAAACCTCAGGTGTATTGACCTTCAAATATACCTCAAGTGTATTGACCTTCAAATATACCTCAGATGTATAGACCTTCAAATAGACCTCAGATGTATGGACCTTCAAATAAACCTCAAATGTATGACCTTCAAATATACCTCAGGTGTATGGACCTTCAAATAAACCTCAGGTGTATTGACCTTCAAATATACCTCAAGTGTATTGACCTTCAAATATACCTCAGATGTATAGACCTTCAAATAGACCTCAGATGTATGGACCTTCAAATAAACCTCAAATGTATGACCTTCAAATATACCTCAGGTGTATGGACCTTCAAATAAACCTCAGGTGTATTGACCTTCAAATATACCTGAAGTGTATTGACCTTCAAATATACCTCAAGTGTATGGACCTTCAAATAAACCTCAGGTGTATTGACCTTCAAATATACCTCAAGTGTATTGACCTTCAAATATACCTCAGATGTATAGACCTTCAAATAGACCTCAGATGTATGGACCTTCAAATAAACCTCAAATGTATGACCTTCAAATAGACCTCAGATGTATGGACCTTCAAATAAACCTCAAATGTATGACCTTCAAATATACCTCAGGTGTATGGACCTTCAAATAAACCTCAGGTGTATTGACCTTCAAATATACCTGAAGTGTATTGACCTTCAAATATACCTCAGGTGTATTGACCTTCAAATATACCTGAAGTGTATTGACCTTCAAATATACCTCAGGTGTATTGACCTTCAAATATACCTGAGGTGTATGGACCTTTAAATATACTTCAGATGTATGGACCTTCAAATAAACCTCAAGTGTATGACCTTCAAATAAACCTTAAGTGAATGACCTTCAAATATACCTCAGGTGTACTGACCTTCAAATATACCTCAGGTGTAAGGACCTTTAAATCAACCTGAAGTTTATCGCCTTTAAATATACCTCAGGTGTACTGACCTTCAAATATACCTCAGGTGTATGGACCTTTAAATATACTTCAGATGTTAGGACCTTCAAATAAACCTCAAGTGAATGACCTTCAAATAAACCTTAAGTGAATGACCTTCAAATATACCTGAGGTGTATGGACCTTCAAATAAACCTCAGGTGCATGGACCTTCAAATATACCTCAGGTGTATTGACCTTTAAATAAATCTTAAGTGTATGGACCTTTAAATAAACCTCAGGTGTATTGACCTTCAAATATACCTCAGGTGTATGGACCTTCAAATATACCTCAGGTGTATTGACCTTCAAATATACCTCAGGTTTAAGGAACTTTAAATAAACCTCAAGTGTATGACCTTTAAGTATACCTCAGGTGTATGGACCTTTAAATAAATGTTAAGTGTATGGACCTTTAAATAAACCTCAAGTGTATGACCTTCAAATATACCTCAGGTGTAAGGACCTTCAAATATACCACAGGTGTAAGGACTTTACCTAAAGCTTAGAGGCCAATATTCAGACTCCCAAATCTGCAGCAAGAGTCAGTAATAATTTCCAAATTGTAATTAAATATTTCCCAATTCAGGTTGTAATAGATGTAACTGATGTTAAGGTGTTGTAGAGAGTGACTCATATTATACTGGTTGTATTCACAACCTTGGGAATCATGTTTTTCCCTTGCATACATTCATCTCTCTATGCAATTTGATCCCCCACAGCTGGTGATGACATGTATTAATTAGTAGCATTAATAGTCTGTGGGCTGTCTATCAGTGTGTGTGTGTGTGTGAGTGTGTGAGTGAGTGTGTGTGTGAGAGTGTGTGTTTGAGTGTGTGTGTGTCTGTTTCTCTGTGTGTGTGTGTGTTTCTGTGTGTGAGTGTCTGTTTCTGTGTGTGTGAGAGTGTGTGTGTGTGAGTATGTTTCTGTGTGTGTGTGTCTGTTTCTGTGTGTGTGTGTCTGTTTCTGAGTGTGTGTGTGTGCGTGTGTGTGTCTGTTTCTGTGTGTGTGTGTCTGTTTCTGTGTGATTGTGTGAGTGCGTGCGTGTGTGCATGCGTGTGTATGTGTGCCTCCGTGCGTGTGTGCATGCGTGTGTGCGTGCCTCCGTGCGTGTGTGCGTGCATGTGTGCGTGTGTGCGTGCGTGTGTTCGCATGTACATGTCCATACATTGACTCCCCAGTTAAATTTACTGAACAAGGTTCCAGCCCCAGCAAACACAATGACATTCCATTAATGTTGGCCCAGTGTCACACTTAACTCTAGTTAACACTTAACACAAACAGATAGTAACATTTGACCCACATGTACTCTGCCTGCAATTATCTGCCCGGATGTTGATTATTCAAAATCTGAGTCTTTGTCTTTGTGTCGCGTGATATTACATTCTTAGCTGCTATTCAGTCAGCACTTGATGTTGTACACCTAGATACATTGTTTTACATATGGTTAACGGTGTAAAGACAAACTATGTGCTTCATTGGACTTCTCTCACTACTGTGGCAATGTCCCCCAGCTCTGTACAAACAAACTTCCCTGACTGCAATAAATTAAGTCAAGTTTTTATTCTCCATCTATATGTTGTCTTACATGTTTCGTTATATTTGCAAGTTAATATATTATGTAAATTAGAACACAAATGTGTACATGATATTTATGTGCTGATCACATATCGGTTTTCACACTTCGTCCTTGGGAGTCTAGCTTCTGCATGTTCCCAGTCTGTCCTGGCAGTGTGACGGTTGCCTAAGTTTAACTAAACTACAACATATCTGTGTACTATAGCTACAAGTCACTTGATAAGTATACTGTATGGTATATCAGCCAACAAGTAAAGGAATTTGATAACAGTTGTGTATGGTTCAGCTAACTTGCAGGGCCGTCGGGTAGCCTAGTGGTTAAAGCGTTCGCTCGTCACGCCGAAGACCCGGGTTCGATTCCCAACATGGGTACAATGTGTGAAGCCCATTTCTGGTGTCCCCCGCCGTGATATTGCTGGAATATTGCTAAAAGCGGCATAAAACCATACTCCCTCACTCACTTCAGCTAACTTGCGCTATTCATGGTATTGCAGGATGTTATCTAGATACTAGGGCTGGGAGGGGTACCGGTAACACGGGTACTCGGGTTGGGTGGGTACTAGGGCTGGGAGGGATATCGGTAACACGGGTACTCGGGTCAGGTGGGTACTGAGTAGGACCCGGGTACTAGGGCTGGGAGGGATACCGGTAACACAGGTACTCGGGTCAGGTGGGTACTGAGTAGGACCCGGGTACTAGGGCTGGGAGGGATACCGGTATCACGGGTACTCGGGTCAGGTGGGTACTGAGTAGGACCTGGGTACTAGGGCTGGGAGGGATACCGGTAACACGGGTACACGGGTCAGGTGGGTACTGAGTAGGACCTGGGTACTAGGGCTGGGAGGGATACCGGTATCACGGGTACTCGGGTCAGGTGGGTACTGAGTAGGACCTGGGTACTAGGGCTGGGAGGGATACCGGTAACACAGGTACTCGGGTCAGGTCAGTACTGAGTAGGACCCGGGTACTAGGGCTGGGAGGGATACCGGTATCACGGGTACTCGGGTCAGGTGGGTACTGAGTAGGACCCGGGTACTAGGGCTGGGACGGGTACAGGTAACTCGGGTACTTGGGTCAGGTGGGTACTGAGTAAGACCCGGGTACTAGGGTCGGATGGGTACTGAGTAGGACCCGGATACTAGGGTCGGGTGGGTACTGAGTAGGACCCGGGTACTAGGGTCGGGTGGGTACTGAGTAGGACTCGGGTACTAGGGTTGGGTGGGTACTGAGTTAGACCCATGTACTAGGGCTGGGATGGGTACCGGTAACTCGGGTACTTGGGTTGGAAGGGTACTGAGTAGGACTCAGGTACTAGGGTCAAGTGGGTACTGAGTAGGAAGCGGGTACACAAAGGACTACCCGGACACGTGGTTAGTCACGTGATATTGTTTCATGACAAAAAATCACTATAACTACATGGTTACACAAGTCACTGATGTTCACATTTCTTTATGACTATGCACCCATTCCTTCTGACTTATATATGTTTGAATAAAGATAAAACTTCAGTCAACTTCAGTGTATATGCATGACCAGATCGTTTTATATATGTATCTGACTACATTTTGCTCAAACTATTCCCAATCAGACATTTTGTACCTATCTCTTGAGACCTACAGCAGGTACCCGAGTAGGGTCGGGTAATAGGGGTGTGGGTGCCCGGGTAGTAAATTTGGACTCGTCCCAGCCCTACTAGATACACTCAGAGTTCGGCCCCAAGTCTGTAGCAAATGACAGGACAACTTCCAACATTGGAATTAACGACTGACCCGGTTCATGAGGTTATAGTTAGAACTAGTGTTATAGTTAGAACTAGTGCTATAGGTAGAACTAGTGCCATAGGTAGAACTAGTGCTATAGGTAGAACTAGTGCTATAGGTAGAACTAGTGCTATAGTTAGAACTAGTGCTATAGGTAGAACTAGTGCTATAGGTAGAACTAGTGCTATAGGTAGAACTAGTGCTATAGATAGAACTAGTGCTATAGGTAGAACTAGTGCTATAGTTAGAACTAGTGCTATAGTTAGAACTAGTGCCATAGTTAGAACTAGTGCCATAGGTAGAACTAGTGCTATAGTTAGAACTAGTGCTATAGGTAGAACTAGTGCTATAGGTAGAACTAGTGCTATAGTTAGAACTAGTCCTATAGGTAGAACTAGTGCTATAGTTAGAACTAGTCCTATAGGTAGAACTAGTGCCATAGTTAGAACTAGTGCCATAGGTAGAACTAGTGCTATAGGTAGAACTAGTGCTATAGTTAGAACTAGTGCTATAGTTAGAACTAGTGCTATAGGTAGAACTAGTGCTATAGTTAAACCTTGTGCAGGGGACATGTATTTCAGTGAATTTATTTTGTCTCCACGTGAATGACTTGACTTTAACAATTAAATCTTATAGGGATGAATAAGGAAAAACAGACTTGTTTTTTACCTCAATAGGAAGCGCTTCTTATGTGATGTGTGAGCTGGGCTTGTGTTTGGTCCTGTTCTAAATACAGGTCACTAAGACAGTGGGCTATCTTATCATGAGATAGGACAAAAACATCTGTCTTGATGAATAGACTCTCCTACTCTCTCTCTCTCATACAACTCTCTCTTTCTTTTTCACTCTTCCTCTCTCTCTCTCATACAACCAACTTCTTTCTTGCTTTTCCTCTTTTTCACTCTCATACAACCAACTTCTCTTTCATACAACTTCTCTCTTTCTCTTCCTCTCTCTTTCACTCTCTCTCATACAACCAACTTCTCTCTCATACAACCAACTTCTCTCTTCCTCTCTCTCATACAACCAACTTCTCTCTCATACAACCAACTTCTCTCTCTCATACAACCAACTTCTCTCTTTTTCACTCTTCCTCTCTCTTACAACCAACTTCTCTTTTTCTTTTCCTCTCTTTTTCACTCTCTCATACAACCAACTTCTCTTTCATACAACTTCTCTCTTTCCCTTCCTCTCTTTCACTCTCTCTCTCTCTCTCTCATACAACCAACTTCTCTTTCTCTCATACAACTTCTCTCTCTCTCTTCCTCTTTCACTCTCTCTCTCATACAACCAACTTCTCTCTCTCATACAACTTCTCTCTCTTCCTCCCTCTCTCTCTTCCTCTCTCTCCCTCATACAACCTACTTCATACAACTAATGACAGCCTACTCCTCCCACTCACGGTCACATGTGGAAGTTGTATTAACTGTTGACTACACAAGAGGGCAGAAGCTTAACCAGTGTGTCCATAAGAAATAACCAGCGTAACTATATATATCGGTACAGCAAAGCTACATCTATATTTGGATTGGTGTACCGTGATGACCTGACGATTCGCTGAAACGACAGTTGCAAATTGCTACTTCTTCTGTCAATTGATGGTAACATTAATACTTACCATCTGCTAAAGTACGACTATTTCAGCGACGTAGCATCATACTACATAACCTATAGCAACAGATCACTTATCGCCCTCGTCGCCTTTCTTCAGGTGACTGAAGGACTCCGCACATCACTTTACCTCTAGTTCATACGAAAAGCGACGCCTATGCACGATGCATTGAGTCGTTGTTGTAATCAACTGGGCGATGGTATTAATTTCTCGTATAGCGATCGAGCCATGTTCACACACAACCGTGTGTGTACATCCATATGACCTTGACGCCAGTTTGAAACTCGAGAGCGTATATATTTGAAACAACTTGTATGTAGGCAGTTGGAAGTGAGCGAGTGGCCCACCCGGCCATGCTGTCGTCAGACACTAATGACATTCAGCAGAAATGTTTAGCGAAATCAGAGACCATAAAGTGGATTGTATGGTATCGAGCGAAATTAAAATTAGCATGTTTGAGACACATTGTTGTAGGGAGGGACTGTACAGTACTGACTTGATTATTTACAGACCGACGTAATATAGCTGAGTGCGGCGTAAAACAAGAAACCAACCAACTTATTTGAATTAACACTGCACACACATGGGACAGATCAAGAAGGCGGGAATGGACAATGGAATTTCAAGAGAAAAAATAGAGTGAAATAACGCAGTTTCAAGAAATTTTATACCAAATCATTTCACATGTAAAAATATTTGGATGAAAAAAATCGTGTTTCATGTTTATTTCATTGACAAAATACAGTTGTGTGTGTATATGTGTGACATATATATTGGATAAAAAATATTTTGTTCTACATCAATTTTCCTTCAAAACTAACCGTAAAAAATAATTGAACCCTTTATATAGTTTTTCATTTATAATGAATCAATGAAATGTTTGACCTGGATTTAGCCGATTTGTAGCGATAGACCAAGCAGAACGATGGTATACGTTATCTCCTCGTTTGTATTGACATATTATCAAGATATGTTTGGGTTGTGGAAGGATACTGTTTTGGAAGGTTTTAAAAACATTTTGGTGTTTCTTTGTAGTCGGTAGATTTCATTGTCTCTCGCCAGGACGTGCCTCAGACAGAGTCTGTCGACCCAATTGCACTTGTCATAAGTCACGTATCCAGAGTCATTAGCAGACAATGAAATCATGAATAATGTACAATACAAGCTTTCATCCTATGACATTATTTATGTTAGAACTAAGTCATATCATTAAACACATTTAATGTTTATTCATTTAAGATAATTGTATTAGATTTAATATATAATACGATAAAATATATAATATATAGTCAAAAATACAATTATCAGTAAAGATTTTTAGACAAGTTGTATTATCAAATCATTTAAAAAAAGATTCTCAATTGAAACCTTTAATTATTGTTCTATTATATCTTATCATTCTTCAAGTTTTGTTACCCTGTAAAACGAATTTACAGATATTACTATGCAAATGAATGTTTAACATTTGAACTCGCAATTATTTATTTGTTTAAAATTAATCATGACAAATATACTAAAATATTTGCTCTCTTAACAACATTTGAAATCGGTTGTATATGTAAACTCACATACCTTTTAAACTGTTAGTGAATCAATCATCGAACCAGCTTCTCGAAACGTTCATCTCTCACTCTATGTAACATTTCATAAAGTCAAGCGATCAACAAAATGTTCTTCACAATTGGAAAAATTCTATCAGATAAAAGAAGAAAAATGGAAGTACTACTATCACTAGAGCAGGTCAGTTGATTCACACATCTCGGTGTTCTGTATGCCGAGTGAGTGAGTGTGTGTGTGGTGTGTATGTGTGTGCGTGTGTGTGCGTGCGTGCGTGCCTACGTGCGTGTATGTATCTGTGTGTGTGTGTGTGTGTGTGTGTGTGTGTGTGTGTGTGTGTGTGTGTGTGTGTGTGTGTGTGTGTGTGTGTGTAGGTGATGTGTCTTGTGTAAAAGGGTGCCCTTTCACAGTATGGTACGTACCAAACTTTGTTGTAAACGAAGCCTTTAGTGAAACCAAGAGCAACTTCACACCTCCCCTCTTGTCTCTGTCACCAACAGAATAAACAGAAGAGTTGCTTCTTGCAAGTTTCATTTACGTTCAAGTATTGCTGCTGGTCGGACATCACTGCAAGAAAACATGAAGACGAATGGGAAAAAATCAGAGACGTTCAGTGGATATGTTTGAGTAAGAAAACGCACCAAATCCAAATCAGTCCAAAAGATGAATGTCAAGACAAAAGCCTCTCACTGTCCGCCTGACAATTGGCTATTGAAAAGACTTGATCCGGTATGTAGGTCCGGCGCGAGATTCAAACCATGGTCACGTGACGCCCAGTCAAGAAACTTCTAGTCTGACATACATTGATTACATGCCTCTGAAAAGCAGCAGTCTGTGACGATACATTTCTATTCCGTAAATGGATTACATATACATAATGAAAAGAGACATTATATTGAAACCTAAAACATACATATGTAGTTTGTTCGGATAATATTTTAAACAAATAATATTTCACTCTCACAAGGCTGTAACATACATATCTCTGACGATGGTTCAATTAGTGTTCACCGAGTGTGACAGAAGACATTGCTGATTGAAATATGTTGAGGGAACAAAGTGTTTTCACGGTACAATAAACATGAAATACCGTTTACGTACGTGAAACGAACAGGTCGCGTAAGGTCAGGTCAAGGACAGGTTATTAAGTACAAGGTCATGTGTGCGTCATGGTAGTAATAACTCGGATCGGCTGAGGTCATTGAGGTCAAGGTCAGGTTATCAAGTACAAGGTTAAGGTCAAGTGTCCGTCCCGCTTATGAACGTCTATTGTTCCATTGTTAAGGTATTGAATACCTCAGGCGACGTGTCTAATATCCATTGTTCACTAATTGCATTCCATAGGTGACACGTTCATTGTTCCATTGTTCCAAATTGAATACCTCATTGTCAATGGAGGCGTTCACGCTATGATTCCATTGTTCCTCTATTGTTCCTCTATTGTTCCTCTATTGTTCATCTATTGTCTTCACGACGCGGCAAATAAATATCTACTGCCCCCCGCCGCGGTCTAGTGCTGGAGCGCCCGCCCGGAGAGTGGAAGGTCCGGGGCTCGATTACCTCATGGTAATACATGAACATTGCCCATACTAGGACCATGGGCATCACACGCACTGACAACTGGAACATTTCAATAATGTTAACATTGGTTGGCTCATTCGCAGCTACTGTTTCGATCATTTGGAAAAGGTTGCTTAGCAACTGGAACGTGACGTCAAGTGTCGGGGTTTGAAGATGAGGTTAGTCATTGTTGATGACGCCAAAAAACAACAGAAAATAATAAATTCCATATCTAATAAATAACTAATCCGCTGTTCTCGAACGTCGTATGACAAATTGGCGTAATCATGTCACAATAACTGCTTTAACGTGAGTTATAAAGTACGCATAAATTGAAGCTTGTGTTTTTTTCCTACAGGTTATACATGCTATAGATTGTTGTGTGATAGTTCTGCTGACAACTCGCAGACCGATAACTGATAGATACATCACGTGACGTGAATCCGTGCATATATTACACCGCCGGAGACGATAAGAGTACTGCGCATTAGGGAACAAGTATTTCAAACATTTAGATACTATTTCTCATATGTCGATTTTCTAACGGAGGTAACTTAGAAATTTCTGAGGCCTCCCACAGACGGACCGTCCTCGGGTACCAGAGGTCAGGTAGACAAACTGCATCTTCGTCGTCTCCATTCTTGGAGTACTGGTATATACTGTTTTCCCCACGACGTGTTTCTTCTTGGCTGAAGTTACTATTTATACAGTTTAGTAAAAGTATAATAATAATCTAACACATGCCTCATTTATACAGTTCTTGTAGAAATCAAGTGTCCCCATTGATCTGACAGTTCTGTATACTACATGACTTGCCGGTGATGGCTATGGAGAGATGATAGGTTTCAGCCGCACCAAACGTCCTCATGTGCATTCAGCAGTGACGAACTCAGGCAGGCAATTCTATTATTTTTTGATAGGCAATTAATATTTTTTACAGAACGCGTGAATTAATCATGTATATTTATGCGATGATATTATTGTTTGTTCGCAATAACGATCAGAGGGACATTGCATGGTATCAACATAAACGTGTTAATTGACTACAGGTGCTATTTCCACCGCATTTGGATTTAATGCAAAGTGCCAGAAAGCAACTAGGGCAATCAGAGATTATTCATTATTTCCTGAACAACGAACAATTGTGATTAACCCCAATACGTCAAAGTTATTCTGTAGACATAAGTTCATGATAAACAAAATACAAAATAGACAATATTCACATCAGGGAACATTCCCCTACCCAGCCCCCACCACCCCACACCCACAACAACAAGAACGTCAACACCTCCAACAAGAGTTACAACACCTCTAACAAACACCCCCCACCCCACCACACCCCACCACACCCAACCACACTACACCACACCACACCACACCACATCACACCACACCACACCACACCTACAACAACAAGAACGTCAACACCTCCAACAAGAGTTACAACACCTCTAACAAACACCCCCCACCCCACCACACCACACCACACTACACCACACCCCACCACACTACACCACACCACACTACACCACACCACACCACACTACACCACACCACACCACACCACACTACACCACACCACACCACACCACACCACACCACACTACACCACACCAGACTACACTACACCACACCCCACCACACTACACCCCACCACACTACACCACACCCCACCACACTACACCACACCACACCACACTACACCACACCACACCACACCACACCTACAACAACAAGAACGTCAAAACCTCCAACAAGAGTTACAACACCTCTAACAAACAACCCCCCCCCCCCCACACACACACACCCCACCTCCACCCCACACACACTACACCACACCACACCCACAACAAGAACGTCAAAACCTCCAACAAGAGTTACAACACCTCTAACAAACACCCCCCACCCCACCACACCCCACCACACCACACTACACTACACCACACCACACCACACCACACCACACCCACAACAAGAACGTCAACACCTCCAACAAGAGTTACAACACCTCTAACAAACACCCCCCACCCCACCACCCCCCACCACACCACACCACACTACACCACACCACACCACACCACACCACACCCACAACAAGAACGTCAAAACCTCCAACAAGAGTTACAACACCTCTAACAAACACCGCCCCCCCCCCCCCCCCCCCCACACACACACACACACCCCACCTCCACCCCCCACACACTACACCACACCCACAACAAGAACGTCAAAACCTCCAACAAGAGTTACAACACCTCTAACAAACACCCCCCACCCCACCACACCCCACCACACCCAACCACACTACACCACACCACACCACACCACACCACACCACACCACACCACACCACACCTACAACAACAAGAACGTCAACACCTCCAACAAGAGTTACAACACCTCTAACAAACACCCCCCACCCCACCCCACCCCACCACACCACACTACACCACACCACACCACACCACACCACACCACACCACCCTACACCACACCACACCACACCCACAAAAAGAACGTCAAAACCACCAACAAGAGTTACAACACCTCTAACAAACACCCCCCTCCCCACCACACCCCACCACACTACACCACACCACACCACACCACACCCACAACAAGAACGTCAACACCTCCAACAAGAGTTACAACACCTCTAACAAACACCCCCCACCCCACCACCCCCCACCACACCACACCACACCACACCCACAACAAGAACGTCAAAACCTCCAACAAGAGTTACAACACCTCTAACAGACAACCCCCACCCCACCACACCACACCACACTACACCACACCACACCACACCACACCACACCCACAACAAGAACGTCAACACCTCCAACAAGAGTTACAACACCTCTAACAAACACCCCCCACCCCACCACACCCCACCACACCACACCACACTTCACCACACCACACCACACCACACCCACAACAAGAACGTCAAAACCTCCAACAAGAGTTACAACACCTCTAACAGACAACCCCCACCCCACCACACCCCACCACACCACACCACACTACACCACACCACACCACACCACACCACACCCACAACAAGAACGTCAACACCTCCAACAAGAGTTACAACACCTCTAACAAACACCCCCCACCCCACCACACCCCACCACACCACACCACACTTCACCACACCACACCACACCACACCCACAACAAGAACGTCAAAACCTCCAACAAGAGTTACAACACCTCTAACAAACACCCCCATTCTTGACTTGAGCTGGACTCCTTATTTAATTTATTATCCACGCTCATGGAGACAGACTTATCTGTTGTATAAACATAGGCCGGCGGTTTAATGATAATTCTATCCATTTTAGTTATGATATAAGGGTAACGCTATTTTTCAGGGCATTTTCATTTGCAGAAGCCCGAGGTCTTCCATTAACTGCCCGACGAAGGAGGGCAGTTGAAAAGACCGAGGGCTTCTGGAAATGATAATGCCCTGAAAAAGAGCGTTACCGTTATTATAGCTAAAATGGATGGAATTTGTTATCAAATAAAAAGAAACAACAACATCGGTTTTGAAATATTTATTGCAATCAACACGAATGTCACTGACCACATTTTACAAATATGGAAACGTCATAGAACAAACCAGATGACGTCACTATAATACGTGACGTCATTTTCTCTACCCTATGACGTCACCGAACAACGGGCTTGATAATGGCCCGTCGTCAAGCAATATGAGGGCATTATCAAGTTACAGTGGCCCGCTCATTTCTGATAACGTGCGGGCGGTTTGATGATAATTCTATCCTTTTTTAGCTATAATATAAGGGAAACGCTATTTTTCAGGGCATTATCATTGGCAGAAGCCCGATGTCTTCCATTAACTGCCCGACGAAGGAGGGCAGTTGAAAAGACCGAGAGCTTCTGCAAATGATAATGCCCTGAAAAATAGCGTTACCGTTATTATAGCTAAAATGGATACAATTTGTTATCAAATGAAAATAAACAACAATATCGGTTTTGAAACATTTAGTGCATTCAACACGAATGTCACTGACCCACTTTTACAAATATGGAAACGTCATAGAACAAATCTGATGTCGTCACTATTGAACGTGACGTCACCTATTCCTATCCCAGTGACGTCATCTATCAAGCAATGTGAGGGCATTATCAAAGTTACAGTGGCCTGCTCATTTCTGATAACAGGCGGGCGGTTTAATGATACTTCTATCCATTTTAGCTATAATACTATCCATTTTTGCTATAATACTATCCATTTTAGCTATAATATCTTATAACAACTGTCGAGTTCAACTCCCTCATAATGGTACAACGCTGACCTGGTCACACTGGCTTCACTTGTGTGTATGTAATTATAACTGTCTTCATTTGTACATGTCATGCCACCCCGCCCTGTCATTCACCCGAGAAAGGGGCAAAAGTAGTCCGGAAACGTTGTGTACGTATAATTAAGAAGTTGTTACCTATAACATCCCTTGACCTAATAATAGCCATTTTCTCAATGCCTATAAACACTCCAACCCACACTGATGTTTAACCGTTACACACGTGTGAGTGATATATCGTTTATAGGGTTAAGGTGTCTCGGAGAGAGCGAAGGTGTGTTAGATCTCACCTCCTGTGTACACCATGGGAGTGATCAGCCTCCACGTGTTGTTGGTCGTCGTCGTCGTCGTTACCTCTGCTGGGGGTGTTGAGCTGTACACGTCCCGGGGAACGCACTACCAAGTCGGTCTGGATGTGGTGAGTCCAAACTCTAACTGGGGTAACCCATGTACCGCATTTCCCTGTTAGATTGACTATACGCCACTAATACATACAATCCCACACGCGATGAGTTGCTATGTACCAGTCATTTAGTCTTATACAAATCCACACACGATGAGTTGCTATGTACCAGTCATTTAGTCTTATACAACCCCACACACGATGAGTTGCTATGTACCAGTCATTCAGTCTTATACAACCCCACACACGATGAGTTTCTATGTACCAGTCATTCAGTCTTATACAACCCCACACACGATGAGTTGCTATGTACCAGTCATTCAGTCTTATACAACCCCACACACGATGAGTTGCTATGTACCAGTCATTTAGTCTTATACAACCCCACACACGATGAGTTGCTATGTACCAGTCATTTAGTCTTATACAACCCCACACACAATGAGTTGCTATGTACAAGTCATTTAGTCTTATACAACCCCACACACAATGAGTTGCTATGTACCAGTCATTTAGTCTTATACAGCCCCACACACGATGAGTTGCTATGTACCAGTCATTTAGTCTTATACAACCCCACACACGATGAGTTGCTATGTACCAGTCATTTAGTCTTATACAACCCCACACACGATGAGTTGCTATGTACCAGTCATTTAGTCTTATACAACCCCACACACAATGAGTTGCTATGTACAAGTCATTTAGTCTTATACAACCCCACACACAATGAGTTGCTATGTACAAGTCATTTAGTCTTATACAGCCCAACATAGGGTTAAGGTGTCTCGGAGAGAGCGAAGGTGTGTTAGATCTCACCTCCTGTGTACACCATGGGAGTGATCAGCCTCCACGTGTTGTTGGTCGTCGTCGTCGTCGTTACCTCTGCTGGGGGTGTTGAGCTGTACACGTCCCGGGGAACGCACTACCAAGTCGGTCTGGATGTGGTGAGTCCAAACTCTAACTGGGGTAACCCATGTACCGCATTTCCCTGTTAGATTGACTATACGCCACTAATACATACAATCCCACACGCGATGAGTTGCTATGTACCAGTCATTTAGTCTAATACAACCCCACACACGATGAGTTGCTATGTACCAGTCATTTAGTCTTATACAACCCCACACACGATGAGTTGCTATGTACCAGTAATTTAGTCTTATACAGCCCCACACACGATGAGTTGCTATGTACCAGTCATTTAGTCTTATACAACCCCACACACGATGAGTTGCTATGTACCAGTCATTTAGTCTTATACAACCCCACACACAATGAGTTGCTATGTACAAGTCATTTAGTCTATACAACCCCACACACAATGAGTTGCTATGTACAAGTCATTTAGTCTTATACAGCCCAACACACGATGAGTTGGTATGTACCAGTCATTTAGTCTTATACAAATCCACACACGATGAGTTGCTATGTACCAGTCATTTAGTCTTATACAGCCCCACACACGATGAGTTGCTATGTACCAGTCATTTAGTCTTATACAACCCCACACACGATGAGTTGCTATGTACCAGTCATTTAGTCTTATACAACCCCACACACGATGAGTTGCTATGTACCAGTCATTTAGTCTTATACAACCCCACACACGATGAGTTGCTATGTACCAGTCATTTTGTCTTATACAACCCCACACACGATGAGCTGCTATGTACCAGTCATTTAGTCTTATACAACCCCACACACGATGAGTTGCTAAGTCTTATGCGCTTGTCTCCCATAAACCTCTTTAGTCATACGATGAGTTGATAGAAACATTTAGTCTTATATACTCCCACATTTATACTCATGTTCGCTCGCACGATGACTTGCTGTGTATGAATCATTTAGTCTCATGCAATATGCACGAGCGATGCCTCGCAACCTTCACACACACCTCTAGGATGTTGACACTAGAAGTCCTCGCAACCTTCACACACACCTCTAGGATGTTGACACTAGAAGTCCTCTCTGAGGAAACACGGTAGCTCGGATGTTGGGGGTTAATGTCCGTGAGTATTCGTGTGTTACCGTGTATTTAGGTCTCTGTACGCCGATCAGCTGTCATCTTATCAAGACTGAAAATAGATTCTATATACCGCAGTCACTAGTCACTTACAAACACACGACTGAACCAGATACATATATACATACAGCCAAAAGAAACGCGAATAACAAACTTGTTGGTAAATATTTGAGAATTACTCATATTCAGGCGATGTTATATTGCGTGAACCGACGCTCATGCACGCATCACATGTGACGTCATAGATCCAAGACTCGAGATGCACCATTTGTCTCGTGCAGGATAAGCGTGTACAGTTTTGAAATCACGTGCAGCATATCATGATAAGAACAAAGACACTGTGGTAACACTTGACTGATTGTTAGTTATAAGTTTCTTTGGTTCGCGTTTCTTTTGGCGATGAGTATATAACTCACCTGTTGGTAGGAATACTGAGGTCGTCCGTATTGTATTTATATCTTTTGTAGATTTGTTTGTGTGTTTCTTCTCTCAGCAATATTCCAGCTATTTGACGGCGGTCTGTAAAAACATCGAGTTTGGACCAGACAATCCAGTGATTGACATCATAATCATCAATCTACGCAATCGGGATACGGTGACATGCACCAACCTAGTCAGCGTGCCTGACCACCACCCGATCCCGTTAGTCGCCTCTTACATAGGATGCTGAAGGCCAATTCTAACCCGGATGTTCACGTGTCCCCGGATGTTCACGTGTCACCGCATGCAGATGACGTAGGGCGGTGCACGTAGTATCAGTCACTGGTTTCTCTGGCAGAGGCCCGATTGTTTACAGGTCGCCGTCATAGGGGTGGAATAGTGTTGGTGCTGGTTGTAGGTTCAGGTGTTCATAAAGACCGATAATGGAGTCTTTACCATTATTGTCTACGACCGGCATCACCAGAGCACCTGCACTAACTAAAGCGCGGTTAAGCCCGGCTTACTCACTCATCCATCTATTTACTCACACACCCATCTATATACTCACTCACCTAACCTCCCATTCATTTACTCATTCACCCACTCACCAATTTACTGACTCACTCACCCATCCATTTACTTACTCACTGAGTCACCCATCCATTTACTCACTCACTGAGTCACCCATCCATTTACTCACTCACCCATCTACGTAATTACTCGCTCACTCACCCACCCATTTATTCCCTCACTCACCCACCCATGTACTCACTCACTCACCTATTTACTCACTCGCTCATCCATCTATGTACTCACTCACCCATCCATTTACTCACTCACCAACCCATTTACTCACTCACCCGTCCATTTACTCACTCACCCACCCATTTACTCACTAACCCACCCATTTACTCACTCACCCATCCATTTACTTACTCACTCATCCATTTACTTACTCACTCATCCATTTACTCACTCACCCATCCATTTACTTACTCACTCATCCATTTACTCACTCACTCATCCATTTACTTACTCACTCATCCATTTACTCACTCACCCATCCATTTACTTACTCACTCATCCATTTACTCACTCACTCATCCATTTACTCACTCACCCATCCATTTACTCACTCACTCATCCATTTACTTACTCACTCATCCATTTACTCACTCACTCATCCATTTACTCACTCACCCATCCATTTACTTACTCACTCATCCATTTACTTACTCACCCATCCATTTACTCACTCACTCATCCATTTACTCACTCACCCATCCATTTACTTACTCACTCATCCATTTACTTACTCACTCATCCATTTACTCACTCACTCATCCATTTACTTACTCACTTATCTATTTACTTACTCACCCATCCATTTACTCACTCACCCATCCATTTACTTACTCACTTATCTATTTACTCACCCACCCATCCACTTACTCACGCACATAATCACCCACTCACCCATCCATTTACTTACTCATTCATCCATTTACTTACTCACTCACTCGCTCATTTTCTCACTCACTCGCTCATTTTCTAACTCATCCATTTACTCACTCACTCATCCATTTACTCACTCACCCATCCATTTACTTACTCACTCATCCATTACTCACTCACCCATCCATTTACTTACTCACTCATCCATTTACTTACTCACTCATCCATTACTCACTAACCCACCCATTTACTCACTCACCCATCCATTTACTCACTAACCCACCCATTTACTCACTCACCCATCCATTTACTTACTCACTCATCCATTTACTTACTCACCCATCCATTTACTCACTCACCCATCCATTTACTTACTCACCCATCCATTTACTTACTCACTCATCCATTTACTCACTCACTCATCCATTTACTTACTCACTCATCCATTTACTTACTCACCCATCCATTTACTTACTCACTCATCCATTACTCACTCACCCATCCATTTACTTACTCACTCATCCATTTACTCACTCACCCATCCATTTACTCACTCACTCATCCATTACTCACTCACCCATCCATTTACTCACTCACTCATCCATTTACTCACTCACTCATCCATTTACTTACTCACCCATCCATTTACTTACTCACTCATCCATTACTCACTCACCCATCCATTTACTTACTCACTCATCCATTTACTCACTCACTCATCCATTACTCACTCACTCATCCATTTACTCACTCACTCATCCATTTACTCACTCACCCATCCATTTACTTACTCACTCATCCATTACTCACTCACCCATCCATTTACTCACTCACTCATCCATTTACTTACTCACCCATCCATTTACTTACTCACTCATCCATTACTCACTCACCCATCCATTTACTCACTCACTCATCCATTTACTCACTCACCCATTCATTTACTCACTCACTCATCCATTTACTTACTCACTCAACCATTTACTTACTCACTCATCCATTTACTTACTCACCCATCCATTTACTCACTCACCCACCTACTTATTTACTCACTCACTTACCTATTTACTCACTCGCTCATCCCTCTATTTACTCACTCGCTCATCCCTCTATTTACTCACTCACTGAGTCACCCATCCATTTTCTCACTCACCCACCTACTTATGTACTCGCTCACTCACTCACCTATTTACTCACTCGCTCATCCATCTATTTACTCACTCACCCATCCATGTACTCACTCACGAACTCATTTACTCACTCACCCATCCATTTACTCATTCACCCACCCATTTACTCACTCACTCACCCACCCACCCATTTAATCACTTACAAATCCACTTACTCACTCACTCGCTCATTTACTCACTCACTCGCTCATTTTCTCACTCATCTAGTTACTCACTCACCCATCCACTCACTCATATACTCCCTCACCCACCGATTTACTCACTCACTTATCCATTTACTCTCTCATTCAGTCATTCACCCACCCAGCTATTTACTCACTCTCCTATCCATTTACTCACTCACTGAATTACCCACCTATATACTCACTCACTCACCCATCCACTCACTCACTCCCTCATTTACTCACCCCCTCACTCATTTACCCACTCACTCACTCACTTATCTATTTACTCACCCACCCATCCACTTACTCACTCACATAATCACCCACTCACCCATCCATTTACTCACTCACTCACCCATTTACTCACTCACCCATTTACTCACTAACTCATTTACTCACTCAGTCACCCATCCATTTACTCACTCACTCACCCATTAACTCACTCATTTACTCACTCACTCATTTACTCACTTACTCACCCATTAACTCACTCACTCACTCATTTACTCACTCACTCATTTACTCACCCCCTCACTCATTTACTCACTCACTCACTCACTTATCCATTTACTCACTCACCCATCCACTTACTCACTCATTTACTCACTCAGTCACCCATCCATTTACTCACTCACCTTTTTACTCACTCACTCACTCACTCATTTACTCACTCACTCATTTACTCACTCACTCACCCATTTACTCACTCACTCACTCACTCATTTACTCACTCACTCACCCATTTACTCATTCACCCATCCACCTACTCACTCATATACTCACTCACTCACCCATCCATTTACTCACTCACCCATCCATTTACTCACTCACTCACTCACCCATCCATTTACTCACTCACCCATCCATGTACTCACTCACCCATCCACTTACTCATTTACTCACTCACTCACTTACTCATATACTCACTCACTTACTCATTTACTCACTCACCCATCCACTTACTCACTCATTTACTCACTCACTCACTCATTTACTCACTCACCCATCCACTTACTCACTCATTTACTCACTCACTCACTTACTCATATACTCACTCACTCACTCATTTACTCACTCACTAACTCATTTACTCACTCACTAACCCAAGAATTTACTCACTCACTCACCCATTTACTCACTCACTCACCCATCCATTTACTCACTCACTAACCCACGCATTTTCTCGCAGTGTAAAGCCAGTGCGGGCAGTGCACTACTTTGACAGATCTGTTTCCATGCCTGTTTTCACAGGGCCAGCATTTCCAAGGCGCCATACAGGAGTATTACGCCATGATGACAGATCTTCACACCAAGTTACTTCCCTTTGTTGAAACAGCAGGCGGGTCACATGTGAGATTCAACCTCGAATATTGCATGCAATACCGTCATTAATATCGATGCGGAATTTATATCGTGATATCTATAGATTACGAACACTATTTTATGAAGTTGACATAGCCTTCTGTAGATTGCTTATGGGATGGTCAGTAATATTAAGACAGTCATGTTAACGGAGTCAGGCTATATATACTGAACAGCAAAGGAAACGTCACCATGGATAGATATTTGAGAAACCTTATTTGTCAAAACGCTGTAAACATACTTTGAGACATACTAAAAAGATGAAACTTGGCAAAACTGATCATCAAGGTTGAAATTAAAGTGTCAAATGTCATAGACTTGCGACAGTGATGGCACTAAGGGTATTTTATTGATTACATACATCTCTAGTACTGTACAGATTTTTATGCTCAGCTGATAATCCGCTTGCCTTATTTTCAATCTCCAGATCTATGACACATACTTGAGGATGGCAGAAACCCACTTCCCTCAGTATGTGGATGAGCTTCGTGGAATCGCAGTCGGGGCAAAACTTTCGTTTAAACAGGTTCGAACAATCACTGGTGACTTTACCAAATATATATTATTCGCATTTTATTATGTAGGTTTCATGTTTTAATTATTCTTACATATACTCAACATCAAAAGTTCCTGTGACACCAATATGTTAGTGTATTTTTCAAACAAGTAAAGTTTGGTTTGCAATATTGTAGTACATGTATGGAATCAAGTCAGAAAAACGCAACTGCTACAGAAAAGCATGCATTCCATGCAAAAGTTGACTTTTATGTAAGCCCCATGCATTTCAATACCCAAGAATGGGTATAAAAACATGTACGTTAACGGGATTCCATATGCATTGTTTAGCATCGTGCTGACAACAACCACTCAGAAAAACAACACAATTACGCAGTTATTCAACATTACGAAATGCCACGCCTGTCCGAAAATGAGCGTCTGCGAGCCATTGGTATGCTTGAAGCAGGATTGAGTCAACGTGATGTTGCAAGACAATTTAACGTCCACAGAAACACCATTTGGTGTTTATGGCAACGTTGGCAACAGACGAATGCAGTCAGAGACCATCCTCGGAGTGGCAGCCCACGCGTAACCAATAATCGACAAGACAACTGGATTCGAACAACACACCTACGAAGTCGATTCCAGCCAGCAACAGTGACTGCAAAAAGCATCCCTGACGAATATATTCACAAACCGTACGTCGTCGCCTCAAATGTGCAGGGATTGTCACCAGAAGACCCGCCAGACGTCCCATTTTGACAGGAAACCATCGTCAAGCACGTCTACAGTGGTGCAGACAGCGTCTACGCTGGACGGCCATGCAGTGGGGACAAGTTCAATCCCTGACGAGTCTCGTTTTCACCTCAGCCACAGCGATGGACGGATTCGAGTGTACCGACGTCGAGGTGAACTTTACGTCAATCATTGTGTCATGGAAGAAGATCGGTTCGGGGACGGACGCGTTATGGTATGGGGTGGGATTACAACAAGACAGAGGACCCGTTTGATAGTGGTAGGGGGAAATCTCAATGGACAGCGCTACCGCGACGAGATCATCGGCCCTGTTGTTCTACCTTTTTTGTGTCGTCAAGGCCCAGGCATTACCTTTCAACATGACAACGCCCGGCCTCATATTGCTCGACTTGTTCAGGATTCTCTTCAACAAAACAACGTGAATGCCATTCCCTGGTCGACTCGCTCCCCTGATCTCTCACCAATCGAGCACATGTGGGATGAGATGGATCGGCGCCTTCGACGTCAACCACGTGTTCCACAGACACTCCAGGAACTTCGAAACATGCTCCAGCAAATATGGACAGGACTTTGTGCGACGCCTGGTCCATTCTATGAGACGAAGATGTGTTGCTTGCATCGCAACCAGATGGGACGCACACGCTATTGATTTGTAAATTGATATTTTGGGATATTCCTGAGTTTTTTTATGAAATCACGCATTTTCTGAAGTCAGTATGGTAAATTAAACCATTTGAACACTTACAGGAGTCTTTTATCTGTTGCAAACCGAAATTGTTTCAGATTTGGCAAAAAATATAACTTTGCATTAAATCTTATTCAATGTCACAGGGACTTTTGTTGTTCACTATATATGTTAGTCACCATTTAATGACGTGCTTCTCAGTAACTTTCACATCATAAAGTGTCAGCGCCATGTCATCTTCTCAGGTTTTCACAAACCACATCTGGGACGAGTTATCTACCCTGATTGGCGTCAATCAGAAGAAGTCGTGTACAGATGTGTACGTGAATGACGTCGGGGACGAAGGTCCCCCCCTGGTGACGCCACAGGTAAGTACCCTAGCCCAGTATGCTTCTTACTCTGGTCACGGTGACCTGGTGTACCACCGATCGAGATATCGAGTGTTTTCAGAGTTACCTCCCTTACAGCGTTAACTTTCCTGGTTGTGAACCTTGTATATTATATGCAATGGTGGCGCTTTAGGCTTGTGTCGAATTATTTGAAAGGCATCTACATTCTAGAAAGTAGAAGGGTTGATAGAACGGTTTGGTTTCAACACCGCTCTGAATAGTATTTCAGTTATATCAGTCAGCGATACTGCGAGAGGAACGACCAACACCATGCTTGTCAGAGACGCCTGCCATTGAATCAAGTAAATAACGTTTATCAATAGCTGTGAGACATGTATTGCTCTCCCACTTTTGCATCAATATAAACTGAGGTTTGTAGTGCATGTACTTCACTCATTTAGTTTAGTTTGGGCCACAATGAGGATGGGAGCCCCAACGCCAAGACTCGAGCCTACATCCTACACGCCATCATCGTCAACAACGTCACGGGGACGGTGGAAGAGGACTTTACGTCGTTTACCTATCCTGGTACACTGGTTTTCTAGACGACCACCCTATGGGAGATATCAATACCGTATTTCCTCGTATAAATACACGGATCATTTCTATTAGCTTCCGCCAAATGGTTTTTAGATTTTTTAAGGCCCATTTTTAAGTATATTTGTTTTCATAGTGATCGTGCACACATTTAAACAACAGTAGCTTTTGTGCGCAGATGTACGGATTACCGGTTCAAAAAGGGGGAGTTAACTTGCATTAAGAAACGTGATATGTGTACTGGAATTTATTATATGTATGTATTTCATGTCATCGTTACCCAATTGCGTGTATCGATGCTCATGAAGTCAATCACTGGATTGTCTGGTCCAGACTTCATTAATTACAGACCGCCGTCATATAGCTGGAATATTGCTGAGTGCGGCGTTAAACAACAAACAACAAACAAAACAGAGCTTTCTAAAGTTGGGAAAATTGTATTTTCATTTCAGTGAACATAACACTTGATATTTCACTGCAGTGAACTTAACACTTTGACAGAACTATTATCTTACAATAGTGGCCTCCCCGCAAATTATCTCCCCTATATCATTAGTGTCTAGCCCGTACACAAATAGTAAACTTTTTATAATTTACGTTAGTTTCACTTTGTCGAGTCAAAATAATGACCGGTGGTCATTTATGGAGTTGATATCGCTTTTTGCCGTTTGTTATTGTCTGTGAAATGTTTCCTTATAAACTGTAAATTTTGCTTTCGTGGATGAGTTATGTGAGTGAGTGAGTATGGTTTTACGCGCTTTTAGCAATATTCCAGCAATATCACGGCGGGGGACACCAGAAATGGGCTTCACACATTGTACCCATGTCGGGAATCGAACCCGGGTCTTCGGCGTGACGAGCGAACGCTTTAACCACAAGGCTACCCGACCGCCCCTTGAGTTATGTGGGTTGGGGCATGCGGATCCGAGACGCTTTATTCCGTTTTTTGTTTAATAGTGTATGAACTATAAACTTTTTTATGCAACAATGGCCATCGTGTACATATGTTTCGGTGAGCTAATTGTCGCTGTTGTTGCAAGGTGAGCTAATGGGTCGCTGTTGTTGCCAGGTGAGCTAATTGGTCGCTGTTGGTGCAAAGTGAACTAATGAATAGCTGCCTTTGCCAGGTGAACTAACTGCCAGATGAGCTAATTAATCGCTGTTGTTGCCAGGTGAGCTACCCGGAGACGCTTACGGGTTCAACATCCACGGAGTCGTGCTCACCATGAACGCCGTATTGCCGGTGATCGCCGGTATTGGCGCCGTTCGTAAGTTCACATGACTTATAGTTTGAATAATATTGGCATTAAAAAGTTTATTCCTTTTATTCCTAAAATATGTATCATGCTAATCTAAGTTTTACATGATACAGTTTTGACCCTTATACTTGTATGTGATATTTCCGACACTAAGACTCACTCGTCTGACAATCTTCTAATCACGTAATGTCACTCTCAAAATTATCGAAGTTTAAGATATTTTCATTAAATTAACTTTAGAAACTGCGAAGGGCACAATCCCCGACTGAGCAGCCCGTCTACAGACAGTGCCACGGTATCAGCTGCAATGTGTGTTCGCCCCCGGAAACATCCAATGTTATGCAATAGTGTTTTTGAGCAAGTAATGACACACATAATGACCTTACTACAAAGAGTTCCTGCTGAAAGACATAATTTGTTTCCAAATGTTGGTCGGATTGTTTCACCCCATTGTTAACAGTCAAGAATAACTTACCTCGGACTCGGAATTTAAGGCTCGTAAAAGCCGGCATTTATGTGGCTAACGTGATGTATGCTCATCTCATCTCCTGGCCAGACAATTAATTAACTCTCTAAATAATATAAATACATGTTTCAGCTCGCGATTTCGTCCTCCGGGCCACATTTGCAGTGAGGAATCAAGCGGAGCTGGAGTCACTGATGCTGAGTGAGGGCACGGGTGTGGGGTATGGGTACAAGTAAGTGCAGTCTTCTGCCATCTGTATGTCGTATGTCTTGTGAGGGCACGGGTGTGGGGTATGGGTACAAGTAAGTGCAGTCTTCTGCCATCTGTATGTCGTATGTCTTGTGAGGGCACGGGTGTGGGGTATGGGTACAAGTAAGTGCAGGCTTCTGCCATCTGTATGTCGTATGTCTTGTGAGGGCACGGGTATGGGGTATGGGTACAAGTAAGTGCAGTCTTCTGCCATCTGTATGTCGTATGTCTTGTGAGGGCACGGGTGTGGGGTATGGGTACAAGTAAGTGCAGTCTTCTGCCATCTGTATGTCGTATATCTTGTGAGGGCACGGGTGTGGGGTATGGGGTATGGGTACAAGTAATTGCAGTCTTCTGCCATCTGTATGTCGTATATCTTGTGAGGGCACGGGTGTGGGGTATGGGGTATGGGTACAAGTAAGTGCAGTCTTCTGCCATCTGTATGTCGTATATCTTGTGAGGGCACGGGTGTGGGGTATGGGTACAAGTAAGTGCAGGCTTCTGCCATCTGTATGTCGTATATCTTGTGAGGGCACGGGTGTGGGGTATGGGTACAAGTAAGTGCAGTCTTCTGCCATCTGTATGTCGTATATCTTGTGAGGGCACGGGTGTGGGGTATGGGTACAAGTAAGTGCAGTCTTCTGCCATCTGTACGTCGTATATCTTGTGAGGGCACGGGTGTGGGGTATGGGTACAAGTAAGTGCAGGCTTCTGCCATCTGTATGTCGTATGTCTTGTGAGGGCACGGGTATGGGGTATGGGTACAAGTAAGTGCAGTCTTCTGCCATCTGTATGTCGTATATCTTGTGAGGGCACGGGTATGGGGTATGGGTACAAGTAAGTGCAGTCTTCTGCCATCTGTATGTCGTATGTCTTGTGAGGGCACGGGTGTGGGGTATGGGTACAAGTAAGTGCAGTCTTCTGCCATCTGTATGTCGTATGTCTTGTGAGGGCACGGATGTGGGGTATGGATACAAGTAAGTGCAGTCTTCTGCCATCTGTATGTCGTATGTCTTGTGAGGGCACGGGTGTGGGGTATGGGTACAAGTAAGTGCAGGCTTCTGCCATCTGTATGTCGTATGTCTTGTGAGGGCACGGGTGTGGGGTATGGGTACAAGTAAGTGCAGTCTTCTGCCATCTGTATGTCGTATATCTTGTGAGGGCACGGGTGTGGGGTATGGGGTATGGGTACAAGTAAGTGCAGTCTTCTGCCATCTGTATGTCGTATGTCTTGTGAGGGCACGGATGTGGGGTATGGATACAAGTAAGTGCAGTCTTCTGCCATCTGTATGTCGTATGTCTTGTGAGGGCACGGGTGTGGGGTATGGGTACAAGTAAGTGCAGTCTTCTGCCATCTGTATGTCGTATATCTTGTGAGGGCACGGGTGTGGGGTATGGGTACAAGTAAGTGCAGTCTTCTGCCATCTGTATGTCGTATGTCTTGTGAGGGCACGGATGTGGGGTATGGATACAAGTAAGTGCAGTCTTCTGCCATCTGTATGTCGTATGTCTTGTGAGGGCACGGGTGTGGGGTATGGGTACAAGTAAGTGCAGTCTTCTGCCATCTGTATGTCGTATATCTTGTGTAATAATTACGTATTTCCATTATTTGAAACCTTTTCCCACCAGAATCTGCACAACACTGAGATCTAAATTGTCTTTTCCAAAATGTTATAGAAAACAGTTTTATTTGAATCAAGTTGGGGACAAGTGATACTTGTACAAATATTTGCCCCCCCTGTCAAAAAAAAGTTAACTACGGCCTTGGTGCTACAGGCGCCATCTCTCTACTGTGTCAAGCAATCACTATAGTTACATCATAATCATAGTCCCCCGGTCGCACCCTTTATCGTGCAATCCACGAGGGTACACTGCGTGTTGTTTACGACAGCCTCAACTACGGCAACACTCAAGACGACGTCCGATCACTGGTCAGCTACGAAGTGGCTCCCCTGGAGAACCAGCCTCGGGCTCTGGTCAGCAAATACACCGTTGGTTGCCATGGCATCAACGACAACACCAACACCACCGGTCCATACTTCCACTTCAACTTGTATGTATCTTTACTTCTAAAGTCGGCCATCTCATGAGAAACAAGGCACTTCAAGGGTGCAACGTCTTTAGGGAACACTACAAAACATATATAGTTGACGATTAATGTATTTGGCTGTCATATTAGCTTGACGTAATTAAGTGGTATACATCTTGAACATTCTTCTGTTCCTGGCGGCCCCGGGGCGCCAGTCGTCTATGACTCCGTAATTTGCATTGCAGAGTTGCGTCCCTTGTGTACGCCAGAAATCTATGATCGTGGGTTCGAAACCCGGTTCGCCCCGATTTTGTTTCAAGTTTTCTCAGCACAATGCCCGTGCTCGTCTGTTTCACCCACACAACTCACTCTTCTGTTCGTGCACCTGCAAGTCGAGTTTGTGATGCAGGTACAACCACACGGATGTTGTACAGATGACGTCACAGTTGACCAGCTCCTACCACCGCCAAGCTCGTGTAGCCCAGATACCGGAAGTGCGGAACACACAGGGCGCCCTCTACGTCCTGGGCGACACGCACGACCCCGACTACCCCATCTACAGGACAGCCAGGCCCACTGACGAGTTCTCCACGCTAACCACGGGTACTCGTGACCAACTCGTGTTATTCTGGGACAAGCGACTGGGTTCCGTCTAAGTGCAAACGGGCATAGCTAAAGAATTGTCCACACGTTGCGTAATGATTCACGCATAGTTTCCCCCGACATGCCATATATACTGAACCAAATTAAAAACTTCACAATCCTAAAATTTGAACATTTTGACAAGTTATCATTGTGGGCCCTTATTGTGTATTTTAACAGTAATGGCCACGTATTGTCCTCAGATAACATCCGTTTTTGTGCAGGTGAATCGATCAAAATCATGTGCACAGCACTATTGTGGCAAAAGTGGTTTTTTACGTGCAACTGGTCACGTGGCCATAATACCGCACGTGTTTTCAGCAATACTTGTTAGCAGTCATTAACAAAAAAAAATTGGTTGGTTGGTTGGTTTGTTGTTTAACGCCGCACTCAGCAATATTCCAGCTATATGGCGGCGGTCTGTAAATAATCGAGTCTGGACCAGACAATCCAGTGATTAATATCATGAGCATCGATCCACGCAATTGGGATCGATGACATGCATCAACCAAGTCAGCGAGCCTGACCACTCGATCCCGTAACAAAAAAGGAAAACACAAACAACAAAAGTCTTTACGGCCATTTGTCATGCCACGCCTTTCAAATGTGCAACGTGAACGTGCCATCGGGAACGTCCGTAGCTGAAGTCGCAAGGACGATGGGTTGTAGTCGACGGACTGTTTATGATTTAAAGACGCGTCTACAGCAAACGGGTACCACCGCTGATCGCCCTCGGCCAGGTCGACCACGTGTGACATCACATGCAGAGGATCGTCAGATTGTCTTACGTCACCTCCGTAACCGATTTTTGACGGCTACATTAACCAGAAATGAACTGTTTAGGGGTAGACTGAGTGCGCAAACTGTTCGAAACCGTCTGAGAACTGCTCACCTTCAAACACGACGGCCATAATGCGGGCCGATTCTGACTCAATTACACAGACGTCAACGTCAATTGTGGGCACAGCGACACTTACGATGGACTCAGAGGAAATGGAATCAAGTCGTCTTCAGTGATGAATCCCGATTTAATCTTCGATTTGCTGATGGTAGGGAGAGGGTGTGGAGGCGCCGTCATGAACGTTACGCCCAGTGTTGTGTACAGGAAGTTGACAGATTTCGAGGCGGAAGTGTCATGGTGTGGGGTGCGTTCTGTGGCAATGCACGTTCCAGGCTTCTTGTCATCCGTGGCAACCTCAACGCTGCTGCTTACCGCGACCAGGTACTGGCACCAGAACTTCTGCCTTTTATGGCAGCACATGGACCCGGTTTGATCTTCCAACACGACAATGCCAGACCCCACACAGAAATTTTGACAAGGAATTTCCTTCAGAATGAGGGAGTCAACGTCATGGACTGGCCGTCAAGGTGTCCCGACCTCAATCCCATCGAACACGTCTGGGATGTTCTTGGCAGAAGTCTGCGCACTCTCCAGAACCAACCACAGAATTTGCAAGATCTTGGCACCATTTTGCAGCAACAATGGCGTCGTCTTCCTAATCATGTGTTCACAAGCATCACAAGGTCCATGCGGAGGCGTTGTGTGGCAGTTGTCAACGCACATGGTGGCCATACACGCTACTGAACTTGTGTGCCATCAGATTCTCGTGCTTGGGACTTATGATTTAAACTGTTGATGATATTACCGAATACCGTAGGTGATGGAACAAATTATGGTTACCACCGTTAATTAAAATCCTTCTTTGGACATTAATGATTAAAAATTACCTTCTCTGATACATTTGTCCGCTGTATATCATATATTGGATTACTTTTAAAAATGTGAAGTTTTTAATTTGACTCAGTATATATTCCAGCTGCTACTGAACACACATCATGACTTGCGGTGTTATACAGTATGACTGAACACCTTTTACTGTATCTTGGGTATATTTTTACATGCAAAACATTTGTAAAATATAAAAAAAAATATTCCTTAGGATTCTTTGACCGAAGTATGTGAAGTCGTACACGCATTCTGATTGGTTTGTCGTATTTTCGCCAGAGACCATAAAATAGATCTCTTTTATGGTCTATGTTTTCGCACATAAAATTCAATGATAGGGGGACGAGTCTTATTGCAGGTTACTAGGTCATAGGTCATGACCTATAGGTCATAGCTTCGGGACATTTTCGCAATCGCGTAAAATGTCGGATCGTACTGTAGATTTACTTTTCTTCTAAAGTGGAGAATGCGACATTTGGACATCGTACAAATCTGGAAATCTAAACAACTTAACCTGTCAAATACTGATGCATTGGATTATTACTTCGCTTGAGTAGCTTACACGTCTGTAAGCTGAAATATAAAACACGTGCTGAATGTCAGTTCACGAGCCTCCCACAACCGGTGAACCAGTGTCACGTGACGAGGGTAATAAGGGGAGGTAATTGATGCAGAACTACTTGGACCACCTTTCTACAACGCGCGAGCAGATTTGGGTTTCGGTTGAGCATTACAGTCGATAGTGTGATGCTGTTAGAACCAGGTTCCAGTCCATATTCACGGTATTAGACTAGAAGTGAAAATATTATGTATCTACATGTTCCATGTTATGGATTTAATTTAGTAATTTGTGGCGTGCTTGTGTTCCAGCTTTCTTTAACCTA